TGGCCATAGATACCGTAATTCTCAAGTTTACCAGTCGAAATGGATTGATCGGCTACCTAAAAGTGAAAAAATATAATATTCATACGCATGATCTTCCTTGTTTTACAAGGTTTTGCCGGCGAAACAAGTTTGTTCTTTTGAAAAGGGATAAATCCTTAGTCGAAGTGGTCTTTCAAGGTAAGTCGCCTGTATCTTTGAAGGGCGTCGAACGCTAATTCCAAACCTGTCTTCCTTATCTGCGGATCACCTCAGCACACGAGCGTTTTGAGAGCAAAAAATTGAAGGCGCGGAGAGAGTAAAATTGACTGTAGCCCCTGTACAACTCAGAGATTGACTAGTGCTGAGTAGGGTATAGCAGACAGAAATTTCCTTTTCGTGGGAGTGATTAAAGACAACGCTGCTCCATTCAAGCTCACAAAAAACACCCATGACGATTTCCTTCTTCCCAAGCCTTCAGATTTCCCCCCAAAAACTTACATAAGTACTTGCCTAAAGGCGCTCCGTAATGGGGAGGACAGATTTGGAATCAGCGTTCGATGCCCTTCAAGAGTATATCCATTACATTTGAAAAGGCCACTTTGACCAAGGATCCTTCCCTGGTAAGAACTAACTCAATCACTTCCAAAACAGTCGTTATAAAAGATCACTAATTGCATGGGTACGGTGCGCAGGAGTTTCTTATGTTTGACATTCTGGTTGGCGACTTCAGTCCCTATGTGTTGCGGGGTTTTCTTTTTTCGTATCTTATAGTATACATACAGTAAGTTGTGGGAATTATCGCTGATGAAACGCTATTGCTGGCGGCTTGATAGTTGTTTATCTACCATGAACAGATCTCAAATGCACAGGCGCACAGCTTCAGGTTGACGAAAGCGTGTCGGATCTTGCTCAACGAGGTGCTCCTACGAAGATTTCTGAGCAACACCGACTTATGCGGCACTCGAAAACAACACTCAGAGTGAATTTTTCTTTGGAAAATGTAAACCCTTCCTCCTTTGCAGCAACTTTGCCTTTCTGGTTAGACGAAAAAAATAGTTGAGTTTGCTTGTGATCCATATTCGGACTGAGAATATTCGGATATTCGATATTCTACAACGTCTGCAGCCACCGTTGAGATCGGTTAGCGACTTGAGAAAGTACGGAAAAATAATGGCAAACCAATTACTAGACGTAGAACTCAATCTGATATTGTGTAAGTAGGGATCTGAACGCCATTTCTTACTAACTGTTTACTCTCATTATTTATCGAAGAACGACAACTGAAGCGAATTTTCTTCACTTTAACAGAGATATTAATCAGCAATCAACAGAGGATTATAGTTGAGCACAGATAATCCCATAAAATCGGTTAAAGGATTCCAGACAGACTTACAGTGAGGGATCAACAGTTGAACATTCGAAAAAATGCCATTTTCCCACTATTTGACATTTTGAGTATAAAAGCTAAATTTTCATGATTGTTTCCATCGCATTTGCATCTGTTCGTTCGAAACATATGAAGGGCATAAGAAAAGCAAAATGAGCTTCTTGAAAACCCTGGAGGGCAGTTCCACGGGTCGCTGTGTGAGGTTCACAACCCTTGAAAAACAAAAATTAGTTTTCCTTAAGGACCACCAGATAAAGTGTGGATGAGTATGAATAGGATAAAGAAATGCGGAGACACAGCCGTTACATACGTTCTGCTTCAACTACATGTAAATTGTAAGGAGGTAAGGGATAGGTAGCCAAAAGTGAAATTTGCGAGAAGGGTGAAATTATTTACTCGTCATTCAATTAGAATGGCGTAGAATTCGACTGACAAGCTGTTAATCGACTGTAATTGTCTAAAAAATACAGCTTTGTCGAGATAGGGTTCTTAAAAGTAGTGCGCCCTCCTCTCAAATTTGGATGTGACGAGGTTCTGGTGCGGTCCAGTGGAGGGGCTAACCAAAGGGTAACAAGTTTGAATCGGGACCAGGGCCCGGCAGGAGGTGGCATTTCAGAATTTTGAAAACGATATCCCCTTTGAAGCCAAAATTTGTTACGACTTCCCCTTTGACCCTATTTTTGACCTCCGTAAGTCCCTGACAAACAGATATACACAAATAATAAGATGGGCGGCCTCAGCGCTTATTATAGTATGTAGTACTACCTGGATTTCCTGTCCAGCCCGGGTCATCAAGGTTTCAGCTCAATGGGTTCATCCGCAAAGGAATCTATAAAAAAAACATAGGATCAAGATTTGCGCAAACTTTGACGCTTATATATCTAAGATACTACTCATTTATTAGTCAGCTGCGAAACTTTACAATTTACAATAATTGATTGCGATTGGAGCGCGCTTTCCGAGGCCGATCATAACGCTGTGGACCCTATTTGGGGCTATATCGAAGCGGTGCCTTGGTGTTTTTGAAAGCGGATTTGAACATATAGTAATACTCTCGATCTAGCCCACATTTATGTAAAGAAATCGGGGAAATTATGTAAAGGGAAGCAGGGAGCCACCTAATTTCGAAAAACACCATTTTTTAAATTCACATAAGTTTCTCACAATTCTTCATACTTTTTTTGTGCTCATGGTCCTCCAACTTTACAGCAAATTTGGTATCATATCGTTACTTGTGCATTGAAAACGAGCCTATTTTGTTATTTTCCTCTTACAAGAATTGCGATTTAAATTCCCGCCTGCGGGCAGCGATCGGAGCACAGAATCTTCACATTGCTGGAATCTAAGTTCATAAGACAGTAGCATCAACAAGGATTGACGAATAAAGAATGATATGTACATTGTTTATCGGTAAACAAAGGGGAAGTCGTATTTTGCGGTCCAGGGCTCCGCCCCGGACCTTAAAATACGACTTCCCCTTTGCTTTTTCGGGCCAAAAACGATATCCAGCTTGTAAAAGCGCCACCCCCGCTGGGCCCTGATCCGGACCTCAAAATTTCTACAAGTGTTGGCAATTTTTTGGTTTTCAGTACTCCTATAGCTTTGTGTCAGACTAATTTCTTTGAACCACTCATGCTGATAATGAAAAGCATCCATGCCGCATTTAGTTTCTGTAGTGTGGTCGGAATTTTTTTTATGGTGAATGTGTCGTTTTTGATTTTGTCACCCGTTGTTATGTCGCACCAACTTTTGTTGGCTGATGCATTCGAAGTACCTGATAGAACAGTGAAAGGATTTTACTTAGGTAGTCGTTGGGTCATGTGAGTTGCTCATCCATTGATAGTAAAACCACATAGATTTGCAATCTGCAATGATTGCCTGCGACCGTTTCTTGAAATCGTTTTTTAGAAGCAACGGTGTGCTTACAACGGCTGCACTCAGCGATCTTCTTTTTGAGACGTATGTCATGCAACGAAGCCTGGATAATAGCTTATTTACAAGAAAGTCCGTTTAGTCGAAGTGGCCTTTTTATGTGACTCCTATACCACTTTGGAGAGTAATGAAGGATGGTTCCAAGTTTTGTCTTTATCATCCGCTTCTGGACGTCGAGTAATGAGCGTTTTCGGGCTGGAAAAATTGTGTACCCAACTCGAACAAAAACTCTCCAGAATCGCTTAAATGATCCAGTGTCAATTATCAAAGCACTCATTCGATAGGCTACTTCAGTCTAATACACTCATACTCAATACTGCTCTTCTTGAGCGCTGAAAAGACAACGGTTAATTTTATCTAAAATCTGAGTTCTTTTCTTGCTAAAAAGTACAATTCTCCAGAGGCGCTTGGCGGATAAATGAAAAACGTATAGGTCTCATTTGAAAACGCCACTTTGACTAAATGGACCTCCCTTATCAGATTTAGGTGGCTGTTAATGACCTGAAGATTCAACGCTATCACACTCGAAGAATTTTCGTTTCTATACGTTAATGTCGAAAACGTCCTCTTTTGAGCTATCCGGCTCCTGAATACTAGGTTCAAAGGTTGCCAGCTAATATTAAGGCACAAGCACACTCAGTCTCAAAATTTTGATGTTTCAATTGGTACAAACACAAGAAAGACAGTGTATTACAATGATGCAGAATTTTGAGCACATGATGTCATGCAGAAGATGACGAATGTAATAACGGTTGAGCGAGAAAAGGTGAACATCTTGGTATGAGAAGCTCATGATTCAATGCATATATTGGAAGAGTTGAAACACAATATTCTTCTTCGCTAATGAGAGATCAGACAATGAGAGAACGCCGAAATATGGCCATATGATGTACATCTGAATAGCTAAGATAGCTAGCAAAAGTTTTGTTTGATGACTAAACTGTGGAAGCATTGCTTTTGATATTTTTTGGGAGCGAAATGGGAGAAGATTATCAAAAATGAGTCAAAAAAGGTGTATAAAAGCCACACAGTATCTTACATGACCATCACTTCCACGACCTCATTCCAAGCTCCTTCAGCTCCCTTTTGCCTTTCATAGTCATGGGCTCTCACTTTTGGGGTAAATGCTGTGTCTCTAGCTAATACTTTCTGCAAAACAAAAAATCAATAGGTACTATTTGATGTAGATAAATGATTTCTTTTGTAGTCTAACATGTTGGAAAGCCAGCTGCCTACTCATTCCATTCCTTCTGTAGTTCATAGCAGTACAGAGAATGGCTGTTTGCTCTGCTCATTTGGATCAGACAGAGTGGAAGCACGAACGATAGGTGCCGCCTCCTCGGACTATTGGTCCTTGCGCGGCATGAGATAACTTGTTTGTATATATAACATGGTATAGATGGCAACATAATATATACCTACTGTTCCTCTACTCGATCAGGTATAGCGTGTTAATCAGAACAGAAATTGATTGATTAGGCAAAGGGAATCGTGAGTAAATGGCATCAGCAGCAATTCAATCTCTTATGTCTCCTTTAGAGAAGATTGGTAAGAAATAGCCAATACTCTCTTTATTTGTAAGTAAAGCACTTCAAGTGAAAGATTCTGCAGTGATGTGCTCTTACGTTAGCCAAGAGAGTATACGTTTGATTTATTTTTATATTGGATCAAGACGCAATCACTGGAATGTGAAACTCTTCAGATGACCGTACTTTGGTTGCTTTATCTGGTTCAAGCGGCATACGCGGAAAAGATTACCAGGCAAGAGAACTTGATGCTGAAGGAAAGGTGCTATTCCAAGTGGACAGGTAACCAAGAAACAATGTCTCAAATTGTGCCTGGCACATCCGAACAATGGGATTTCAATAGTGAGCAAATTAATTACTTCAGCTATACTCTATGAGAAACCCTTTTTCTGCACTTATTGGTGTGGAATTTTCGAGTTGGGCACTAAGTGAAGTTGGTTGTAGAGATGTCGTATCGTGGAAATTGCAAAGAAGCGCCAATTTGGGGTACTCTTATAGATAGATCTGTTGGTATTACTGAGAAACCTTATCACTTTCAGTTATACAAAAGTAGTGTGCACCAATTTTGCCTATTACAAAAGTTAACAGTCTATAGTGGTTTCAATAAATCACATGAAAGATATAGATACCTTGCATGTCTTTCTATAGCGGTAAAGAACTGAAAAGGAGGGGTTCCTTTTTTAAAACCTTTTTAACGTATTTGGCGGCCTTCCAACGTAGGGGATTGGGTTCTTTAGGCAGAACTATTTTCACTCTAACCATCCCTTTGATTTCCTGTTTGAGTAGTTGCAGTAACGATATAAGCTCGCATTTAGTGCAAGCCAACAAATATAGACGTCAACCAGTCAACCAGTCAAATTATCCATTTGCAGTTGCACTGTCGTGGATTTTAGGTTAGAGTGACATAGCATTGCTACCCAAAACTTGCAGATCATGACAAATTGATTTTCATTGTTTTGCAGGGACCAGATATGATCCCATTCGCGGAAAAGATGTTGTAAATTTCACAACACCTGTATGCAGCGGCGTGCTGATATCTCCCCGCCACATCCTAACTGCCGCACATTGCTTAACCGTAAACGATACAAACGCGTGCAAAAAAGGGTACTGCTCAATTTTTTTGTCGTCCAAAAAGAAAACTTTCTATTACATCTACATCGTATTAGATTACCTGTACAAGAAAAAACCGCCCAGGAAGTTGGCGTTTTTCTCTACAGCTGCAACGACTTACAATGCTGGAGGAGTCAAGGAGTTCTTAGAGCGGCGTCCGTAAGTGCCACTGGTTGATTCCATATGTTAAAAACGTCTGCTACTTCACGTTAATAAATCGTAGTTTGTTTAGGTACATGTGCATCGAGACTATGTGAAGAAAGCATGCGGGGAATACTATAAATATGATATTGGTGTGATAGAGCTCGAGGAAAATGCATATTCTTCACCGATTTGTATGCCCCAATGGAACGATTTTGTTCCTCACACGGTCGAATCTATTGGGTATGGTAAAAATGGTGAGCACAAAGCGGACCTGTTCAGCGCCTAAGAAAATAGTGCGCAGATTCAACAAACTCGCCAAGATTGTGCCATCTGGTGAATTAGTACTCTACTTTCTATTGCAAAGTCGCCCAATTTGCTCTAAACGGTAGCAGAGATATGCGCTGCACGTGTGCCCCGCGGCACGGCCTCTCTTCTCCACTATTTCCAGAGATAAGGCGCTCCATAGCACGCAGATTCGTTTGGCGTGTTTGCCTTAGGCCTAAGGCATACCTCCAGCCTCCAGCAACCTCGTCGTTACGATTTTTAATCGCCGCAATCAGACTGCCTGGGCGACCATTGCGTGAAAATCGCTCATCGTTTGATAGATGGACATACCCAAAGCGATTCGGTAGACGCTCACAGGCGGCGTGTCAGAATCCTCCAAAGACCTGCCGCTTCTTCTCTAGGCGCACTCTTGGGAGGCAATAGTCTCCTCGCGTCTACCTCACGCTTATTTGCACTTGTTTCGCACATGGTTGCGATAGTTCCCCTTCGAACAATCGCTGGCGTCTTTCCTGGCATTAACTAAAAAGTCAATGCTTGAACGATGATTTTTCAATGATAAGAGGAAAAAGCTGTGGGATCTAATAAAACAATATAGTAGACCGACAATGGAAGTGCTTCTTGCTAGGGAAGGTCACTTAGTCGAAGTACCGTTTGAAAGTTGATGCATAACAATACAAGGGAGCTCGAAATGCTGATTTTATATCCGCAAAGCGTTTCTCCAAAGACAGTAATGTGTTTTTTAGTATTCAAGGCGAAAGTATGGCCCAGAAAGGAAAGGCGTGTGCACAATAGCATGGCCGGAAAACACTCGAAAACGTACAGATGACGTCAGATTAGATACGATGAAGTGTTTTGATTAAGTCTGCATCCTTTTTGTGGAAATTATTTTGCAGCTCAGAATGCATGAAATTTGGAAGTAAGAAAAGCTTAAAACTTTTCGTGGAAGGAAGCTTCGCAGAAATATGGCATCTAAGAGAGAATTCAATTAGTAAAGGGTTTTTATTAGCATTTTTGCTGTGATTTTGTTCCTGCTGAATAACATACCCATTCAAAGTTCTGTTTCCCACAAGAACAAAAGCTTAAAGACACCGTCCACCCTAAGCTGAGGGTGTTGAGCTTTTGGCAGCATAAATACTACGGTCCTTGTCATCCAATGCCCAAGTCGCGACGCAAAATGTCGCTTTGTAAGCGAGAAAATCACTTCGGAATAGCGAAGATGCACGAGGACCCCCAGCCATGCCCGCCCTCCTCCATCCATGCCCGCCCATTTGTGCGCTCCCATCCAATCACCGTTCCGGAAAGCCGGCCTGTGTGTTCTCCGGAACGAGGACTATCGGGGTTTTCGCGCATTCTCGAAACTTCATATTCGGAATCAGGGACATGAGAAGTCTCTGAAACGACAAAAACGTGGAAGTGGAAAATCTGAGTGGACAATACCTTTAAGTACAGCGGGCTCAATGAAACGCCAAAAAAAATGGTGTACAACGTGTTTTTGTAGTTGTATATTTCCAAAAACATGCTCAGTACTTGACACCAATGATAAGAAAACACGATCGCCGTTTGCTTCATCTTATTCATCACAACTCAATAGCGATAGTGGAATGTATCTGCCTGTCACTCAGCTTAATTTGCATGTTTTTTGTTTGCTATCGTAAATGGTTGATGCGGTGATCTTTCCGACTACAAAAACAACTTTTCTAATTCACACCTCGACTAAGGGAGGCAGAGTGTTTCATCTCCATTTGTTGGTACTGGAAGTTTCATATTTTCATCTTTTGTTAAATTGAAAAATCCACGTTCAAGCAGTGATCTTTTTAATTGATGCCAGGAGAAACAAGGCGATTGTCCGAAGGGGATCGCATGAATGTGTGAGACAAGTGCGACATAAGCGCGACGTAGGCGCGACAGGATTACTGCCTCCCAAGGGAGCGCCTGGAGAAGCGGCGGACCTTTAGAGGATCCTCAGCGCCCTCCACGCTCACATACCACATCGCGTCATACGCATTTTTTGGAACATTTGCGCTAGTTTGTCTGAAGTGCATTTATTTGAGAAAATTCGAGGGGGGTATGCCTTAGGCATTAAGATTGATATGGGTGCTGCTAATAAAACAGTTGCTGATGGAAGGATGATTGCATCAACTTGTTGTTCTAATTGTTGTTCAACTTACATTTCAGGAGAGGATGATTCTATTCAAGCGGTGGCCTACGCCATGATAACCGAGAAGCCTGAAGATAACACTATTGAGGCCTTCACTAAGTATAAGAATGAAGGCAGTATCGGGGTAAGCCAGCCGACATGCTTACCTTCCACATTTTGAATGATTTGAAAACAGAAAAATAGACTTTTTTATTGAAAAACTGTTTGGGAATTTTCATTTTGTGTAAGATCGGTTACAAGGAAAATCAGTTTGCAAATAGCTGAGATTGTGCGAAAAAAGACGTCTATTTTCATTTAGGGAGACAGTGGTGGACCACTGGTAAAGAAACTGAATGATAAACACTATCTTCTCGGTATATTATCGGCAGAGGGAACGAAAACTCAGCCGTTATTGGGTAGGTTGTTCAATTTTATATTATGTTGGCCCGAAAGTTCTTTCGCACCATTTTCAAAAAATCATAACTTCTGATTTTTCCAACCGATTTGACTGCTTTTATTTTTACGTGAAAGAATTGGTCATGCCCTTTATAAAGGCATCTCAGCTACTTACTAGTGGTCATCTGTTGCATAGATAGGAGCGATAGAAGAAAATTGGTCAAAATTTGAATTTTTCGTGTAGAGTCAGAAAAAAATCTGAAACTTGCAACAAAAATCGGAACAGTCGGTATTGTAGGTTCTTTCACCAGGTCTTTCCAACAGTGCGAAGTTTGCGCCGATTGAGCGTCTCTATGAAAAGTTATGATTTCCCTGAAAAATGCCAACATAACAAATTCGCCCTTTTGTATTGCTTGCTTGAAAATCATAACTTTTCATAGATACGCTCAATCAGCACAAACTTTGCACTGTTAGAAAGAGCTGGTGAAAGAACGTACAATACCGACTGGTCCGATTTTTGTTGCAAGTTTCCGATTTTTTATGACCCTACACAGAAAATTCGAATTTTGACTAATTTTCTTCTATGCTTATATCTATGCACTTTATGCTTAGCAGAAAACCGTTAAGGAGCCCCTATGAAGGGAATGAATAGCTCTTTCATATGAAAATAAAAGCAGTTAAATCGATTGGAAAATCGAAACCTATGAATTTTTGAATTTGGTGCGAAAGAACTTTCGGCAACCTAATAGAAGGGGGCCTGTAACGGGTCGTTGTTTAATTCTTGTGATGCAAAAGCCAACACAGTCATTGGAAGAAGATATTCAATTTGTGAGCTTTTGGTCCTTTCAGCATCCAAAGGCATCAAAAGCGCTAGAAAAGTAAAATTCTTATTTTTGAATTTTTGAAACAACTAATTCAAAGCCGCATCCGAAATACAAGAGCTGACATTCCAGTGACCTAACAGCTTTTTGATGCATATAAATTCTCTCAGAAAGTTCCGCAAAAAAGGAGAGTAGATTTGGAATCATCGTTTGATCGCGTCTACTGATTACATAACTTGATTATATTCTTTTGATTGATAGTGCCAGAGGACTGGCGGCCAAATGAAGCACAGTGATTTTGCTTCAAGGCAAGTATATCATAAAAGATAAAAGATAATATACTATGAAAAGGGTAGAATGAAAAGATACAGGGTAGAATCGATTTCTTAAATGGCCACCTCCAATTCTCTTTGTCGCAACATGATGTTCAGTAGCATGTGAGAAGGTCTAGCAATTCGTGGAGCGACTACCAACGGAATTCGCACTTTTCCCCCATAAGCTAATTTTATTTTTAGAGATTTTAGATTTTTTTAGTATTTTTTGAGTGTTTATTTTTTTTGATGCAGCAGTTTTGCTCCAATTTATTAAAAAGTTTTTATTACTGAACTAGAAGCATGATTCAAAAAGCGCACTTGAATGAACGCAGTCATATATGATCATGAGAAATCAATTCAGTGTCGATTGGGAGTTCCGAATGCAAAAGGTTTTGCTCGTCTTTTAAAACTTGGCCGAATAACTCAAACTAACTCGATAACTGAACAATTAATTTTGATCGTAATCGATTCAACCTACTTGAATTTTCCCCAAATTGATTCCTCCTCACTGTCCGACTCTCCAAAATGAGGGCTGTAATATTCTGCCGAAGTATTCTTTGATATTATTACTATCTATAGCTTTGTAAGAATTTGGGTATGTTTTCTTATATTTCTTATGGCAACGCTTACGAAAGCGTAAGTAACACTTGGTATACTAGACTGCTCCGATTTGTGAGTTTGTATGAATTTACATGCATCACTATTTATTTGTTAATATACATATGCTATTTCAGTATCAAGCGTATTTGTCGATGTGCGAAAATATCTGGATTGGATTTGCATAATAACAGGTCAGTAGAACCATAATACAACACAGTAGAATGGCTGTGAAAAGTGATAGCTCAAAACACATGACAGACTTGTGCTAAAAAAGCGAAGATTTTGAAACAAAACCCTCAAATCGCACCAGAGATTGCGCCCGTCGATAATAGTGTTTGGGCGAGAAAATGTTCAAAGATGTATCTTCCGAGCAAAATTTTCTAATTTTTTCATTCAGGAGTTTGTCCGCTTATCGGAGATTCTATGGAATACGAGCCACCATTTTTCACAGGACTTGGATGATCATCGGCTTTGACGACATTCGCGAAGAATGAAACAAAAAACAGTAGAAATGTGAACAAACATTGTCCGTTCCATAAAAGTTTTTGCATCACCGTACCGCATTCCTAACCTCCGCTATTTGTTTGTATGAGCAACTCAACACATCAGGTAATTTGAGAAGTACAGTTCTTTTGTACAACTGAATTCGAACGAGGTCAAGTTCTTCCGAGATTCACTTTTACATCAAATTAGCTATAGAGATGTTCGGTGGCTTTCTAGCAACGAGCGTTATTATACCTCTTTCGTAACTTCACAGCAATCCATAAAGTCAATAAATACGCTTTTAACTAGCCTTTCAATTGGGCCCTATTACTTCTTTGAGGCCTTGGACGGGAAATTAATTTGGAAGAAGTATGAAAAAAATGGTGGAGTAAGTAGTTGTGTTTTGGTGTGCATTTACTTGCCTTTTTCAAAGCCACCTTTTCTGCAAGTCTTTTTGGTGCGGGGCGGAAATGACACCCGAACAGTTTCAAGTTTTGAATCGTCATTATACAATACCGCTCACATTTTTTTGAAAAATAGAGCGAATGTAAGGACATGTATGGACATGTATGGACATGTACGGACATGTCCATACATGTATGGACATCTCCGTACATGTCCGTACATGTCCGTACATGTCCATACACCAGAGTCGCGTGGCCATATCTCGCTCCAGTGTGGACGAATTCTGAATCCAAAGCCACCATTCGATTCAGCTCGGCGCGGAGAATCTTCTGATATAATGGAAGTGGGGGCACGATGTCTTCGATATTCCGTTTCCAGTTTTTTTCAATTTGCTCTGCGGAGGTCCTTTCGCGAATATGTGAAGCAACGCCTACCCAACATAGAAGACATTACTGACAAGGGAAGGAGGTCAGTCGAAGTGGCCTTTTGCGATGACTTGTATATCATTATGTAGTGCATAAAACGCTGATTCCAAATCTGTCTTCCTTATTTGCGGTGCGTTCCTGCACAAGAAGTTATGAGCGTTTATTGGAGAAAAAAATTGAATGTGCAAATAACATAAAACAGTAGTAACATTATTCCTAGCGCTTAAATGGACAGTGGTAATCTTCCCAACACTCTATAAAATAATTACTCTGCGGTGAGATATATTCACACTCCGGCTGTCTCATTCAAGCGCTGGGAAAATTTTAGCCAATGTTTTTATCCCAGAGAAACACTCATTTTTTGCTCCTTCAAACGCTCATACTCCTCTTCCAGGAGTGCGCCGCAGATAAGGAACACAGATTTGGAATCAGCCTTTTATGCCCTTTACTATAGTATACAATTCATCTCAAAAGGCCGCTTCGACCAACCATCCTTTCCTTGGGAGTACTATTCGATAATAATGTTTTTGTAGATTATTGTGCGCTAAAAATAGGCTCAGACTTCTTTCCAAAGGAGATAGAAGCGTTGGTGAATCGTGAGAAATTACGGGGTTCTAAATTGTACTCGACATAACTTCCTTCGGAATAAGTATATTCTGAATCCGAAAGCAGCGCCTTGCTCAGCTCATCAAGGCGAATCTTCTTATATACAGCATGTCCTTGATATTTCGATTTCAGTATTCTTGAATCTTTCTGAGAACGTCTTTTTGCGAAGGTCTAAAGCAGCGAGCATTGTTCCGAGTACATTCCAGCAAAGATCTTTCGATAGTACTTTTTCTGTAGATTACTGTGCTGAATAGTAGCCGCAGGTTTCTTTTCAAACGAAATAGAACGGCTGGTGAATTGTGGAAAAATCTTGTCGTCCCAAATTCTACTCGCCATAGCCGCAGGATACGAAGCTATCTTGTTAAGCAGATGTGAGTTTCGCAATCAACAGGCCGGATAACCTCTGTGAGCAAATTTGCAGAGATGTTCGGGTTATTCCATTTTTTCTCGTTTTCGATGATATTGATGCTAATCAAAGTTAGAAGTGTTAAAAAACCAAAGCAATATGAGTATATAATCCTTATTGTGATCTTCATTCAGATTACTTACCATTACACCATTTTGTGTTTCTATAATGCTCGTAGACAAGAGCCGATATCTCAAGGGCGCCTCAACCCCAGACAGGGCCCGGCACCGATGGTTTAGGGTCAAACTGGACTCCTTTCTGGAGTTAGAAGCAACGGGGACATCGTTTTTATGAGGTCCTGGAGGAAGCGCCAATAAAAAACACGACGAACATGTCAGCTCTCACGAGTTGAACGTGTTCTTTCGCCGCGCGAATTTCAAATGCAAGACTCAAATAAACAAATGGCTTGTTTACAGCGCACAAACAATCACATGGCTCCGAATTTGGGCTATGAGTATACAATATTACTCCAAACTATGTTAAGTAAAAAGTTCCCAAAACTTATGTGTCCTAATATCCGTTCTCGAATTTGTTGGTTTCTAGACCAATTACCAAACCAACTGGGTTGGTTCGGAGCATAAATATCGGAAAGTTCACATAAGTTTTGGACCTTTTTGATTTGGACGATTAGAACGGTCAAAAATCTATCAAATAGTGAAGAGAGCGGATCAAACCGTTGCCTCTCCCCTTTTTTGAGTCAAAAGTAGTACAATTCTACGCTGGTAGATATCGCGCTCCAATCACTTGCGGTGTCCTTTGAAATATGTGGCGAAAAATGCATCGCAGGATTGTTGAGGCTACAGATTTGGTTGGCCTGCGGGATTTTCGACATTCCCAGCATCAAGATGGTAGCATACCCAATGGCAGAGCCTTTAATCGACTCGAAATGTTTTCTTTTTGCTTTTTTGTTATATTGCATACCTCAAAATGCGCTTTTTTCGCTTTTTTGTTGTCATTTTGGTTGAATAAGGATTTCCCCACTGATTTTCACGTCGAGAGGGACTTCGTAAATTTTCGCGAAGTCATGGGGGACTTCGTTTCCTAAAAACCTCCAAATCAACGCGTGCCGGGCCGGCCCTGACCCCAGAGAGAAGCACCCCTTATAACTCTTTTTACAAAACAGTTCCGCAGCTAGAAACTATAGATTTGGAATCAGCGTTTCAAGCGCTTTCAGACGATGTATGTCTCCTTTGGATTAGTACTTTCGACTAGGTATCCTCTCCATGTAATATACAAAGTGGAGCTCATGCGCCAGGCTATCAAAGAAAATTACTGTTTGACAGTACCATAAGCATGCGAACAAAACCCTAATTCTCGTAAGAAACTGGCCTTGAACTCTTTGAAATATGTGTAATGGAGGTACACTCAGGGTAGAGGAACGACTAACAACTGGTTCTTTTGCTCTCTACTACACAGCGTGTGAGGACACAGTTCCGCGGAGACGGTGCTCAAACATTGACGACCAGACCCTTTCTCGGACCAGCCAGCAATTTTCAGATGAAAGCACTCACAGTTCCATCTACAGTACACCTACAGTAGCGCTGGAATGCTGGCAAAAATAGTAGAGGTTGCATCTAGATCCAGCATAAAAGAAAACTCCCAGAGTTGGTTTGACACAAATTAGTAGCCATTCCAATGAGAGTCATGGTGTGTCAAGCCTTGATACACCATGTTTGTCAAGCGGTCGTAAATGTGTTAATTAAGGTATTCGTTCTCTACCCATAATACGGGTACACGAATCGATCTAGGTACTGTATACAAGTGTGCAGGTAGACATATGTATTAGAAACATCGCCTTCAGAAACATTGTTGACAATGTAAGCCGAATTTTCCCGAATGCAAACCACGCACAATGGGATAGATCGTATCTTTGACTTGCTTATAGACGGATTATGCAGCTCTGCTATACGGATTTTTATGTCATTCCAAAGGCACTTCTTCTACCGCTCTTATAGTTACCGGACAGAGGACCAGTGCATCATCCAAACTGCTTCTGCGACGATATTCACAAGGCGCTACAAATCGAGCGCATTTCGCTGCAAGTCGCTGTAGCAGAGTGTCAACAGCGTAAACAACGGCACGGGTGGTCGTTGATCAATCACCAAACATCGGCGCACCCCCCCCCCCCCTCCCCTCCCCTCCCTCTCCCACGTCGCCGCCGCCGAGGTCGATCATTCGAGTTGTTGTCGTTTGCAGTACCGCGCTTTCTGCTTCATGAAATGTTATTTCCTTTGATTTGCATAGTCGAAATGTTTCACAAATCCTAAACTTCATAAGCAAGTTAGCGTCGTACGATTAGTCGTCGATACAGATCTGTGAGCTTTTTCAAAGCAAGTTTGATTCTCTGACTCCCCATTCGTAAGGATTTCACAATTGTGGAAGGAGGATGATGCGCAACAATTTTGTTGAAGAAAAGGGCGTGATCAATCAGCCTTTCAAAAGAAATACGCTTTATAAAAGTTGCGTGCCCGTAAATCTCTCAAAATTCTTGCAGGCTCAATTCGCATTTTCAGAAATTGATTTTGATTATCTGGGGGTAAAGTATTATCGTCTTTTGCGCTATTTTATAACTCACTAGCTGGCTTAACCGGCTCCGCCGTATGTTCCGAATAAAAATTCCATTTCTTAACCGATCCGGACCAAATTTGGCACACATACACTTCGGGCCCCCGCGGGTGTCACAGTCCACTTTTCGTTATCGATCGATGTCGATTTTATCGATTTTTTGCAAAATTTGAGCTAGGGGGCTGGAATTTGGCAGAGAGGTGTAATCGAGCATGCTGATCACCCCCACGGGGGTGAGTGATCAGCATGCTCGAGCATTACCCCCCTGTGCCCACTCCCAGCCCTGTAGCTCAAATTTTGCAAAAAATCGATAAAATCGATATCGATCGATGACGAAAAGTAGCCTATGACACCCGCCGGGGCCCGAAGTGTATGTGTGCCAAGTTTGGTCCGGATCGGTTGAGAAATGGAATTTTCTATTTGAAACATATGTACATACAGACATACAGACATACAGCTTTATATAGATTTGGCCCACTTTGAAATTTTGAGACCTTTTGGAAGATGGGAGGAGCCATTTCGCAACCTTCAAGCAATTTGTTTTAGCTTGTTTACACAAATGAAGTGTTGGAAGAGAAGTGGGGCTTCGTTTCATATTTAGTTGACTCCATGTGATTCCTCTAAAAGTCGTGCTCCTGGGAGAAGGGTTATTTAGCATGCAGGTCATCATAATAATCTTGAACGGTAGCGATATTTTGGGGGTACAACGTTGGGTGGATCGAAATTTCAGATTCGTTCAAAACACTGTCTAATGGTTCTAATGTGTTGTTTTCCATATTGTGTACGGTTATGATGACGGATCTGTGAAGACTTTTTAGGCCATGTCCCACACTATAAAAAGATCTCTAGGCGCAATTATTACCATTTGCTATATTCACGCTGATGGCGCTTCTCCCTCCCCTCCCAACCCCAGGCAAGCTTGAAACTACAAGATTTTGTAGCATCTCCCTTTTCCATCGTGATTCAGTAGACGGCGTTAAACTGCATAACTGACTTTTTGTGATCAGCGTTTCAAATATTAGGTTGTCCAAACTAAACCGTTTTTCTAGATAAATCAAATTGTTTTTGTTTTCCTAACAGACCTCGGGTACCAATCGATGGAATAAAGCAAGTCTTACATACTGACCTCCAAAGATCCATCTAAGTCGTAATCCATGTAAAGTTTAGAAGAAAAATAACTTTCCCCTAAAAATCGGACCTCTTTTCAGTAGGTTCCTGCGGACCTCCAACTTGGTCATCGACCGTATACATACAATAGTATTCATAAATACACTTGCCGGATACTTCCGCACAAGAAAGTATGCTGGAACTTTCCGCGGCTCAAAATCAAGAAAAACAGAAGTAGTCTTAGAATGCAAAAATGCCATTTTCTCGGGTTTTTAATTGTTAGACTTGGTATCTTAGAGATATAATTTCGGAATAATGCTTATTAAGGTTTACAGTAGGCAACACGTATGTGTTACGAGCTAGGGGCGGAGTTTGCCACTATTGGTCCTTTATCGGTTTCTAGGAAACAAATTAACAAATGCATTTATGGATAACACCACGTTTTTCTGTATAACGACCGGTTTGGAGTTTCGTAGAATTTTTTTTTCGCAAAAATTCAATTTTCAGGTGACAAAATTTTTTTTCCGGTTTTGGCTACAAAATTTACCTGAATGACTCAGGTAGTTCTTTGAAGATCATTTTGTAAAGCTTTGCTTCTGTGAATGGTACCTCAAATCTGCTAGGAAAACAAGAACAATTTCGTTTATCTTGAAAAACGGTTTGCTTTCCTTACAACCCAGTAGCTCCTCCGAACATAGGTTATCATCCATACTCTTGAATTTTTCAATTATTGTGGAATAGTGCCGATGATTCTGTGTTTCGCCAGCAGTGAGAGATAATACGATAACAGTGCATCATTTTTGATCAGCTGATTATGCAAGAGATCAGTGAGAACTCAGTCTGCCTCTCAGGACCATAATATTTGCTTTATCGATAGCAACTCTCGGAGGTAAACAACCCTAAAAAGCCAGTGCTTGATGTTAACTCCGATGTTTTGCCAAAGCTCTCAAATCAAAACTTCTTCAGCCTCAGAGCTAATACCAATATCTTCAGCTGGTTTGGTTGTGTCTAATTTTCGTCCACTTGGACAAAATTTGCTTGAATCATCAATTGGCCAAAAGATATCATATTCCGATATGAATACAGATTTCCATCAACTACGAAAAGCTAATTCAGATAAGATTTTTTGCGGGGAAGCTTCAAGCCGCTGCTAGCTCCAGCATTCCGGATCTTTCACTTATGAATGCACAGGGTCTTATAAAGCGGCCAGAAGGCACTTTTTTGAGTTTCGGACTATCCCTTACTTTTTCAAAGTTGCGCATATCCACAAGTTTTGGCTGCTTAGCGCTAACGAACTTTTTGTGCTGCAGCGGATTTCCTATCGACAATAATTTGAGAATTATTCACACTCGTGCCCGAAAGTCGATATTTAAGGCAACCCGAATCGCAGTTGACTACCTAAGACCATGCTCGTTCGAAATGCCAAAATCGGAAGCATAGGTACCAACTGCTTTTTATATCCAGAATTCAACTTATCCAGATTCTTTTAAAAATGTGGTTTTTCAAATATTTTGTAGAAGGATCGAAGTTTCGCTGTCGGATTTTTCAAAAACACCCACCTCCTGATTTTCCCAAGCATTTTTGTATAGTCTGTGTCAATCACGTACTCGCTTTTCCATTGGCGCAATCGCTGCGTCACGTTTGTGTGCGTGTTGTTTGAGCGTTCGAGTTGGGTTTATCGATTGAATGTCCACAAGCCAGGGGCGGTATGCAACAATCGCCCATCCGGGTAAGTTACCCGGACAGGTAGTTTCCGCTTCATAGCTTAGTGCTCTGGGAATCTGCGTTCTTCCTTGTTTGTTCATCTATTGGAGGCTCTACTACCCTAATATTGTAGCACAATGACTAGCAGCACTTTGCTGTACAAGCTGAGATAATTCGTTACTTGTATGAACCCGAACGGGATCTCCCACTGATCACGCTCATTTTCAAAGCTATTTGAATCCGCAAAAACTCAATTAAGACGTCACAGAGTTTTGCTGTCGACCTATTACGACATGCTAGGCATGTTTTTAGTAGCACAGATGAAATGCGCAAGTTTTGAGTTTTTCGATAGAGCCCAATTCGCGAGCACAGGTTCAGCGAAGATTTTGTCAACTTGATTTTTCATTTATTTCTTTCACAAACCTGCGTAGCACTGTCGTAATAAATGTACAGCAAAACTCTGTGACGTTTTCATTGAGTTTTTGCGGATATAAACAACTTTGGAAATGAGCGTGATCAGTGGGAGATCCCGTTTGGGATCATACAAATAACGAATCATCTCAGCATATACAGCAAAATGCTGCTAATCATTGTGCTACAGTGTTAGGGTAGTAGAGCCTCCAATAGATGAACAAACAAGGAAAGACACAGATTCCCAGAGCACCGAGCTATGAAGCGGAAACTACCTGTCCGGGTAACTTACCCGGACGGGCGATTGTTGCATACCGCCCCAGATCCTTGCGTTGCGGATAGGTGCTAGTTTTCTACGCGAAAGGGAGTATAGTTCATTTATAAAATCGTGACGATGGATTTTGCTGCGGACTCAGCGCAGAAAAAAAACATCCGAGAAAAACTGACAATTTTGAGTGTTCTTATGAAGTTGTTGTAAACTTGCTATCTATTTGTGTATTTGCGGCACCGTTCTTACTGTTGTGTGCGCCCTGCCGTGGCCTATATATGGAGCAAGTTTGAAGATTTTAGAGAAGTTCTAGAATTTTTCAGAATTTTACAATAAAAATGTAACAGAAATTATCCGCTAACCTAATATTATCATACGTAGGCAAAAAACCACTCGACCAGAGATGAAAACCAAGAAAATGCGATGTCCGGAAATGGCGTCGTGTCGCGTGCGGTCGCGCTATCGTCACGATTTTTCAAACCCCTATACATTGACACAGACTGTACCAACTATTTGTGCAGAAAACTGCAACCTATGTATCAGCCCGCCAATATGGAAATTGAGGAAAATCGGAAGGTGGGCACCATTCAAGAAAAACCAAACGATCTCTTCACCAAATTTGCAAGCCACTTACCTCATCGTGCATGTTCCGTCGTAACCTTTAATAGATTTTTTGACTGCTAACATGCATGATTGCAGTGACTTCACTTCGACAGATACAACTAACAGCTGCAAGAATGACGGATCATTCAATTTATCAGTTCCACGTAAAGGATGCGGACGGAAAAGATGTTTCTCTGGAGAAATACAAGTACATTTACGGCATACTTCATTTTTTGGATTAGTAATCGGTTCTATTTCAGAGGCAAAGTAGTAGTAATCGTAAACGTTGCATCGCAGTGTGGCTATACTAATTCCCATTATACTCAGCTGAAGGAGATGCTTGACAAGTATCATTCGAAAGGCCTTGAAGTAGCTGCATTCCCTTGTAATCAATTTAATAATGAGGTAAGGATTTTTCTACCATAGCAGTAGTACGTGAGTGTACACTTCAGTAAACTAACCTTAATTAAAGTGCCTTTGCGGTATCAACAACATTGGCGCGTGAAACAGCTTCACGCGATTTCAGTCGCCACGCTACCTGGCACATCGCCAGATGTTTTTGAATCCAACATTGGCACACTACAAATGCATAGTGTGTGTAATCTTTGTAGACTGACAGAATGCCTTACTTTTAGTATCTTCAAAATGCGCTTGCGATAAGTTATGGATAACTAATTATTGCCAAATCGCGTGTAATCGAAATCGCATGAAGTATGCCGGGGCCACTGGCTACCCGTGAAAACTCTGTTCAAGGATTTCACGCTTACCTGACGCATCCTTCTCTTTCATTCTGAAAATGGAGCTGGGAGAGCGGCTTCAGGAACTTCGTTGAATTTAAAAATAAAAAAATTGGAAAAAATTCCGCCAAGGTTGGGAATGAGTAGTCGTTGCGGGACCTGGTTATAAATGTGTGTCGCATGAGTATCCTAGCATTGATGGTAATAGTGGGTAGGAGGAATCCGAAGGGGGGCTGCTCAACACTTTGGAGAATCCGTATTTTATCGACGCTCTATTTCACTTCTTACTTACTGCCTGACTGGCGAAGGTGAGCGGGGAGGGAGTGGGGGATGGGGCTCCCCACTACAACGATATGAATTTCGGACTCCTCCCCCCCCCCCCCACGTCCTGTGTGCCCAAGAACCATTTTTTACGCACAAGTGTTGTCGGCAGTACTTTTTTCCGCACGAGTTATTACAGCATTGTAGGGGTACCGTATCAGCTACTCTACTAGTTATGCAATCAAATCAAACCGAGTTTACCTTGGCCACTTCTAGATATGCCAGAAGTTGTTTCATCAAATTGCTTTACTAATACTCAACATCACTCTTTTGATTCTAAATGGTAGATTACAGCTTGATGATGCTTGTAAACTCCATTTCAGGAACCCGGTTGTGAAGTAGATATCAAGAACTTCATGAACGACAAGTACAAATTCGAACCGGATCTCTATGCCAAGATCAAAGTCAATGGTGGTGAAGCTGACCCTCTGTTCAAATTTTTGAAGAAGGAAAAGGTTGGAGAGTTTGTCATATCAAATCTGGATAGATGAATTTGCTTTCATTTAGGGCGGAACACTCATAGATGCTATTAAGTGGAATTTTACTAAATTCTTAGTAGATAAAGATGGAAAAGTTGTGAAGAGATATGGACCAAATACGGAGGCAAAAGATATGGAGAAGGATGTTGAAGCTCTCTTGAATAATTAGATCAACTTCTTTTCTGCTTACGTACATATTGTAAATATGATCTTATCTCTGCTTTCACGCAAATCACTTTCTATATAGCGGTTTTTGAATATCGCAAGTTCCTCGATACCTCTCTCAAAACGTCACAGTGATTGTCTTTGCAACTTATGCAGTTTTATGCACTTTATTCGTCAAATAAAAATGTCGAACCAGATGTTTTGGTTGGAATGGACATGCATACACTTGTGAATAAGACTTTTATGATTGTGCAGACCGAACAACATCTGTACTATACAATAACCCCTTTCAGCATTAGCTCGGATCTGTACACCGCAAGCTCCGCCGTACTTAGAAGCAAGAGACCTTTTCTACAGAATTGTTGTCAGAATTAGAAATGAAGTCTTCTGGATGGGGTGGGGGCGGGGGAAGAACATGCTGGCATTCTGGAAAGTAGTTAATCGGGGGAGGGGGTGCAGAGCCAACCGACACCAGATTAGGTGGACATTCCCACAAGGGAGGGTCTCGAAGTGCCGATCACCGCAAACTGCATACCGTTAGTGAGATCTTGGAGCGATGACTTCAAATTTGCTCGTCCCATCTGCAGATCCCTTCTGGAGACGTTACGAGCATTTTTTAGAACGGAAAATGAAGTAAGGGCCTAGGGTAAAACCAGTCACTGTAGGCTTCCATTCTACAAATAAAGCAGCCGCAAGTGTCATGATATTTCACATCATGAATTCTTTCAATTTAGAATATCAGTACTTCCTGTTTTTCCATCTGAAGTCTAAAAAGACTGTAGCGATTTATTAATCCTAGCCAATGGAAAGCACATTTGGAATCAACTTTCCAAGCTTTATGGTATGCAGGAACAGTTTGCAGTATTAGTAATCGGCCGCTTTGACTTCGTAACACTATCTTGTCAGTTCGTTCGGACTTGAAGGCACTGTCCCAGCAAAACTTCGCTTTCCGGTTTTTCACCTCTTCGGGGCCTTCTCGCCGCGCTGAAGCCATTTCTGAGCTTTTCAGCTCTTGAAAGTGGGTAAAATGAGCTTTCTTGTTGAAGCTCTCCGTTGTAAAAACGGGGCGGGGTCTGAAAGTGGGTGGGTTCGGAAGACTTCCGGAGCGGATTTTGGGCTTTGCAGAAGTACTTTCCTGCTCCAGACTTCAGTGATAGACTATCTGGAGGGTCTACCATTGGAACAATGTAAAATTCCGGCACCCATCATTTTGAGAGGACGCTGCCTGTAATCACACAAACATCTTTACAAGTGCCAGCCTTGAAGTGAGATTATGGCTGGATCTTTTCCAAAAGCAGTCGCTTTGACCTCCAAAAGGAAATTTTTTGCTGTTCCATTATCAACAAAAAATCGGCTATTTCATCAAAAAATCTTGAGTTCGCCGTACTGCGACGAATTGCTTCGTAGAGAAACTTTTTGAATTTTTAAAGACTCAAAAAAACCATACAAACGCAATCAGTGTGCTTGGCTTTATTTTTGGAAGGATGACCATATCAAAATGTGCGGGAAACCTTATCTTACTTCTTTTTGTGGGCACTGCAAACAGATAGTGCGACCTTGTGTCAGTTAGAACACAGAAGACAATAACAATTGATAAGAAAGAGCTAGAAAATAGCGCAGTTGTGGGCTACCTATCAGCTATGCACTGGTTGTTCCTCATATCCCTGGTCCTTCTCGCGGATGCCGCTAAGAACAGGTACTGGATTTCTGAGCATACTTATAGCGCTGAATTAGTCAAAGATGACTATTTTCAGGTATAATCTGAAAGGATGCTACCGTAGAACGGGACGAGTCTACGAGGATAAGTATGTTACACTATTGTCACTTATTAATAAAAACACATAGTTTCATAACCCATTCAGTACGAAAAAAGTTGATCATCATCACCAACTGTCCATGACAAAAACAACTGATTGTGAGTATGGCGATGGTAGCGAGTAAAATTAGTTGTTTATTTCCAATGGGACCATCACATAAAATATGACGGTCATTATTCTATAATAGAATTATTCTTGAAAATTAGCAAGCTGAAAAGATAGATGCAATCACTGACCAGTAGCAGTTTTCACGAGCTTTGGTCAGTTATGATTTTTATATCTGCAGCCAATCAGCAAATTTTCTGTTCAGTAGTTCCTATTGCTCTTGATGAATACCATTTAAGGCTTCAACGTCGAATTTACGAACACCACGCATACGATTTTGATGCATTGCCATTGGCTTGGGATTGGCGTAATGTCGATGGAGTCAACTACGCCTCGGTTGATAGGAATCAACATATTCCACAGTGTAAGTGAAACATTTTGGACAGAGTAATTGAAAGAAAAGGAATCCAAAGAAAAGTAAAGTATTATACAAAATTCAATTTTCCAATCGAGACGAGATTTTTGTCGCCAGATGGACACTAGCACATTCTTAGTATTTTATGATGTTTTAAAAGAATTTCAAATTTACAACAAAATATGTATGACAGTCCCATGGGCTGCTCGCTGTTGATTTTAAGATATAAGTTCAAAACTTGAATTTGGGAGGTCAAAAACGAAAATCAAATTAATGGCGTTTTTGTGTGATATTTTGATCAAGTTCTCGCCAGAAGCTGCCAACTTTGCAAGTGATGGCTTCAATAGTAAGGCTATAGCACTTTGTCTGATGTCATCAAAAAAACTCGCAAAGCTCGAAATTAGCTTGTTAAATTGGTAATCTCTGGGATGACCGCGCCTCTTGATCGCCTCCCGGTTTTTCTATAAATTACCCTAAAATCCGGCATATAAGTCCTCCCATCAATTCCGCCCATCAGATAAGTCCGCTTTTTGACAAGGAAAGTCCGGACTAATATGCCGGATTTTAGGGTAGTAGAAAATAATTTTCGTTGAGAATGAGTCTGATAAAAAGGTGCTCTATTCTTGTACGATACGTGTTCTGCTAAACTGGCTGCTTTCAGACTGCGGATCTTGCTGGGCAATGGGTAAGTCTTCTTTCTCCTTGATAAAATGTAGTATGTGTCAATCACTCTCACCACTGGTAGGGACAAATGATAATCACACAAACTGAATGGTTTTTGGGTCTGCTTTGATAGCAAGTAATGGTCCCTTCACTCGTGGCAACCATATGACACCTCAGTCCTCATTCCATAAATTTACATGTAAAGATGTAAATATTAACAATTCTCAAAATTATGGACTTCCCTCACCAGAAACTCGAGGGAAGGCCTGCACTTTTTGAACTTCAACAGGCACGAAACGAAGTTTAGGTATTTCCATAACGAAATTTCTAATCAACAGCTTTTGCCCAAACATCGAACGAGAGATGGATGAGGTAAGTATGTAAAACGTAGAGCTTACTCCAAAATAATTTCCAAACTTTACATTTTGCAACTTACAGTGCCTGCTATACTTGTAGACAACATTTCCAAACACTTTTTGCACAAAATTCATTTCAAATTGGCATTAGTGAAAGTTCAAAATCGCGCCATCCATCTCACATTCATTTGAACATACTAATTCATGTTTTATCTTTCAAGGAGCCACATCAGCTCTTGCCGATCGCATCAATATCAAACGAAAAAATAAGTGGCCATCTGCATATCTCTCCGTGCAGGTAATAAAAGGTCATTTTGATAATAAGACCATGATAAGAAATGACTTATTGTTAGGAAGTGATTGACTGCGCTGGTGCTGGAACCTGTGTGGCTGGAGGAGAACCAGGGGGTGTGTACAAATAAGCTAAAGAGAATGGCATTCCTCATGAGACCTGCAACAACTATCAGGCTCGAGATGGAAGTATGCACAATTTATTTTTATTTTCTTGCAAAATTTGCAGAAAATATCAGAATATGACCTCAATATTTAGCTTGCAATCCTTATAATCGATGTGGATCTTGCTGGCCAGGAGATTGCTTCTCTATAAACAACTACACACTTTATAAAGTGAGAGAGTACGGTAAGTACCGTTTCATCCAGAAAGTTTTGAAGCCATATTTCAACGAGACTCAAGTTCTCGTTGGAAACGTTGATAAAAGTACAGATAAGGCACTAGTTGATATACAGAAAGGGAAAGAGAACATAAAATGAACTATCAATGTGCTTTATAAAATATGTAAACAAAAAATTTCGCCTCTTGGGGAGAAGAACGGATTGCGATTATTAATACACTCACGACAGTACGACCCACCGCTGAGTCGTGCGTGCTCTGCCGTTTCGGACATTACGACCCACCGGTGGGTCGTAAGTTTGACGAAGCGAAAAAGGCTCTGGTCCAAAACGGCAGTAATTGAAATCGGCCTTGTCGTGAATGTGTTAATGCTATAAGTTTTTTTTGAATTAGAAAACAAAAGCACGTTACTGTATTCTTGGCAATCTGATCTATCGGTTTTTTGAACTTTGGAATGTTAATGAGAGATTGCGCTGACCATTTTTTGCTAACTTTTTGCTTTTGGCAAAATACTAAATGCTTTAGCTGCCATTTTTCCAGGAACTGTCAGAGGCATAGACAAGATGAAAGCTGAAATCTACCATCATGGTCCGATCGCCTGTGGAATTGCTGCGACAAAGGCTTTCGAGAACTACGCTGGAGGAATTTATAAGGTAATCTGACAAAGTAGTTTTTTTCTTAAGCCCTAAGTCGAGAATCGAAGTTTGAATAGTGAACATGACCCGTAAATTCATTTACAAAGCTAATTTGGAATAATTATATAATGTTGTGGATATTATTGGAACAACATAAAAAAGGTAAAGATTTATCAGATACTACAGAAATGTGAATTACAAAAAGCTTACGGGAAGTACCTGTTTTTTCATAGAATTTTTTGTTCTTTTGTGCATAATTCGAACTTTCGAAGTTTGAGAACCAAATCACTGACTTTATGAAAATTCCACAGCCAAGGCTCTGCAACATCTCTTTTTCAGCTTCTGAGTCATAAGCCTGGATAGACAACAGTGAACCTTCCCAAAAGAATTTTCATGGAGTATGACCAAGTGGAGATAACAATGAATATTTCAGGAAGCCACCGATGACGACATCGACCACATAATTTCTGTCCACGGTTGGGGTGTCGACCATGACAGTGGGGTTGAATACTGGATTGGGCGAAACTCGTGGGGTACCCCATGGGGTGAGAATGGATGGTTCCGAGTAGTCACATCTACTTACAAAGACGCTGGTAGCAAGTTTAATCTCAAGGTTGGTGAAAATTTTATTTATCGACTTTTAGCCGTGATAATTGTAATCTTCACCACTTGCAGATCGAAGAAGACTGCGTCTGGGCAGACCCGATTGTTGATAATTTGTGATTCATAGATCAAAGGGAAACATCATTTTCTTGTCAATACTGGGTACAACACATGAATAAATCTTTTATTACTTAACGTAGCAGAAAAAGCTAGAGAAATAAAGAGATGAACAACATTATAACGGTTTGACTCAAAACGACAAGGCTAAGCATAACCGGAGACAACCCAGTGGTATCAAGGGAACAAAAAATAATTTATTGAAATTAGCCAGGTGGCCATCCTAGCTGACGTCCGCCAAGAATATGAAGATGTAGATGGAAAACACTCTGACAACCGTCTCTTCCATTGTTGACCACTACCCGATAACCATTCTCGAGACCAAGGTCCCGAGCAACCTATAAATCATAAGAGTAAAAGCACTCTGATGCAACTTCAACAAATAAGCTTAAAACATGTGGATCATAAGCATTGAATAACATTAGTTCAATGCAAAAGTTCTTTTATAATCCAGAAAAATTTATAACTTTTTAAGTGATTTGGCACAGCTGTTAAAGAGGCTCAAGATCCAACCATATTGCAATTTGGAGCCTGAAGAAGACTTCATGTAATCAAAACGTCGCCAATAAACTACCGAGTTCCCGAGCTTCTTCAACAACTGTACCAAATCACAGCAGGAAGCTCAGAGACAACGAATTCTTACACCTTCCAAGTCCTCAATCCAAATTCGTGGTTCTGTATACAAAAAGTTTTGCACCTTATAACAGTTGTCTGATTTGTTGGCGCCACGGAGAAACAAGCTTTCAGAAACGGCACCTTCAAATTTCGTGATTTTGAATTGAGTCAAAAATACTAAACCGTCGCTAGTGCCGCCAGCTAACTCCAAAAAAATCTGTAGAATTTCCTGACAGACGTAAGTAAATTCTACAGATTGGATTCTACAGATAGGCAATCAGAATTCCACAGATAATTTTGCTTGAGTAAAGCTCGGTGACATTATGGGTGTCAAAGGAGAAGGCCAGCATCGATGGATTCTTCCTGCAGAGGGACGTGAAAAAAGTTTCTCACGTGAGATTAGCCTATCACAGTGATGTATGGACTGCTATTATGTGAAAAGATTTTAAAGATTTTTGGCTAGATGCCGGCACTCAAGTATAAGCTCCTGCAAGACGAAGGCGGTTGGTTCGATGTGCAACGCGGCTGCGACACTGCTGCGTCACAGCTGCGTCACAGCCGCGTTACAGCCACGTCGCACATCGAACCGACCGCCTTCGTCTTGCAGGAGCTTATATTTCTTTCTGATCAAATTCAAAATCATGAAATAAAGCTCCGTTTTTCATGAAATGAAATTCCATTTCTGGTATTTTTTCTTTGAAGCTAGATAACGGAAACTTGCATTTAGATGACTACCATGAAACGCAGAACTTCTTTTCTATACAAACCCTTAATTTTAGGTTTGGGAAATTGAAAGTCATTGATTCCCTTCCGAACTGTGCAGTAACCTTTGCACCAACCTAATATATGCGCGATATTTTGTGGAACCCGTCCCCAGTTATGAACCCAAGCCTAAAGGAAATCTCAAATGAGACTCGAGTCTCATTTGAGATTGCCTTTAGGCAAGTCCGTCCTATGGCAACCGCGGTCCATAGGACAGACTTGACTCAATCGATATCATAACAGGCAAAACGAGAAGCCAAAGGCGGATAGATTATTCCAAATGATAGGAAAGCTCAATGCGCAAAAGAGGAATTTTTGATTATGTGAAATTGAATCTCGCTGATATTTTGTTGACCCTATGAGTGAAGAAGGTCTTCTCCTGAAGAGTGAGAAAATGCTTGATCTTGATGCTGCTCTTCATGACCCACAACTAGGTTCGCAGCAAAGGTCTAAAGTTAAAAAAGCGAGCTCAAATGGTGCAAAAACCTAGGTCTTACAAACTGTTCGATGGAGCTACCTTTCTAATTACATGTAACTCACCTTAGCTGCAGTCAACATGAGCTTTCCGAGTAAGGCTTGATCCTGGAAAATAGAACTATAAACAAAAAAGATTTGCTAACATGTTTGAATTAAAACATATAGCAGAATTATTTGATTATTCTTATTTTGTTTTTCGTTGATAGTCAGACGCAACATATTTGTGTGCTAAGGACTGCTATTGTGATTAACTTTTCAAAAGCTTTTAATGAATGCACAAAAGTCATGAGGATAACGAGCTCTTCTTGAAGGCAGCGGCTCGGCAGATTGACCTACCTCAGATTTTGACACAGATGGATAGGAGGCCCTCCAAGTGAACCAAAACAGCAACTCCGCGCCGAAAATGTGTTCTCTGCAAGCCAGGGGGCGGCCCAAGCGCCGCTACCCTTCCTCCTTTCGCTCCCCTAGCACCTTGTTCGGACGAGTATTCTCCGCTAGACGGTGCGGGACCCCCCCCCACCGCTTTCCCGCATTGTGCATGCTATACAAAGCCAAAATTACAGACAGCAGGGTCTTCGTGCCAGGGACTCCCGACTTTCCTTTGGAAATTCTCGTCCGAGCTGCCTTTTGGAAATTGAAAAAACGCACCGAAAAAGGCCTTTTCACCCTTTTAAAGCTCAGATTCGAGATCTACGGGTCGAGAAGGCCCAAAACATGCAAAAAGATGGAAGTGCAAAATCTACCGGGACGCTGCCTTTAACTTTTAGTGTAACAAAATGTAGAGATATGTAGTACTACTTGATAATATTAGGGTGATCGGGAAGCAATGGGACACCTCGATTTCATTTGCAATTTAAATGTTTTTTATGAACAATAAACAACTGACAGGAAAGACGCGTTGGTATAAAGTGATCTTTGCACTTATCCTGGCAGCAAATTGCAGCTCACATCATACAACACTTCGCGCGGCGCTTCTAAAAGTCAGACAGAGTTTTTGAACGCCATCCGAATTTATACTGCAGTACCTTGAAGTCTCAGGACATATGACATACCATTCGAATGTGCTTTCCAAGCTCTTTCTAATGATCGCTTGAACCTGCAGAAATTCTTCATCACTTTGTATAAAAGAGGCAGATTGTCCGCCAAAGCTCGACATTTGGCGCAGATTTTTAGGCTAAAGTGTTTGGTCCACAATTTTTGAAAGCGAGGTTTTCCCGAGGTAAATTGCGTACGTATAAATACAGCGTAAACAGCTCTATTTGATGCCATTCGTCAAAGGTGAGCCCATTCGATCACCTCGATGAGAGAATAAATAATATGTCACCGAATACTGAATGCTATATATTCTTTTGCAAGCGTTGGAACCATCAGGCCATCGTAAATTTGGTGACAGTCTCCTAACCCATTGCAGCACATATATTCTTGGCAACCTCACTTGTTTTACTGCGATCTTGCTACTTCAAGTTCGAAATTACTTAAAGTGACGAGTTCAGATTTTGAGCACTTGAAAACACGTATGCGACAGCGCCTATATATATAGAACTTGATCAGAAGATTTCGATATGTGCTAACATCTCCCAAAACTTGGACATCCAATTGATTTTCCTGTTTAAGAAAACTACATTTATTCTTTAGGTATCCCATTACCTTCGATCACCCTAATACAGGGCTCGGCACAGGTGGCTTACCGGGCAAGCTGGATATCGTTTTGGAGGTAAAAAGCAAAGAGGATACCGTTTTTGCTGAAGAGCATGCCCTTGTCTTTCGATCTGATCTTTCGATGGTCTCTTAAACAAACAAGGGCTTGTTTAAAGCGAAGTGATAATGAAATGAAACCAAAATGGGTGTGTAGATGGGCGATGGGGAAATAGTACAATGTGCAAAAAAATTACGAAAAAGTTATGTGAATCAAAGCCGCGGCAAACTTTTTTAGGAGTTAGGTGGCTTTACAGCCAGCTGGACAGCCACATGAGGTGGCTGTAGAAAGAAAAGTCATAAATTTCCCTTCCTTCACATAATTTTTTAACAAGTTTAACATATCTTTGTTCTACATCAAAAACCCTATAAGTGAGTTTTTGAATCTAACCAAACCCCCTCTTCCTCCCCTAGTTACAGCCCTCTAAATATTTTGTATGGCGGCGGCAAGCCTGCTCCGAGCGCGCAACGTGCGCGCCGGACACAGCATGCCGCCAATTCGGAGAATACGAAGTACTTTAAATCCTTTTCGTTTGTTCATGCTGCTTTTGAGTTTTGTTTCATTATTTTTTGTTATTCGTGACTGGTCCATTCCTATTCGCGTCATAGGTGATGTCGTATTTGTGTAGCGAAATCGGCTCGGATTTCGTTTTTGCAAAATTGAAAAAGCCACCTCATGCCGAGCCTTGCCCTAATAATCACATCAAATTGAAAGAGACATGCAACAATGAGAATTTGCTAACAATGAGCCGCTTTGATCTTACAAACTGTCAAATAGCGCGCCTGGTATGCAATACGCATATCAAGTAAATGACTGGACGATAGTATCGCCGATTCGTTTACCGCACGCACTGCTCAAACGCTGCGGCCCATACGCGGCGCGGCTGGATTGTCGCGAGAGCACGACTTCTACAATGGCGGATTTGTACTGGGGCAAGCGTTTTAGCTCCGCGGTGATGTCCAGTCCGTCGGTCAACGAATAAATTATATTTAGTTGTTTGTCAATAAAACTATCGCATACACTGTCTTCAGCCTCTTGCAACATTGCCACCTTTCTCTTGGGTATGACTAGGAAATGCACGGGTGCTTGCGGACTGACATCGTGGAAGGCAAGAACCTAGAACTGATATAATCATTCTGAATAGAAGAAGTTACGTAAAATGTGATGAGTCATAAGAATAACCTCATCATCTTCAAAGATGATCTTCGCGGGAATTTCCTTCCTGATGATTTTGTCAAAAATTGTGTCTTTTTCGCGAGTAGCCTTCTGTGCCTTCTCTACTTCGGTCATCTTTTGCCGAGCTATCACTACGGCCCTACCAACTGCGGCTTTACCCAATCTGGAAAAAAAATTATACGAATTCAGCAGATCATTGCGTTTATTGAGATACGACTGTAAAGAGCTCCCACTTGAACAAATTTTAATGAATGAATGAAAAATCAAATCACGTAGTACCTCCAGCCCAGAAGATCGCTGCAGAAGGTAGCTGTGGTATGGGTGTGATCTACCAACATGGACGATCTGGGTCTGTGTCCACGAGTCAAAGTATTCGGAAAAGAAAATCCACCTGCCTTTTACCATGTTAAGATTATATTTCTAGACTTTCCAAAGGCTAGTTTAAGAATCAGAGAGCCAGGTACGTTTTTGGGCGAAGCTTCTAGTGCTGCATCGATCATTCGCGACATTTTCGACATTCACGACCCGCTTTACAAATAATTAACCGCAGCTAGACTTGTGCTACTAATACACTGGAACCACCTCACCCCCTCCCCCACCCCGCTCGCCACAAAAAGCGGCAGTGCCCTTCAAGATTTCGTCCGCAAAATGCTGGAGGCAGCGTCCACGCTAATCCGCTCATCAGAAATTTGCAGCTTTTATCCTATCATACCCTACCGACATGGACCAATGGCGAGGGCGTGATGTGACGAGATGCCAATCGTGTGAATTTCGTGTATGCACCTCAGCTGTCACGTGCGCTCGTCCGCTTGTCCTTCGCAATTCGCCTCATAGAGTATAAAGAGCTGTATTCATTGTACATGAGTTGTATCCAAATGCGACGGAATGGAAAAGGTCCACATTTTGAAAAAATACAGTTCATAGTTAATGATCTGATCGTAAGAACCAACCGATCTGTAATAGCGAAACTGCTAAAAAGGTAAATCAAGCCCTGATAAAAGGGATATTTCAAGGCATGGAAAAGGCTCCAGAAGTCACAAGTTGCCGTTTTAGTGTTTTCGTCATGATGGTAAATTTTTGACATTTTTACATACTCTAGAGCTCAACTTCAAAATCAGCACTCCAACCCACCCATGTTAATGAGGTAGAAACTCTGCCAAATATAAACTTGGGTAGCGTTTCCTCGCTCCAGAATGCAACTTTTGCGGCGAAGCTAGAGCGATTAATAATCCAGAGACCTCGCTACGCATCGCATCAAAATCTCACCAATCTCAAATTCGAGACGGCTCCTTCGGAGCATTCTGCGACGCAGCCAGCATTCAAAGAAGCGTTTTTCGAGGCCTGCGTGGCCCTCTCAAGTCCAGTTTACATCCGGACAAGTGAAAAATCGTGGACAAACGTATTGGACTGCAGTCGCACTCGCATTGTGTCACTCGCGCAGGTGGTCGATTTGGCGGTAAATTTCAAACCTAAGCCTAGGCTCATCCCGCTTATAGAAAACGGCCATAGGTTGCCGGCAACGGTTGTCGGTGTTGTCGGTGTTGTCGCGGTTGTCAGGGTTGTCGGGGTCAGAGAGGGGGAGACGGTCGTAAGGCGATCGGTTTTTACTAACTAGGAGAAGCAAGAAATAAGTTCAAATTTATTTCAATACTATCGGATTTCAACTGGTCATCCTTCTCTATACTTTCTGATATACTCACACAAATCTCGCAACCTGGAAACCTTGCTTTTGCAGGAGAACTAACCCAGTCTGGCTGTAGGCTGAGGGAACGCGCGCCTTTTGACATACACCCGTCAGAGAGGTAGGTGCCAGAGTAAGCGAATATTTTGCTCAGCTTCGTTCGGCTGCAAAAGGCGCACAGAATTTACGTTGATTCTGCGCGGACCTGCAGCTGAAGCAGGCCTTGGCAGCAGTAGAGATTATGCAGCAGACATTAATTCTGCGCGCCTTCGGCGCTAAATGAAGCTAAACAAAATATTCGCTTACTCTGGCACCTACCAGACAGTTTAGAGAGCGCGCGAAAAGTTGAGGCTATCATGAGGTCCTACAACGACCGGCAACCTCGGCAACCCCGACAACATGGACAACACCAACAACACCGACAACCGCTGCCAGCAACTTATGGCCGTTCCCATTATGACTAGAATCGATTCCGAAACAAAACATTGCACTGATTTTGATTAGCAATGCACAGAAAAGTTCCCACCTAATAGTTGAATTCGGTGGACCACAAGAGCGCACAAACACACTCAACAGAGGTGCTAGCAGTCGAAAAGACATCCTCCAAGAGCCTCGTTGAATACCCAATTCCTCGCAAAGGGAGCTGAAGTCATAAGATATTCCAGACATTTGACTACTTCTAGATTAGCGAGCTCAAACTCGTTTTGAGAGCAGTTTATACCGGATTTTCAAGCCAGCATGATGTGCCAATAGTGAAGTGGCGTATATAAAAGCAATGAGTCAGGAGCATGCAGTGTATCCCACATCAAACATTATTATATGATATGCCTTTCTTAGACTCGAAGTGGTGAACTGGACTCAAATTGGCAAAAATTTGCCAAGCGCATCATTTTAAATGCTGAATTTAAATACCATGCTCGATCGCCGCAACAACGTCATACAGCAGTGAATGTAGGTCTACCGTACAAGGACAAGATCTCAGACTGCTGGAAATGCGCATGATCCAGTTTTTTAGCTTGCTGCAATGAGCTGCCCTACCGCGGAATCCCTCCTTGATCGCACAAAAAGGCCCAAACTTGAGAACATTAGCATGACGATTTCAAGCGGGAAAAATATGGTAGTCACTCATCAACATGCTAGACATCCCCTCCCCATGCCAATTCTGACCGAACTCCATAACTTAACACGTTGACGACCGTATGCATCCGCGCGTATGCACGCCCTAACTCCCGTTTAGCATTTTCGTGCATCCGCGCATATGCACGCTAGTTTTTTAGGTGTAAACGAAAAGTTTTAAGGTAACTTCTATGCAGTAATACTACTGGTGGCCTGATAGTCTTACAGAACACAGGGCATCGCGGCAACTGTTCAGAATTTTGGGCCGCAAAATTGGGTAATCAGTCGGTTTTTGGTAAGGTAAACACATGCTAATTACGTTTTTCCGAGAAGGTCAAAACTCTGTAAAGCTGTTTTGAAAGCAAAAAAGGATGAATCAAGCAAAAAATATCTGGTATTACAGCGGTTTTTTTTGAAAAGAAATTCCTCCAATTTAGCGATTGCGCGGTTATTGGAAGGGAAAATTCACGCAAAAACCTTGATTTGTGTAAGTTCTGGTATGGCTCTGTGATATACATGTATCTCTGAACAAAGTTCACATGTTTTATGAATAAGCGTCAAAAGGACTCCCACATAATGTTTTCGTGTATCCGCGCGTATGCACGGGCCAAATGCGCGAAGGACGTTAGTGGGAGTTTCGCCCAAAATGGCGCGGTCGTTAACGTGTTAAAAAAACTGGAGGAGGGAAGGGTCGAGTATCAAAAGTACTAAAAGGGCAAATTTTATTGATAAACAATAGTCGAATATTCAACAGTCAAAACGAAAATATCTTGAGTTTCTCCGAGTAGGTATGGTATCACATGTCCAAAAATTAATAGCCGTTGGTTACGCGGTCGCGGCAGGGTAGATACAAAGACAGGAAGTTTATAAGATGACATTACAAACGCAGAAAGTCTGATCCACGTGAAGCTTAAAGCAGTGACCCGTCAAAATTTCGACCCCCGATTTTCAATTTTTGGAGCTTGGAACGCTGATTCCAAATATGTTGTTCCTAGCTGCTTAGCATCATTCTAAAACGAGTTATGGTATCTTTTCTATGCAAAGTTTGCGTACTCCTCGAGCAACGGATGCTACGGTGTCGACGTCTAGGTGGTTTTGCAATTGTACAATGCTCCATTTCAGAATCGAAAGAATTAACATGATGCTAGTCCAACATCCTGGCACTTTTTTCGAGCAGCTTCTTATCTATAGGCCGTCTTACGACATCCAGAAGCTTGCTAGTTACTCACAACAGCGCCCATAAGTCGCTTTGGAATAATGCTAAGCAGCTAGGAGCATATTTGGCATCAGCGTTCAAAGCAGATTCCAAATATATGTGTACCACCTCAAAAGGCGAATTTAAGTTGGTATCCTTCCTTGTTAGATGTTTTCAAACTGCTTTCAGACTTCAAGTAATCAAACATTTTGCAACGTTCGGATGCCATCAAAGCTTGCTTTCTTCTATCGACTGTTTCTACATTTTCATGCCTAGTGATTAGCTGCGTTCGCGCAAGAAACGGTCGATAAGACCCCTCTCGGATTTAGCTGGTGCTAAATAATAGCACAGTGTGGCCCAGCTACAATGTCTTAGGGGTTCTACTAATTAGCCGCACCAAACCCGAGAAGGGTCCATTTTGCCGATCCACATCCTACAACACGTTAACGACGATGCCGGCGCTATGGTGAGCGGCACTCTAATTATCAATTGCAATGTGTCCAATCGTTCTGATTTGTGTTCAAATGATCAGCATAGGCTCAGAAGTATCATTCTGGCCCGCCTCTTTCAAACTCCGCCCACTTCTGCCATCTGCATAGAGCTTTTTTAGGCTCAACACGCATAGAGGAGGTCATTGATGACTGGGAAGCCCCGAGTGACCTTAACCTCGTCCCCCCACCCGTCAATCAAACTCCGCCCCTCAGTAGCAAGCTCCGCCTACTTTCTAAAATGCCAGAAAATTGAAATTCAGACAATTTGCAGCTTTTTTTGCCAATGGACGGAGCTTCACAAGCTGCCCCGCCCATTTGCATCATGATTCACGTATAGGTGCTTGCAAATATGGATGCAGCTAGCGTAGAAGTGCACAGACACATCTCGTCCACAAATACAGACTTCAAAAAAATGACTCGTCAACGTGTCAATTTCCGGACTACAAAACAGAACGTGAAACTCCGTAGCCTGTTATGATTACCAGGTAAAATCCGTATAGACCGTACCGTCCACGTGGAAAGACAAAAGTGCGGTAAGAGAAAACTCGTTCGTGGGGAGGGGAGGGGGGGGGGGGGGGGTGGTATGCGACAGATACTTTTTTCGGATGAGGGGGCGTGGCGCTAGTTATCTTATACACCGATCTTTTGCTCAGAGAGGAAAATCTTGAATTTCTCACTGTATAGAGTGAGCAGTAGGTGCTTCCAAAACCCTCGTCATTATGGGGAAGTAAGACTTCCTATTGTATCTGCAGATGAGCGATCATCTATTGTATACTCTCAACTGACTTATACATGCAGATACGTTACATTCAACTAGAGTCCCACTCAAGTTTAGGAAAGAGGTTGTATATAAAAGGCACACAGTAATGAACGAAAGCAGAGTCGGGTACTTTTGTCTGTCTACTATACTACCCCATCCACAAGATTCTGTATTTTCTGCTGACAAGTGAAAAGGGACTGGGCTGACAACAGGGCTGGCATTAAAGCGAGCTCTATGACTGAGAGGCGACAAGTTTAGCTTGAACTTCAAGTTTAGTTGTGCGAAAATGCTTGCAGATCACATAGGAAGGAATAAAGGACTTGCACGAATCTTCGTGAAGTTCAAAACATTCTATGAAGTGAATGCAAACGAGCAATGGCAACAGTGAGCGAAAAACCACGAAATGTGCGCTGCTCGCATTTAAAGGACCCACTCTCCTTCCTCATTGGCGCACGTTAACCGACCGATTGTTGCAGCTTCTGCCAAAATGAGAACGGTAAGTTTTTTTTTTCAGTTTTGTGTTTTTTATTAGTTGGAGAAGTTATTTTACTTTTTCACATGCTACGGCAACTCAGGTTTTACTGTCAAATGCGCACGATTGCATTCTTTCAATAGGTAATGGAGAATAAGGGTTCGACTCAAGGGTTTTGCTAAACTAAATAAGTGAACTGACAAGAAGATCACACAGGTGTTTCGCCAACTTCTGAGCATTTTTCTGCCCTCATTCGCATAACTTATGCTTTTAGTCAATTTCACATTCAGCTTACATCGTTGCTATAGTGCGTGTTATCCGCTATCAAAACATCTGAAGAACAACAGTGGAAGAGGGACGTAGACTGCAAAATATGAACATGAAAGTATCTGAGAATGTTTCCTTTGGAAATTCTTTCTGTTTCAAACTTTCTAGTGCCAGTGGAGTGCATAGAGGGAGGGACTGAATGATATGTATAATAAACAAGATTTCTAAGTGTTCAGGTCATGAATATGTTTTGATTTTTGCCGACTACCAAAGAGATTGAGTTTCTGTCAAAGTTTCACGATATTTCTTTCATTGTTTTGAAGTTTTCCGCTTATAGATCCAGATGGAAAATGGCAAAGTGTTGCAGATAGCCTCAGATGATGAGTATCTGGCCTCTCTCAATATCCCATATATAAAATGCGATCTCGAGGTATATGTCACCAGTCATGCTCTGAATACCTCATGTTATCATTTAGGAGCAGCTAGAAAAGCATCTCATGTGCTCTTTTTTGTGCTGCCCGAAGCAAATTGATAATGATGGGGCTGTGACCGCGCAGCTAGTCAATACAAACATGCGGTAAGTTGTAAAATCATCCTTTTTACGATACATTGATTTTTTCGTTCCTGAAATATATTTCCTTGTTTCTCGCTTGCTTGTGTTTTTAACGGTTATCAAATGTTTTTAGACGCTTTTAATCCATTGCTCATTTTTCCCTTTGCGTCAGTAATTTCTAAACGAATGGCCATGGGACGCAGAACCAGAAGCGCTTTACGGCCATCTTACGATTGAATTTTGGCATTGCAGACATGGCAGTTTTTTACGCGCAAATGTTGTAGCCGCAAGTGCCTGTGTTAACCGTCGAATTTACCAGCTTTACACATTCGCCCAACTTTTGCTTTTTACTAATTCAAGCGACTTTACTGAGACTAGGGTGCAGTTCATCGGAATCATTATAATGACCTGGCTTTGCGCAAGGAGTGTCTGCAAAAACAAGTTTTTCTGGACTTGTTGAGCGTATCGTATACCCTGTCTATGTTTGAGCACTAGTTTTGTAATTCTACGATTAGAACAAAGTGTGTTGATCATCGCTTATAATTTGTTGCATTTGTGACCATAGCGTTCATTTGCCTGTTCTGCCATGTCTCGCTTACCTAAGCCCGCTGTCAGACTTCGTTCAAAAACGCTCAAAAGCACCGCACTCAAAAGCGCCCAAATTTCTCTAACCTTTCTTCACTTTCTCTATTCTCCTCACACGAGAGTGAAGAGACATTAGAGAAATATGGGCGCTTTTGGACGCTTTTGAGGGACCGTTTAGACCGCACCGGTACCCGTCCAAATCCGTTCAAATACGTCTAAGGGATCGTTCAGACCGCGCCAGAATTCGTCCAAACCCGCCCGAATACGTCCAAACCCGCCCAAACCCGCCCAAATACGTCCGAATCCGTCCGAACCCGCCTGAACGCTGGGACTGCCAAAGCGCAGCGGATATGCGGCAAATTGGCATATTGGAGCAGGCGTGGAATAATGCTCGCCTAGTGCATTATCTCAGTCACACGTAGCTCGACGTTACATACCGATCTTCTTTTGCAACTACTCCGATATTAGAAGGATCAATCGCACGCGTGCTCCAATATGCCAATTTGCATGCAACCTGCTGCGCTTTGGCAGTTCAGGCGGGTTCAGACGTATTTGGGCGGGTTTGGGCGTTTGGAAATATTCGGGCGGATTCGGACGTATTCGGGCGAGTTTGGGCGGGTTCCGGCGCGGTCTGAACGATCCCTAAATCCGCCCGAATACGTCCGAATACGACTAAACCCGCCCATGTACGTCCGAATACGCCCGAACCCGCCTGAATGCCGGAACTGCCAAAGCGCAGCAGATATGCGTGCTAATTGGCGTATTGGAGCGCCCGTGGAATACTGCGCCCTGGTGGGTATATCTATCGTAGTCACACTAGCTCGATGCATACCTGGCGCTTTGGGATCATTCAGGCCGCACCGGTTCCGTCCAAACCCGCCCGAATACGTCCGAATCCGCCCGAAACCGCCTGAACGCCGGAATTGCCAAAGCGCAGCGGATATGCGGCAAATTGGCATATTTGTGCACGCGTAGAATACTGCGCGCGTAGTGCATATAAAATCTTAGTCACACGTAGCTCGACGTTAAAACCGATCTTCTTTTGTAACTACTCCAATATTAGGAGGATCAATCGCACGCGTTCTCCAATATCCCAATTTGCATGCAACCTGCTGCGCTTTGACAGTTCAGGTGGGTTCGGACGTATTTGGGCTTTGGGAGAGTGGACGTATTTGGGCGGATCCGGACGTATTTGGGCGGGTTCGGGCGCGACCTGAACGATCCCTCGGCAGTTCCTGCGTTCAGGCGCTCGGGAAGAAAAAAGAAAGAAAGGGAGAAAAAATTGTGTTTAGAAAGTTAGGGAGATGAGAGTTAGTTTAGAATCCGGAGATGATTCTCTTTATTCTACGTACTGAGAGTGAAGACAATCTTGCTCATTAAATGATTCTCTCTCTCTTTCTCTCTCTCTCTCTCTCTCTCTCTCCCTTCTTTCTCTATGCCTTTCATTATCCGAATATGAGTTTTTCTGCCCTTTTTTTTTATCATTTTGTTTTTTCCCCATTTTTTCTTTGAAAAGGCTTTGGATACGGTAGAGTCATTGCTTTACACGCTCAATCTGGGACATCGTCTTAGAATCCCTTCCTCAAGAGTTTGAGCCTCTCATATTATTTACTCGAAGACCATGAAGTTAACCCAGCAGTTGCATTTGCACAACTACATCTTATATTTTACTCCTAGACGGAGGAGCATCGCCTTTGTTTATAAGAAGTTGCCTTTTGGCTCATCCGCGAGGGATGGCATCTCTGGGAGGGTTGGCCCAGAGTTGATTTTTGTCTTGAAGGCGATAGTTGGGCAGAGACTGCGTTGTACGCATGTCTGTGCCTTTCCTTGAGTAGCTGTGGGATTTACGGGAGTTCTGAACTACGCAGGCATGTTTTCCGGAAAACCTAGCTTTGAACATAATTTTTCCTGTATTGTTGCTTTTGATGATTTTTTTTCAAAGGAAATGACTTCATTGCAAAAATGAACTGACTAGTAGAATATTATAACTTTGTAGCATGTTTTGCAGTGAGCTCACTCTTGGCTATGTGGATCTATACATCGCTGGTAGGATTTCTACTGATAATAATGAAGAGGAGATTGAAAAAATTCAAAAGAATTTGGTAATTTTTTGTGTTAAATTTTTTATTTTATGTGTTTTTGATTAGTGTCGAAAGTTTATGTTGTTGATTGCATTGTAAGAATGTAGTATAGGTATATTAATTCATTTTTCGAGGTACAGCTATTTTTTCAAGGAACATGTATTTCAACTTCCTATCTGCAAGGGCTTGATTGAGTTGGATGAAAGGGCGAAGTTCAGACCCCTGCCTCCTGAATGCATAGAACTTTTATATAAAAGAATACTTGCTGGCGGTAAATATGTGCGCACACGGTGGGTTCCGAGAAACTTTTGTTTGCTATATCATGCAAGATTTTGGTTTCTTTCGCAATATACCACTCATTCAGAGAAGGCCAATCGCTAGCTAAGAAGGAAAAAGAGTGCAACACGCCCAAGGCTGTGTACAGAGCGAAAGTGGTTAGTTAGTGCATCATCTAGAAATCCTTCAATGAAATATGTATTGATTTGTTCCAGGCTTGCAACTTTCTACTTGAATTGATCGAGAGGGAACAAAGGGCACAGAAGCGTCGTTTTGTAGGTTTTGTAAACTTCATCAGATAACATGCTTGATTTCGAGGACGGAATTGTGCTTGGCGTTACTTTGTATAGCTTGGGAGCTTGAAAACCAAATTGCAGATGGAGAGTCTAGTTCTACGTTTCTGTCTTGCAATGTTGCAACAGTGTTGTATCAGTTTGTAGTCAAATTTTGCAGGTAGATTGGCAGTCCGTCCAAAAAAGATATCAAGAAATGTGTCTCAATGCGGACAGTGAGGATAAGGACCTCTTAGAACGTTACCAAACAATGTATAAAATGGATTTTAGCCATTCCAGTTTGAACAACGAAGTATGTTTTTTTTCTTTTGATGAAAGGGGTTTACTTGAGAAGATATGATCTCAGTTGATCAAAGCGTGGTCAGGACGCAGTACGATCACTAAGGCTCTTTCCATGCCTCTTTTCTGTAAGATCCAGTATCAGAAAGAGGCGGCCACAGGAACGCTAAAAGTTGGTTTCGGAGAAAACATAAGTAAGCGAGTGATTGGTTGTTTTTGAACTAATGTCAAAGGTTTGGATCTTTCCAGCATTGTATCCTGACGAAGAGTTGAAAAGAGCTGCTGAGCTCATGGCTGAGGAGCTCAAGCCGAAAGGGAAATTTGGCAGAAGAGACGGTAGAAGACGGGAAGAAGAGGAGAATAAAGTGGATGAGCTGGTTGGCGTGATTCCTCTTCGACAGCGACTACCCCAAAGTGTGAGTTTTTCTAGCACCTACGCTCTACTTTCAGTTTCCAACATGATAAATTGATCAAAAATTCCATCATCAGAGCATTCTCATTTTAGCTTTTGCTAGGAATGGTTTTTTTTTCGTTACTTTAGAGGGTCAGATGTGAAGTTGTTTGTATATTCTGTCATCCATTTGCTCAGAAGGCGCCCATTATGCCTGTGGTATACCAATGTTTGCCGCGCATGGCTGCGATCGGTTAAGGTCCTTTCACAGCCAGGCAGAATTTCAGCATGCCATCTCTATTCAGCCATGTTTTATATGTAGGAGTTGAAACCCCATGAACGCGCGCGAGTGACTAACAGCGGTAGAAGCAAATAATCGTGGTCTCACAAAATTTTCCTGCAAATTGGCAGTTGTCCCTCTTGTCCTTGTAAGCCTGCAATAGGCGTTCGTACATGACCTATTTCAAGTTCGATAAGTCTAGTGCTCATGCAGATATCTTATACAGGGTGTCCCAAAAAATGTATCCACTGTTTGAAATAACTCTCTTATTATAAGGTCTTTCGAGAAGCGGTAAGCGCATTTTGTAGAGGTGGTTTCAACTTACTCTTCATTACTGTAGGATTACGTTAGAAACTTGGAACATACGGTGTTACAGTGGAAAAAGCTGCCGTTTCAAATTTTTTTTAAAAGATGTGAAAACTTGTGTAATAGAATTTTTAGGGACGCTGAGTTCAATACTCAACTATTCTCAAGATTGCGAAGCTTTCTAAACGCTGTAACCGCACTTTTTAGGGACATTGAGAAAATGGCCGCTACTGCTCACCTCGCATAACTCTCCAATGAAGCATCATAATAAGTTGGGAACTTTACAGTTAGAATCAGCATCTCTAATTAGCCTAGTGTAAAGTATTTCAGGCTGTTTTGATTCCTTTCTGAGGCAAAATATGGCCTTTCATGGCCCAAAACCCTCTTTCAAGTTTCTACCGTAATCCTACAGTAACGGAGAAGGATGGACGATTCGCTCTATACTGTAAATCTAAGTTGAAGCCAGCTCTACAGAATGGTGCTTACCGCTTCTCGAAAGACCTCATAATAAAAGAGTTATTAACAATCAAACAGTGGATACATTTTCTTGGGACACCCTCTATACTACCTCAAAAATTTGAAAGTCTATAGAACATCATTAAACATTGAAAATGCGTTGAGGTATGCATCGCCATGAGTAAAAATCGCGCCTCTTGACATACACCCTAAATATAAAGTTCGCATTTTACTGAAATGCTTATGATTTGGTTAGGTACACCGTAGCAACTGTTTTCCAATGCTCGCCAGACTGGAATCGTACCATTAAAACTTAAAAATGCTCAAAAATAATTTCATTTCTGACGAACAATGAAAAACAAGTGTTATCGTGTACCTGAATCAACTCATATAAGAAGCATTTGAGTAAATTGCGAATTTCATATTTAGAATAAGCGACTTTACTTAGGTTGATGTAAAGTGTTTGACTTGTTTTCATAGGCAATGGTTGTTTTAATAGGCAATATGGTTCTCAATGATCTAAAGTCTTCTCAACGTATCTACGGTAATCCTACATTCATCAAGACTGGTGATTCTTTCCACACTTTAAATCTATGTTAAGCCAGCTCTACACAGTGGTGCCTAGAATCTGGCGAAAGACTTTAGATCAAGAGAGTTATCAACAACGAAATAGTGCGCAACTTTTTTTTGAGACTGTAAATAGTCATAGCTGGGTCTAGTGACAATTTCTGAACAAACATATGGTGAGAATGATTGGAAAGCAAAATTTTTGCTCATGTATTGACATTAAGTATGCCGCTGAAATTAAAACGTATGTTGTCAAAAAGCGAATTGATCGTCTGCTCTATTTGATTCGTTTTTATTTCTCTTGATAAGAATGTGGTCCAGTTGATGTAAGCCCATTTATCAACAAATGCCCCTGTTGTGAAAAGCTCTTACTGCTCTTATCTAGCATTTTGTATTAGTTCACACATGTGTTTGTAAATCACAAATCAACTACTGTGACATTGTCGTCCTTTTACCTATACGCCGAAGCTTGAAATTTTTTTTAAAGTGAATGAGGCCCTCTACGAGCATCATTTGCATCATCTTAATTGGCACAAATAGTTGAAAATTGCTATTAAAGATACAGTTGTTGGTGATGAAGAAACGCTAAAGAATTTGTAGAGTTTATATTTTTTCTGACAGATGTAGATCACTTCATATGCTCTCCCACGTTGTGCTGTTGTGAAAATTGCTATCGAAAATTATTTGTTACCTTTTACAAAGTTCTTACAGAAATCGAAAAGAGTGTTTTATTCTTATGTCCTGATAATTTATCAATCCAAATTGCTTTGCCTTTCCAGAATATCACCTCTATCCTGCCCGATACTATAGCGTCTCCATTTGCGAAAACGGCAAGTCAACAGGATCTTGAAAGGCGTCTGACTGAATATGAAGATTTAGCAGAAACAATGGTAGGTTCTACGATTGTTAGCTAAAAATTTGATTTTGATTTGGGGGAATCTGCATATTGACATATGGGTCGTTCAAAATCTGTCGTACATCTTAGTGATCTGAACAAGAAAGGTGCAATTGGATGTGACATCGATCAATTGACCAATCATCTCAAGAACTGTTATTCCTGCTTGTTATTTGACTCATGTGAGAAGTGGCTGAGAGCCACAGAAAATTGCCTATTGTTCCGAAGGTTCTCTTATCCATATTAAAATTTTCAATGAAATGCAGCGTTTGTGAGAAACTTCTTTCAAAGTTATAGCTCATATAACGCTTACGAACACGCCATTATCTTCAATTTAACAGACTACTCAGAATTTCTAATTCCCCGGTGTAGCTGCCACGTTTGAGTCTATTACTCCAGAAATCCCCCGACTTTGTGAAATACCGCAGGCAGAAAATTTTTGTTCAAATCTATATGCAATTTTACTTTGACACTTTGATCCGAGTGGATAAATATGAGAACTCGTTGTACAGTGCACCATTTTGGATTGATTTTTTTTCCATTGCGGTCATGTGCTTTACCTTTTTGCTGCGCCCTTGCACTATTTGTTGCAGCATTTCGCTGCCAAACGATGCAAATTGCAAATTTAATTAACTCCAAAGGAAACGTACTGTTGAATAGTGTGTAACTGTGAATCTGTCTGAATGGTCACTTCTCACGTTTTTGATAAGCTTAAATACACTAGGATTTGTAAAAAGCTACCAGGGAATCGCCCTAAATAAAGCGTAGTGGTCTGGATATTGAAATAAGCTGAGAAGATTATGTAGCCTTACATTACCACATTTGTTCCCATCATTATTCAATTTCAGTATCATTTATCGCAATTTTCACCAAATTGCCTTTCACTATTTGAAAAAAATGTATTACAGATACATGACTGTGGCCTCTCTGCTTCAAACACTTGTGAAAGTCATCAAATTTATTCAGCAACCAGATCGCAACATTGAAGAGCCTCAATACGTTCCTACCTCCACGAATTTCGACGAATTGTCGGATTCAGACTCCTCATCCGAATCAGATGATACGATGGTGAGCGGAATCTACAGCGATGAAGAAGAGCTCAGTGGCATCGTAAGTCTGCATATCCAATTTTTCTTTTATCTGTAACTAGCTGGCAAACCCGGCTCCGCCCGGCCCTGTCATTATTATATTCGTAATCAGCATGCTTGATTACCCCCCTGTGCCAACTCCCAGCCCCGTAGCTCAAATTTTGCAAAAAATCGATAAAATCGATATCGATCGATAACGAAAAGTAGCCTATGACACGCTCCCTGCCCCGAAGTATATGTGTGCCAAGTTTGGTCCCGATCGGTTCAGAAATAAAAATTTCTATTCCGCACATACGTACAGACATACAGACAGACATTCAGCTTTATATATAAGATTATTATTTTTGAGTGGTTGTATCAGGTTAAGCGATGGTTCGTTCGCACCATAACTGAAAAATCGTAACATCCCCTATTTAAGCCTCGCCTGGCAATTTGTCTTGAAAGGGGTAACATTTGGTTTCTAAAGGTATCGAGAAGGTTTTCTACCTAGAAAGGGCAGAGTCAGAAGCGGAAGAATGGGATTAGCCTACCTTAGGTGATTTTTAGCATACCAGGCAATAATAAACATCACAATAAAATCCAGAAAGCCATTGGCATAAGTGTTGTGGCCTTCTTCCCAGCCGAACAAGGTTCGTGCGATCGAGTGTGGAGAGTTGAGTTTTGAGAAGACGCTAGATAATATCAAAGTCAGATTTTCATTTCTTCGAAAATCATATATAACTCAAAGGACCATTAGAGCAAACTTCTCTCACCGAAAAAGACGAGGCTAAACTTCTGTCTATAATGTTTCAGATTTTGTTGTGAAGTTTCCAGATTTGAAGTGCTTGCTCAAAATCACAAGTTCGATCAATTCCATTCTTCTAAAAACGTTTTTGGCAACATCAAGAACTAAATTATTACCTCTAACATCCGGTGACGGTCGCGGGAATTCTTTTCCGCCGAGGAGGGAGGGGAGGGCGAAGGAGCTGATGAAAAAAACTTTTTATGAAGGCACGAGCTTGAACCACTTTCCGAACTAATTCTTGTGAGGCTCCAATATTTTCTTTCCAATTTTTTCGCAGACTTATAACCTTTTTTTTGAATAACGGGGCGTGGCTACAGGGATGTGCCGGTAACTCGCACTTTGTTGTATATTACCTGTTGTAAATGTATCTGAAGGTCATGTAGTGGTGACCTGCTGTGATAAGTGTTCGAATCTCCCAGTTAATATATCGTCTGCTCTATTCTAACGTTAGCGTTCTATTAGGCTGTCCCAAAATTGATGCGGGTTTTTCTAAGTGCATACCAAATGCTACCATGCTTTTAATAATGTGCTCCTTGCAGTTAGTTTATACCTCTGATAATTCTCGCCGTCTAATTTTAGTTTGAGCTTTATGTTTGGACTTTTACGCTCAAAGAGAGAAAGCCTTGCGTTGACGATTCTTCTCTGTGCACTGTTTTAATGCAATTTGTCAAGAAGCACGATAGCGCCAGTGCTACTATGCTAACTGGCTGAATACCATACTTTTTCGTAGTTTTCAATTTCTTTTTCTTTTTTTTTGTACTTGGGCCGGCGGTACCACACTCGAACTTTTTTGCAAGGTTAATGACATTGTTTGAGCATTAACATACAGATAAAATTGTTGTATTTATTTCTACAAAACTGCATCGTGTAATAGCTACAGCTAGCAAATCGAGAATTTGCCGTCGAATTTTTCTTTGTATATGATGACTGTAGAATATACCGCAAATCATAGTTTTGACGTGTGTGAAGAATATTGTTTTTTTAACATATGCTCACTTTCCATTCCTATTTTTTTTAGAAAAAGAAGCAAGATTCGACTGAGAATAGCTTGCGTAAATCTACGGAACGGATTGATCAACCAGCACTATTAGAAACTAAACCACTTACGCCATCAATGGCCAAGGTCTCACCGCAGCCAGCTCGTAAATTCAACCGTGTCGCACGAGATGATGTTAGTAAGGACTTTCTCACTGCTATTTGAACTTCTCCCTTTTTTAAATGAATGACTTTTCAGCGGTATGAAGAATCGGTTGTGAAGCCGTTTGCTAATCCATGGGAAGTCAACGATGAAGGAATGGCCAGTGGAGTGCGGACCAGCATCAATCGGAAGGACTCAACAGGCAGTGACCAAGGGTTAACTATGGTTGCTCCCCCACCAGAAATCGTCAAGACCAGTACGCCCAAGGTATCTCCACAACCTCAACCACCACTTCAACCACCCCGACACGTATCCGCATTTGCTTCATGCAAACCGACAGCCAGAGTCGAACGGGTATGTACCGTAGCTGTAGCGTATGTAAATAACAAAATGTACTAGCCGAAAAATTCTATGACAGCAGGAGTGGACAATTGTCTAGCGACCAACGTCCCGGAAAAGCGGATTGCTTGGACTTTATAATGCCGTAGGAGGCTCCAAATAGGCCAATAGATGTTGTCCAGAGCAAATAAGCTTGTTTACAAAGCAATTCGTTATAAAAGTCTTGCGGACACCATGCAGATCTCACCCTCCTGCCGTCGACCCCCTTCCTCAGCTAAAATTCAGTTATAAACAGCTCTTCTTCAAGCCGGGCAACTTTGCACAAATTACCCAGCTATACAGCTAAAGGCAGTGGATCGGCAAAATGGAATCTCCTCGGATTTTGGTGGATTTAAGTAGTAGATCCCAGTACATTGTGGCCCAAACCCACTTGTCAATTCATGCGCTAAGTCCTCAAAAATCCCCTTCAAAACTCCACCGATCCCGCCCACTCAATGGAAGTGGGCGGGGCCGGTGGAGCTTTGAACCGCCCTAAATCCGCCAAAATCCGGGAAGGGTTCATTTTGCCACTACCTTTAAGGGTTAAACAAGTTCTTTTTCGACGTTTCTGCGCTTTCCTACATTCTTGAAGCAACGGGACGGATAAGCCCTAGAACCTGAAGTTCGTGAGTTGCCAGGACGAGGTCTTCAAACAACGCATTTACAAGCGCTGATGATTCTCACTCGAGAATGTAGATCTTACACCTCTAAAAGAATCCCATCTTTTACGTGAAAAAAATTGGCTTCATCTCTGCTTTTGTTCGAGGATTCTTTCTAGTGGCCAAGTTTTTTTAGTCCTTCGTCATGTTATTAGTCGTGCACTTTGCAGAGTATTACTTGATAATTTATGAATTTTTACTAATACTTCGCGTTTTAAGCCCTTTTATGCGGTCAATCCTCATAAATTAGACTCTCCGCCTTAGCTTGGGAAATCCGCTTCCAATGGGCCAATCGAAAATGCTTTTGCGCCTTTATTCGGTGGTTGACTTTAGGACTGAAATTAGAACCAGGAGCACATCTATGGAAAGGAACCAAGCAAAGTTGTAATGCTTGTGGCTTTACCCAGTATCCATGCACCATCACTCACAAAACAAGGTTATGGTCTTTTTTCTCGTAGCCTAAAGCCATCTCGGTGGAAGTTTCTGTTTCGTTAACGATGAAAAAGACATTCTGTTACTGTTACTGTGGCTTTTACGATAAAGTTGCTCCAAAAGTTTATAATCGACATGAATATCCCAAAATCTCCCTCTTTCAAAAATTGGCTTGATCAAACTTTCTAAATTCCTTGGGTACGCAGACTCGAAGATAGTGTACCGGCAAAGTTGCGTTTTCCAGTTCTTTTCCTTTTCGGAGCCTTCTCGCCATGAGGAATCCATATCTGAGCTTTACAGTGCATAAAGATGGCGAAAATAAGATTCTCTTGAAGCTCCAGGTCCGCCTTCAGTGGAAAATACTTGAAGTAGGCGAATTTCGAAACGAGTGAGGCAGAGTGCGGAAGACTTTCGGGGCATCCTCACTGAATGCGGACTTGGAAAGCTTCGAAAAAGGCTCATTTTCGCTTTAATGCGCTGTAAAGCCCGGACATGGGTTCCTCATATCCGGCCGAGAAGGCTACAAATGGGTAAAACACTGAATAGCAAGATTCTGCCGGAACCCTGCCTTTAAGGTTCCTTCAACATCCGTAAGGCTCTTCCCCTCAGGTCTGCGTTTCGAATTGGGCAAACAAATGTTTTACATGGTTTCGAACGATATTACAATTTCAGGTAGATAGCCAAAACGAAACACCTTTTACTACAACGACATCTGCAAGTGAGAATGAGAGACAGGGAAGTAGCGGTGGTTTATACGAGCGCCGCTCGTCTCAGAGGGAACGAGAACCTACTGAAGCTATCGAAAAGCAAAGGGTTACTGATTTTCGCAAGTTATTGCTATTTGCTTTCACTTGTATCAAATAGTATTATTTTGAGGGCTACGATCGCCACAGTTCCACTGGAGGATCATCTAGTAATAGTGGAAGGTTTGTGTTGTTTCTTCTTGATTCTAATTCATGGGCGGGACTACCTAGGTTACTGGTTTCTGTGTGGGAAGTCTTTAGTCCTTAACCGAGCTTGCCTAGCAGGCAGCATTCTTTTATTGGTGACCAAGAAATCCGGTTCAAACTAGTTCAGATAATACGTTTCTGAGAGTCTGATTGGTCTTGCTTAGAAAGAGTACGGTCAGGATTGGAGCTCAGAGTTTGGATGTCTTGACCACAGATGGATCAAATCAGCTGTTCTTTGGGAGTGGCTTTACTATCGCCTCCCTGTCATCCACATCAAAAGTCTAGGCACCGAGATTGCCTGTCCACTGTTTCTAACACTAAATAACTAGAAAGATTGCTGTAACTTGTTGGAATTTTCTGTTGTGGTTTGAAAATGAGTCTAAAAATCCCTTGTTTTTTTTTGAGTAAGTCCGCAAAGCATTCAAGAGAAAAAAGTGCACTCACTCATCCGTTTAATTTCTTGTGACCGACGCAGTTACGATTTTTCTTGCAGATCTTATGTGGAACATCAAAGGATTGATGAGCAGCCGTTCACTTCGTTGGATCGGCAACCAAATAGTTTTGGAAACGAAAACAAGAATTCTCGCCGTCAGTTGTCACCGCTCAACACGATGTCACCTTCTCTAGGTGTTCCAATGCGAAAATCCGCGTTTTCTCGCGAAGTTAGCGAAGATTACGTTCGACGCACACCTCGAAATGATTTTGCTCGTCCTGAACCTGCCCGCTCATCTACTGCTTTGGGGAACATGGGCTATGGCGAAAGCTATGATAGAAATGATAGGAACAATGGCGGAGGGTTTGACTCCCGCTACGATCAACGTAGCAGTCGTGAAAACAGAAATGGATTTGGTGAATCAAGATATGAACAGAAGCCTGTACAGGCGTGGAGACAAGAACCTAACGAGCGCTTCCGATCGACTTCATCTGCTTCTATGAAATTTGGCCACGGTGCGCGGATGGAACCTGAATACCCCGCTAATCAAGAGAGCAACCGTGGTTGGCCAAAGAATGACGGTTACTACGGAGAACAGCAAGAATTCAATGAAAGAAGTAGATATCCGTCCTCTCGCAATGATGATCGCTACCGCAACTCTCGCCAGAATGATTCTGATGAACGGAATTCTTACAGTGGACAAAACAGAGTACAGCGCCCTCCTAGCGAAGTTTTCCGTGGAAATACAAATGCAACTATGGACAACCGTTACCAACCGAGGTGTGTTTGATCCCTTCGAGCTTATCCCATTTTTCGTCTTTGCCTTTTCGAATTTCTTGAAGCCAACGTACGCAAATACGAGGTTGGTTAGATTTTGTTGCCATACAAGCAGACTGACTAAGCACTTGTCCAAGTCATTTCGACGCGAGAGAATTGCTCCAGAGTGTAGTTGCGGCAGGGGTAGCCACTCCCATCAACGTGGACCTAAAGATAGCGAGTGCAAAACGACCTGGACTCTGAGGACGTAGAGTAATTATTGATTTGCTTCCAGAATTGAAGGCGAATTTCTCCTTGTGTGCAGTATCAGGCCCATTATTTTTTTTAGTCACATTGATGGGCGTGGCAAACCCTGCGCATTTACCTTCTGGGGCGATTTTCTTGCTTCGGAGTGCACCTTTTGCAGCGAGACTCTGGCAGATGTTCGATTGGGAACCTCGTTATTGTACTGCAATTAAATCTCAACAGATTCAAATCTTGACCTACTTCCCTCATTCCCCGGTAATACGGTTTTACAAGCTTTCACAAGTGCTTTTTCAAAAGATACGAATTCTATATGAAAATGTTAGAAATCTACATGTTTTTCATGACTACCAAATAAAGTCATCAGGAATGCTCAAGCGAGATCTTTTGAGGTATGAGGGAAGGAAATATGATAGTGTCTTTAGTGAGCGGTCGTCGGAGTCCTATAATCGGAGCAACAGAATGCGTTCTTCTTCAAGAATGGAGTACAGTGAGCCGGCCAGGTAAGTCTTCCTTAACTTGCATAGTAGCCCAAATACTGATTTTTGTAGTTCCCATCGAGACTATCACAATGATGCCAACTATGGCCCATCCCAACTGCACTTCATCGATGTAACTTTGCATTTTATTCATCTTTCTTCCAATAATTCGAGAGTATGTTGTAGGAACATAGCCCGCATCCGCCACCGTTGACCGATGATCAAAAGGCTCGTTTACGGATAATACGAGATTACACATATCTTCATCGAGACGCGAATAATTCGGGACTTCGCACGGTGAGTGGGAAGTGATGGAGAACTCATTTTTATGGTTAGCAATATTGATTCCAGCTGGATGGAGTGCTGAGTATATTGCCGTCGGACAAAAGTGTAGACTGGGTAGAACTAATCACAACTTACCTGCCCCAAGTGGAACTTGTACCACTCGAAACTAGGACTAAAAAAGAGGTTTGGAGTTTTTGATGACTAGATAACATCTTTCTGATATGATCTTTACAGCTGGTGTTGATATGGAAAGGTAAACCCAACGGACAAATCGAGGACCGAGGTTTCCTAATCTGAAAAAGTTTTATGTCCTCCTTGATTTTTTATCAAAAGAAAAATGCTTTAGCCATACGGAGATTGCCTTGTAAATGAAGAAACATATGCTTCAGTTTTGGGTAAAAGCTCTTTTTCTACATTGTAGCTGATTCACAGCATTTGTACAGCCGCGATTTATGCCGTTTGAAAATGAATATTTAGGTTTGAGCTGAAAACTTCTGTGAATGTTTGCCGCTTTATGGATTTGAGAATGAATATTGATTTGGCTCTTTATTATGTTATTCAATGGAGAATTCCAAGAGAATTTTTCATACACTTAGGATCATTAGGAGACATATAGGATACTGAATAACAATGGTTGAAGTAGTACTGAAATTCAGCGCTGTGGCCAGTGGCGGTCCGAGGGGGAGGGGCGGGCCTCCCCCCCCCCCCCCGAGAATGGGTCGCGAAATTTTTGAAACTTACCTATTTGGGTTATAAAAATGTTACGACTAGTTTATTTTTGTAATTAATTAAACGACTAGTTTATTTTTGTAATTAATTAAAATAATTTTTAAAATTTTTTAAAAATTCGAATTAGCCTTATAAAAAATTTTTTTCGGGGGCGTAGGCTAACGCCACGCCCTCTTTTTCCAGATTTTTAGGGTTGGGACCCGCATTTGGGACCCGCACCCAAATTTTGAGAAGCACCGTAAAAAAATTTTCGGAGTGCGTGGCTAACGCCACGCACCTTCATTTAAAAATTTTTTTTGCCGCCCCCCCCCCCCCCGCCCCCTCCCCGGTCCGATATCCTGGGACCGCCACTGGCTGTAGCGTATCAAAGACAGACAAATCAGACTTAAGCATGCCCCACTATTTGCTGATAAACATGTTGGAATAAACTTCTTTCCAAAAAAAGGTACTTACAAAGCATGCATTTTTTGGAAATTCGTATGTAGTGAGTGGACGGCTTGGTCGACCTTACGAAATAAAGGAATTTGTCCCTATTTACTTCGATTATGGTTTGAATGGGGTTCCTGAAGTTCCTGAATATTGGGTTGCCCAAACGTAAACTCCTTTTTCATATAAATTAAGCAGTCTATAAACTTTCCTGCAGTCACGGTATCATTCGATATGCGCAAGCTCTACAAAATGACCATCAAGATCGGCCTAGTCATAATCCAGGTAGCATTTGGAGCCAAAAATCAAAATTTTTCAAATACTTTAAAAGTCGGATATCCTTCTAGAAATGCTTAGGACCTCCAACTTGATCTTTGTATGCAATAGACACATAGTGGTATCCAAAAATGAATTTGGAGAATTTTTTACGGGGCTCAAAATTGAGAAACTTGAGAAACTCGAAAGGTGACATTTGTGCCACCTTTCGGGTTTCTCATTTGATTCCAGGGCGCAAACAAAGGCGAAATTTTGAAGTTATACTCATCAGAACTTGTAGTATGCAACGACATATGTGGAAGGAGCACGGGGCGGAGTTGCCTTTTTTGGAGTATCTTTTTTTCTCGCTTTCTATGCGGAAAAAATACAGCACTAATATGTGTCTATACTGCATAATGATTAAGGTGGAGGTCTGTAGGATTTTTTTGTTTTCGCAGAAATCAATCCTCAGCTGGTAATATTTTTTTTCGATTTTGGCTCTGAACTTCCTGGATCACGATAAGCAGATTTTTGGTGGTTATTCTGCAGAGCTTGTTTTGTTCTATATGGATGCCCGAAGTCCCCTACGAAAACAAAAACAGTTTATCTGGAGGAAGAGTTTGCTTTTGGCACAGGCTGATTGACATTGTCTCCCTAGAACATTGTCGCATGAACATCGTTCGTAAGACCATATTCTGGAGTACAAAAAAATCCTTTGATCCACGGTCTCGCTATCGCTTGAAAAATACCGTTTGTTCGCTGCGAGATAATATCACAAAAGAAACTGAAGGGGCTGTCAGTAGCTAATATTGCTCTACAACTTATTGACTTCACTACAGCAAAAGAAGGGGAAAGATGTGAACGGTGCTCCTTTCCAGCTAAATATTTTTGCTTTTACAGCAATCATAGTACCTGTACTTGGCGTTATCGGTCTGGTCAACTGTAGGAACCTTGTTAGCAAAGTCGACAAGAGCTAGATAAGAATAGGTTCTCGATAAAGTTTGCAAATAGATAGCAGTAAACTCTGACCATCAAGTCCTAGCCATCGTGTTCTTTTACCATTTTCACAATTTGCCTTTCATGGCATTTGAGCAGTAATCTCAACGTAGATGATCACCTTATGATTACCGAAGTCAAAGCATGTTCGGATTTCTACAAAACACAGTATCCATCAAATGCGTACCCGCACTAGAACTCTTGTTAAACATCGTGCATTTGATTCGATCATCTATATGTCCTCGAGTGTTTTCCGCCCATGCTGTTACCTACACACCTTTTCTTTCTGAACTACACTTCCTTCAATAAATACGAAAAAGCCCATTACTTCCTTTTTAGAAACTTTTCGCAGATATAAAAGTCAGCATTGCGAGTCCGTTATATGCCCCGGGCAGAGTACACGCGATTTGACCGTTGCGATTGATCGCGACAAGACAACAGTAACAATATTATTGCATCGATCTGCATTTCGGTTGTGATAGTTTTCCAACACGACTAATCGTCACTAATTATCACAACCGAAATACAAGAAGATCGGCATGCACTGAACTCGTAACACTTGTCTTGTAGCGATTGAATCGCAACGATCAAATCGCATTAACTCTGTCCGAGGCCATATTGGTGTGTCCAAATTGGCACATCGACTAACAATACATAAGTGACCTTCCCTGGCGAGAGCCACTTTCCTTATCGGTCCACTAAATTATTCTATTAGTTCCCACAGCTGTTTCTTTTTTGTTATCATTGAAGAATCATCGTACAAGCAGTGGCCTTTCTAATCAACGCCGGGAGAAACAAGGTAGTTGTCCGGAGAAGAACTATCGCAGAAATGCGTGAGAAAAGCGCGACATAAGCACGAGGTACCATTTGATTCAACTGGCTTGGCTTCGGGAAGGCAGGGCTTCATGACCTAATTAAGGCTAGGTAATGGTTAGAGAGCACTCGTGCAAGAGAGACGCAGGTGCGTGGTCACAAAGCCCCGTCTTCCTGAAGCCAAGCCAGTTAAATCAAAGGTTAGGCGCGAAGAGATTATTGCCTTCCAAAAGCGCGCCTGGAGAAGAAAGCGGCAGGCCTTTGGCGGTTCCTGGCCATCCTCCGATTAGACCAGAGTGAAGAGCTGTTTTTTGAGCCCGGGTATATCATATGCATTGCCGCTTGATCAATAGCTTGTTCAAAGGCAGTGTCCAGGCAAAAAGTCGATTTTGTGGTAGATTTTGTGTTCCCCGGGCGTATTACTATGTTGAATCCGAAAATCCACATTACAAAGCGCGAAAACGGCGAAAAAGGGCTCCAAAGGCCAGAGGGAAATCAGAAATGGGCGAGGTCTTCCCCACTGTGAATTTCGCGGAACCAGCTTCTGGAGCGATCTCAGTTCCGCTAGCGCCTTGTGATCTTTACAGTTAGGTGTGAATGCATGACTTGAAATCGGAACCGAGAAGATTGCTCTGGAACTTGGAGCGTGAATCCGCAGTGGGGAAGAACCCGCCCACTTCTGGTTTCCTCCTGCGTTAAAGCCCTTTTTCGCCGTTTACGCGCTTTCCAAAGTGGATTTTCGGATTCAGCATAGTGAATAGGTCCGGATAAGCACAATATCTCAGAATCGACTTTTTGCCCGGACACTGCCTTCAAGGCATCCTGTGCAGAATCCACAAAAAAAGTTTAGGTGCAAGGTTCATTCCTGCCAGGGACACAGCTCAAAAGAATTTGGACCGACTAAGAATGCGCAAAAAACGAAACTCATCGCTGCAGCAACTCATGTGGTGGTGTTTGCATTGTGACTCACCCGACTTAAAATACCGACGCTTTCGGCTTTTATCACATGGATAAGGAGGTACTTACAAAGTAAATAAGAAAGGTGATGTTGAATATGACACTGAGAAGAATACGTGTCATCTCGCTCATTTCGCCCTGTTCTTAACTCGCTATTTAGTTGTCTTTTGCGCAGACTTGCAGAAATTTAAAACAAATAGCACAAAACCTCTCCGAATGCAGTATCTCCTCGGGATCCTCCCAATTAGCTTTACAGGATTTCTTGAAACAATGCCTTGATCTGGTCTATCATAGAAGGTATGAAAGTACCTTTTGCAGGTGTTTCTCCGCACACAACCTTTCGATGCAGATGTTTCTCTCTTTTAAAGATAACTGAGTTTTATGATCTATACAGCCTCAGCAGATAAAATCTCAGTCCCTGACGTAAGTGACCCCTTAGAATGCCTATATTCTCCCTATATCACAATTCTGTTACATATTTTTCGGGATAGGTGAATTGGCAAACAGGCACATTTTGCCACACTCCATTTAGGACTTTTCTCATTAGGTCTTCTTGATTCATCTCAAGATATAGATCAAAGAAACTACATTGCTTGAACATAAGCGGAGATAGTTGCACCGCACAAGAAAGTTGATGAAACAATAGTCGATTATATTGTACGATTATCTAGGGAGTTGCAAGCTCTGTATCCCCCCTCCCCAACTTTTAGAAACTTTTAGTTTTTTTGTGAATTATACGCACAATCTTTTGAAGCCAGTGGAATGATGCATTCGACTTACAATCAAGTTAGCTCTATGTTGAACCGCGTGAGGGTTCTTATATCTGCTAACTAGGCTCTCATATATAATTTTGAAAAAATGAATTGAAGAAATCCAAGGCAAAACGGTAGTCATTGAGCATCATCAAAAGGATAAATATGAAAATAAGTAAGAAAAGAATTACGTTAAAAGTCAAATAATTCAAAACATATATAAAACTAGCGAACTTACGGGTCGCTAGCAAGTGGGTCGAGGCAGATATAATACAAGGGCTTGGTTGTGGCTATAAATATTTGTAAATAAGTTTCCTATTCCTTTCCTGTGAACATTTTTGCGAAAAGCATTTACAAAAGGAGAACTGCTCGAAGAAGCGATAATCTTCACAAATCATTTCATTACTCGACACTCGTTTACCACGCTCTTTCTGCAAATTTCCCCTCCTCTCAAAGACATACAGGTTAACCCTCCCCCCACTTTTCTACCCTCTCAAAGAGAATTTGCTCTTCCAGTTCTTCTCAACAAGATTCACAAAAGATCGTTTAGTAAGTAGCAGAACACCTATCGTTTTGGAAGTAGAAATGTACCCCTAAAACTATGTGTACTACAAAAAACACTTTTCTCTCAGAATCAATTCCGACAGCAACGAAATCAATTAAGAACTTTGTCAGAAAAACCTTCAATTTTTTCGCTTAAGGAACATGAAGCTTTACTACAAAAGGAGAACCCCCTACTGAGCCACTTAAAGACCGTCAATCATAAGAACTGCACAAACGTGAACAAAAAATTTGTTTCCCCGTCCCATCAAATTGCCCTACGTGCCGCTTACAAACCACTACTATCCATCTGAAAGACAATTTATGCCCTACGTGCCGCTTGAAGACTTTTTAAAAATTATGAGAACTGCCCCAAACGTACAAAAATCTGTTTCCCTGCCCGATCGAGTTGCCCTACTTGCCACTTACAAGCCAATATTATCTATCTGAAAGACAATTCATGCCCCAAGCCGCTCGAAGACCGTTTAAAATCAAAAGAACTGCCCCAAACCCACAAAAATCTGTTTCCCTGCCCGATCGAGTTGCCCTACGTGCCGCTTACAAACCAATATCATCTATCTGAAAGACAGTTCATGCCCTAAGCCGCTCGAAGACCGTTTAAAATCAAAAGAACTGCCCCAAACCCACAAACATCTGTTTCCCTGCCCGATCGAGTTGCCCTACGTGCCGCTTACAAACCAGTATCATCTATTTGAAAGATAGTTCATGCCCCAAGCCGCTCGAAGACCGTTTAAAATCAAAAGAATTGCCCCAAACCCACAAAAATCTGTTTCCCTGCCCGATCGAGTTGCCCTACGTGCCGCTTACAAACCAGTATCATCTATTTGAAAGATAGTTCATGCCCCAAGCCGCTCGAAGACCGTTCAAAAATCAAAAGAATTGCCCCAAACCCACAAAAATCTGTTTCCCTGCCCGATCGAGTTGCCCTACGTGCCGCTTACAAACCAATATCATCTATCTGAAAGACAGTTCATGCCCTAAGCCGCTCGAAGACCGTTTAAAAATCAAAAGAATTGCCCCAAACCCACAAAAATCTGTTTCCCTGCCCGATCGAGTTGCCCTACGTGCCGCTTACAAACCAATATCATCTATCTGAAAGATAGTTCATGCCCCAAGCCGCTCGAAGACCGTTTAAAAATCAAAAGAATTCCCCCAAACCCACAAACATCTGTTTCCCTGCCCGATCGAGTTGCCCTACGTGCCGCTTACAAACCAATATCATCTATTTGAACGATAGTTCATGCCCCAAGCCGCTCGAAGACCGTTTAAAAATCAAAAGAACTGATCCAAACCCCCCAAAAATCTGTTTCCCTGCCCGATCGAGTTGCCCTACGTGCCGTTTACAAACCAATATCATCTATCTGAAAGACAATCGAGTTGCCCTACGTGCCGCTTACAGAGTAACTATTCAAAAAGAAAAATTATGCCCTATGTGTCGCTTGAATACCGTATATGTGAGAAAAAACGACCTTACGTCTCTACAGAAAGAAAACAACGAAATCAAGTAATCAGCGTAAATTGTCGTACATGCCACTTTTGGCTTTCTTTTTGAGAACTGCCCCAAACGTAGAAATCTGTTTCCCTGCCCGATGGAATTGCCCCACGTCCCGCTTACACCCCGTTACCTAGTTGAAAGCACCAGCGGGACTCAGTTACACAAGCAAAAGCAAGGCTATTGTTAGATAAACGCTTCCAAAAGTACCAGCGACAAGTTACTCACGCACCCTCTTGTCTACACGCGGAAGCAAGATAATCTTAAAGTGACTGTTCTTGGTTAGAGCATTTTTACCAAGAGTTGAGAACATAGCTGAATTCAGCTCAAGACATGCCATTTGGCATCATTTCAAAAGCAACTGATAGGAGTACAACATATCTGGAAGACACATTCTGGGATAACAAGCTCGAAAAAAAAGCAGGTATGCAAATAATACACCCGGACACTGCCGACCCAGTCTCAAATTCATTGCGACACTCATGATTGCCTTTCGAAATACGCGCGACCCTTTTACGAAAATATGCTTGGTCACTCGTTCTGAAATTTGGCAGCGTTCGAAAACGCATGCCACTTGGCAGCAACCCAATCCAAAGATCAGTGTATTTCATCGTAATTTTTACGTCTGCGGCCTCCTCGTTTGCCATGATCCAACTATCGGGCAGCTTAATGGGTAAACAACGAATTCGTTATATATTACGTAGTGATATAAATGAATAAAATAAAATTAATATATTAAGAAGAGCTGTTTATCCATGTTTGTTCTGTCTAGCTTACCAATGTGTTGAATAGACACGGATTTTGGATCTATCTAATATATAGTTTGTATGTTTTGAGAAGAAATTTTTTATGTGAAGTAATGAAAAAAGTCATGAAAGCTTCTAACTGGTCATTTTCTTCTTTTAGGCTTTGCCATACTTTTAAGCTGAAATAGAAACTGCATTGCATTTTTTTCGCTGTATGAACATAAATTATGTTACATTTCCTCCTTTCTATAAATTTCTAAAACAGAGATTCTCACAAGGGACGCACGCGGGAGAAACAGAGTCTTACATATTCGCTAGATTATTGGGATTTGGTGGGTAAACTACTTCACCCAAAATACAGCGTTCGAATAGCTTTCTGGAAAGGATATCTGGGAAAATGACACAAAGTCGCTTTTCGTTTCATCCTATTTGGGTTCGGCCTTAAGGGCCGGGCATACTTCACGCGATTTCAATCGCGACGCGATTTGGCAATATTCCAACTGTCCCTAACTCATTGTAAGCATTTTTTAAATGTACAGAAGATAGGGCATTTCGTCAGTCTACGTAAGTTATACACACTATGCATATGCAGTTTGCTAGGGTTGGATCTGAAGACTTCCGGCGAATTGCCAAATCGCGCCGCGAAATCGCGTGAAGTATGCCTGGTTCTTTAGCGTTAGTAGCGAATGCCACGAAACTGACTAAGAGTACTTTTCGTTTGAGAGAAAATATTAGGTCGTTTTTGAACGACTACTACGATTAAAAAGCGCAGAGTTCGGAAGAGTATGATTGTTAGCTGTTCTATGAGTTTGGAGCATAGTTGATGAGTTTGTTTAAGACAAATAAAAAATTATTAAATGAATTACTTCATCTCGTCACGTTCGTGTGCATTTCTTGCAATTCTGATCGGCACTTTTTTGCATGCAGATCAACGGTACTTGTGAGCATAACAACACTGGATAAAGCAATATATACCAGTTGTTCAGTAAGTGATATAGTCTTGAATTTTCTAATCAAACAGCCTTCAACTCAGTCGCATTCACTTTGCACAATCGTCCCACAGCTAAGGTTGCTTTACACCAACTACATCAAATTTCGTGCTCGAAGTTCTTCCATCACTGCGGCACTGGTAAGTCCCCTTGTTTTGCGGCACTTCCAGCCCTATTGCTTGGTTCACCTGCACACCACTGCGATTAGGCTCCGTCCTGCGCGCATACTGGCAGATCGTAATTTTTCATAAACGTAGATCCACGGTAAGTTCAACCCAGTTTGGATGATATTTGGATTGGCGGGCGTCGGCCCCGCAACGGTTCGCCCGTATCGCAGCTATGGTACAGTTGTTTTCAATACGTATTGTTTTTTTCTACCGTATGCCTTCCAGCCTCAACATGACGTGAATTGGTGTGGATTGGTGTGGATTGGTATGGATTGGTGAGGCAAAAAAAGAGAAAAGCAACGCGGAGCAAACCCGAAGCGATGCGGCGCCTCACCAATCCATACCAATCCATACCGATGCACACCAATCCACGTCATGTTGAGGCTGGAAGGCATACGGTAGAAAAAACCAATACGTATTGAAAACGAGTGTAGGTGCCAGAGTAAGCGAATATTTTGTTCAGGTTGGGGTGCCGCGCAAAATTGACGTCATTTGGATTGACGCCAGCATGGTGAGAACGTCAATTCTGCGCGACCCCATCCTGAACAAAATATTCGCTTACTCTGGCACCTACATACCTATGGCACCCCGCCATACCTGATCCGCTTGATCCGCTTAATCCACATGATCCGCTTAATCCGCTTGATCCGCTTCCTGCAAAACGCGCGCATCTGCAGTTTGTCATTTGACGTCGCGTACAGCGAAATTGCGTAACCATACGAAATTCCTTTTTCCCTACGCCGCGTCAAATGACAAACGCAGGTGCGCGCGTTTTGCACGAAGCGGATCAAGCGTATCAAGTGGATTAAGCGGATCAAGCGGATCAAGTATGGCGGGTGCCTATAGGCGATCCATCGCACGCAAAGACTGCGGACATATCGGAGTCTCTCTAACCGAGCGCTCTTTCCTTTCTCTTACTATCTGCTGCCTCTCCATGCACGAACTATCTTGGCTGGACGCAACCGCGTCCAGTCTTTGCGTGTTATGAATAGTGTATACAGTATATCGCATCGAGTTATCAACCGATGTATGCGTTCCTCCACTCTCCTCAGTTTTTTCTGGGCAGAATGCCACACTCAAAGCCTCCCGCGGTGCGGACGCGCTGTTCCGCTTGATATGTTTCGCTTACACCGGGTTAGAACAGACTGTATAGTGGTGTAGATGACTCTTAACTCTTACTTTTTGATCTGACATGGGAGGTCAGCCATGTTAATTTTATTTGCTGTTTTGTAGCGAGCAAGTAAGCAGGCCTAACGGTTAATACATGTTGAACATGATTTGGGCCAACCTCTTTGCTTTCTGCGCTGATACGAAATCAGTTTGCCAGTACTTCTCTGTCGGGCGCTCTTAGTCGCCATGACTGGTGAGTTTTGTCAGACACCTTTTCCGCCGTCATTACCAAACAAGCATAAAATAGGCATATTTGGTGTTTATGTTGTAGAGGTGGATAGAGGACGGTAACGGCCGGCCGCAATGGGCCCTATACCCATGACGAAAGTTGGGCAGCAACTTGTAGAGGGAGTGCTTCGTGACAGATAGTGCGGGATCACTCTTGCCGACAATGTGACTTCCTCCTCCGCTCTCCGGGAGTATCGCATTTCGAAAAAAATGTAATCGAATCATCTCACGGGATCATGTGTTATTGCACACAATGCCCATCTTTGGCCGTCATTTCAGAGGTAGGTGCCAGAGGCACGCGCCATACTTGATCCGCTTGATCCGCTTCATCACTGGTCAATTCAGTGAACTGACCAATAGTGAAGTGGATGAAGTGGATAAGCGGATCAAGCGGACAACCGCTTCGCTGTTGCTCAATTCACTGAATCGACCAGTGCCGAAGCGGATCAAGCGGATTGAGCGGATCAAGTATGGCAGGTGTCAGAGTAAGCGAATATTTTGTTCAGCTTCGTTCAGCTGCAAAAGGCGCACAGAATTAACGTTGACTCTGCGCGGGATCTGCAGCTGAAGCAGGCCTTGGCAGCATTAGAGATTATGCACATACATTAATTCTGCGCGCCTTCTGCAGCTGAACGAAGCTGAACAAAATATACGCTTACTCTGGCACCTACCAGATTTGCAATCTCTCTAGAACGCAAGAGACTGGACGACGGCTTTGTGTGAAGATTGGTACCAGAAAGGGGAAGAATTCGGATATGCATAAAGACAGCGGAAACTTACGAGTACCGGGATGTCCAATCCAGGATGATCATGCCAGAAGCGGACAGTGTGTGCAATGACACAATGATCATATGAGATGAATCGACTGTAGCTGCATGTATGGCTCTCACATGGGTCTCACAGTCTTGCTGTCTATCTTTGAAGCAGCGTCCAGGGGGAGGGGCAGAGACGTTCGATGCCATAAGTAACACTGCAAGAGGATAATGGATCATTTACTATTAATGTCGGTAATGCACCGCATCGCGAAAAATTCGCGCGGACCGTACCTCCTGGCCGTTCCGCATGTGAAAGCCCCACTTAATACCAGGTCTGCCTGGGATCTTGAAAATTTTGCCACGAGTTTTTGGCGAAGCGGTACCGCAATTACTGTGGAAGCTTAGTTGTGCACGCACGGTGATGCACACGATTGTGCACAACTTAAGTTGACATGCCACAGTTCGCAGCATTACCTTATTGAAACATTTTTTGTTAGGTTAACTACTGGAGTTTATTTGACCAGTCAAAGGGAACGTCGTTTTGCACAAATTAAACTCAGTTTGAGTTATTGTCCTACTTGGTGTTCCGCCACTCATCATTTTTTATTCTTTCCAACTTTCAGAAGTTATGGTTGACTCTGACCAAGACAGAGTAGTTGCAACTTTGAAAGCTTATTTGAAACTGTGCTCGAAACCATGTAATCGATCCACAATACTAAAGGTATGTTTTTATTTATTGGGGGATTTTGTGTCTCATTTTCTTGCTCTTACAGGACCAAAGCTTTCTTGAAATTCTGAAGACATTGGTGCAAGATGATCGAGTTGTCGTGATGACTTATCTCATAAAAGTGAGTGAAATGTTTGGTCAGAATACGTGCCTATAGCTATGAGTGTCGTTTTTCTGTTTGAATTCGATAAATTGTAGAATTACATCTGTAGATGTACATAACCTCAAATGAAGGTTTTTCTTTCAAGATCCTTCTACTTCTTACCGAGAACAGTGATGATGCTCAAGTAGTGTGCGGAGTTCCTGAAATTGAGCGGAATCTTTCCAATGCCGCCGAGAAACAATTCTCTCCAAACATCGTTTATAATTTGCTTGTCATCGTCTCACGCCTGAAAGCTGCGCAAAATAGAATTGCCAAGGACAGGTCGGTTTTGTGCAAGAATGACTTTCGTATCTGGTTTTTCACTCACTGGGAGTTGTTTGGAAAACCGCTTGATTGTGATTTGCTATCGAGGAAAGTTTTTACAGTTTTCTATTTTAGACGAACCTCCGCCGCATCTCAGCCCTCTTCGATTAGGGAGGTGATAGGACCAGCAGCACCAGCTCCTCGAAAATTTGTTGCGCGCAAGTCAAAGCAACTAATTTACGAGTTTGACGAACTTTGGGATGTAGGTTTTTGCCATGGAATTGCTTCCTTGTTTTTATGGAGACTATTCAGGACTTGAAAAATGAAATCGAAACGCGTATTTTGGCAAAAAGAGGCGTAATCAGCTTGTATTTTAATCCTTGCGTCAACAGAGTCACTATTCGAACAATCCAGTCAATAGATGCAAATGTTTGTTACAACTTCGTTTCTGAATGTGACTGTTGCAAGATTTTGAGTGTTAAGGAGATCACGGATATACTTTTTGACTGTGGTTGTGAAATGGTAACGCAAGTTGTCAAAATAGATGGCGTGGATGAATTTTTTAAAATGTACGCTAGCGAGAGAGAAAAGAAGGTGAGTGTAGTCAAATGCCTTCACAGTTGAGTTGTACTAAAAAATTTCGAGCATGATTTAGGCCATCAAACTCCCGGATTACCTAGATGATATCGATATTGTGGATCCGAAGTCATGCATAGTCCCGAACGATTACGTCCAGGGTCATAAAGACAATGGTGGATGGTTCAGCTCTATCTCTTCTTTTGTAAAAAGTTCCTTGTGGTGATTTGCCCTTTAGTTTTGATTTTTGATTTGATTTCCCAGTAACGTTTTCTACTGCCTTCGGATCTTAATGTAAACGTGGTACTGATTTTCTGCCTTGCGATCTCACGCTGATCTATGTGTTGCTCGAGATCTTCGCTTTACCTCAAAGTCCCCAACTTTATCTTTTTTGTGGTCTTCTGATTGGCTCTATTGGCTCATCTGATTGCTGTCTATAATCGAGGACTTTTATCTGTGCAATATCTGCTAGTGTCTATTTATATGATATGAAAGGTGCAGATAAACCTTATTTTTTCACCTGTGCTGTTAAAATAATAATTTCCGTTTTTTCGGAAGTGTTCTATCAGTTACTCTTTTCCCCACTGGGTATCGAATCAATGAAATTCGTATCGTTTGTTCGTTTTTCTCTTTTTTTGGTGCATCCTAAGTGTAATCATAACTTATAATAACGGGCTAAGGGTTGTTTACGTTTGTCTGTCTGTGTGTGTGTGTGAATCTCTGTCTGTCACGAAATTCGTAGAGCGTGTTCCAGCCAACGTCCTGAGCCCAAATTTTGCACAGCGCACGCTACCAGCAGGAAACCTCAATATACAAAAGCATGAGCGGATCCGTTGAGTGGATCCATTGAAAATTGCGCGTCAAACGGATCCACTTGGCTTCTCGCCAGCAAATTTGGGTCCGTAGTACTACTTTTTGCAGAATTAAGGATATATTCGACAAGCTAATGTGCAAGCCATGGACGTTAGCCTAAAAAGGTCATGAAAAGTCTACTACTTTACGAAAACAGCGCCAAAAAGCATTCGCTGTGTAAACGGTCAAATATTCAAGATTTTACCTGATTATTTGAGAAGAATTTTGCACAGAGGTGTAGCCCACTATGTCTATTGTCCTTACGGCGACTACCAAGCCATAAAAATTCCAAAAGCCCATTCGAATTTGCATCTGTTCTTCTGGGAAAGATTTTATCCACGCGAAAATACCGATCTCACATGGAAGACCTCTACGAATGAGTAGTTGTTTACGAATTATTCGTGATAGCCTACATAGCGCGGTGAGTTTCAATGTCATTATTATGCGGGAATGAGTAAGGCATACAGAGCATAGGGCCAGTGCGAGCCTCTGCGAAGCAGAGGTGACGCACTGGTCTTATATATAAAGCTGAATGTCTGTTTGTCTGTCTGTCTGTCTGTCTGTCTGTCTGTCTGTCTGTATGTATGTATGTACGTATGTTCCGAATAGAAAATTCCATTTCTGAACCGATCCGGACCAAACTTGGCACACATACACTACGGGCCCCGGCGGGTGTCATAGGCTACTTTTCGTCATCGATCGATATCGATTTTATCGATTTTTATCGATTTTTTGCTGAGTTCACCTACGGGGCTGGGAGTTGGCACAGGGGGGTAATCGAGCATGGGGATTCCGAATACAATATTGGTTTTCAGGATTATCGATTACTTTTATCGATTTTATCGATTTTTTTGCAAAGTTTGAGCTACGGGGCTGGGAGTTGGCACAGGGGGGTAATCGAGCATGGGGATTCCGAATACAATATTGGTTTTCAGGATTATCGATTACTTTTATCGATTTTATCGATTTTTTTGCAAAGTTTGAGCTACGGGGCGGGGAGTTGGCACAGGGGGGTAATCGAGCATGGGGATTCCGAATACAATATTGGTTTTTAGGATTATCGATTACTTTTATCGATTTTATCGATTTTTTGCAAAGTTTGAGCTAGGGGGCTGGGAGTTGGCACAGGGGGGTAATCGAGCATGCTGATCATCCCCAAGGGGGGTGATCAGCATGCTCGATTACCCCTCTGTGCCAAATTCCAGCCCCCTAGCTCAAATTTTCAAAAATCGATAAAATCGATAAAAGTAATGGACGATCTTGAAAACTAATACTGTATTCGTAATCTGCATGCTCGATTACCCCCCCTGTGCAAACTCCCAGCCCCGCAGGTCAAACTTTACAAAAAAATTGATAAAATCGATAAAAGTAATGGACGATCCTGAAAACTAATATTGTGTTCGTAATCAGCATGCTCGATTACCCCCCTGTGCAAAATCCCAGCCTCGCATGTCAAAATTTACAAAAAATCGATAAAATTAATAAAAGTAATCGATAATTCTGAAAACTAATATTGTATTCGGAATCCCCATGCTCACTTCCCCCCCTGTGCCAACTCCTAGCCCTGTAGGTGAACTCTGCAAAAAATTCGATAAAAATCGGTAAAATCGACATCGATCGATAACGAAAAGTGGACTGTGACACCCGCCGGGGCCCGTAGTGTATGTGTGCCAAGTTTGGTCCGGATACGGCGGAGCCGGGTAAGCCAGCTAGTGGTGAATAAATAAATTCACTATAGATGCGAGGGGACGTGCTCATTGCGAATCAATTCCAGTCGATGAATCTTACAGGAGCGAATGGTTCTGACTATATAAACGATCTCTATCGCGCATATCAAGGTATGATATTCCCTAAGGAATTTATGAAGTGCATGAAGTTGTGTTTTATCAACGAGCGATTTCGCATATAATCGCTCCGCTCTCATTCTCATTGACTTGTCTGTCACCCCAATCATTCTTCGCGCTATCACAATTCGTTTGTCATGTGCCGCTGACCGCATAGTTCTCTCATATTGTTTCAACACTTTTCTTGTAGATGCAGAGAATATGTATACCGAAACCCGTTCATCGCGTATTCGCGCCGCTATGTTCCCCGAAAGTGAAGCTGGAACATCCAGTGGCGTGTCTCATCGCAGTACTATCGTGGAACAGGTAAGCAGTCTATCGCAGATGTTTTGGATACCTTTCTTAGTCATTTCTTCAAATTTTCCTTGATAAATATTTGTTCTAGATGTCTGTCCCTGCTCGGCTTCTCAAAACCGCGGTATTGGATCTGCTTTCGTTTGAAGGTACTTCGGATATTAGTGTCCTTCCCGTGCCAGATCTCATCGATCTTATGTCCGACCGTGATGAGGCTAGCTTTTTATCTTTAATCATTCAAATCATGCGAAAATGATCGTGCTTTACTTCTTCTCTAGGCTGTCGTAGCACGAGCAGTTCAGCGCGTTTATCTCCTTTCAAAGGAAGATCGAAGCATTGCTTCATATCCGGGTTTGATCGATGCGTTGATCAAAGCCAGCAAGTAAGTTTTTTCGAATATTTATTTCTCTTCACAGTATATTCAAGTTAGTCTTTGCGTTATTAGTTGCTCATCATCTTTTTTCATACGAGGATAATTGCAGCAGTTTTTGAACTTTGGAAGTTTGTAGTGATTAGTGATCCAATTTATCGAAGATTCTTGTTATTTAGCTTTTCTCTCACTTGTCTAAAGACACTCACTATACCTCTTCATCTGTATGAGTTTCAAGCCTGTTGTCTTTTGCAGGGGGGATAACATCAATGTGAAACGAGATGCAGTAGGTGCTTTGAGCCACATCTCTGAACATCCACAAGGAAGGATGCAGATCTTCCGATCAGGAGGACTTGCTGAGCTCATTCGCATGCTTTATTGCCCTGTTGAGGTTAGCTTCAACTTGTTCATTTCTCTTACAAGCCTATCTTTTGATTATCTAGACCGTGGTGCAGTACGCTGTGACCACTCTTCGCAATCTTCTCATGCATGTGGACACTGTAAAAGCTCAAGCTCGCGTTCTGGGTGCTATTGAGGGCTTGGCACCTTTACTTTTGAGGTCCAACTGGAAATTCCTCGCCCTTGTTGCGGACAGCCTGTATTTTCTTCTTCTTGGTAATGAGTTTTATTTTCTTTACCGTTACTATTTACTTGCTATTTTTAGATGATCCGCAATCGAAGATTGTCTTCCTATCTCTGGGTGGACCTCAAACTCTTGTCCACATCCTCAACAACTATACGCAGTACCCCAAATTGATGTATACCGTCATTCGCTGCATAAGATCTCTATCGGTTTGTCAGCAGAATAAGGCAGCTCTCATCTCTCTCGGTAAACCTCGATCTCATTTCCTCCCATGTCTTCTATCTGCTTTTATTCTCCTTAGGTTGCTTACCAGCGCTGTATAAGGAACTATGCGCAACCAATGACGACCGCGTTATGTTAGCTATACTTGTTGCTATGCGAAATCTCTCAGATGCGGCTACAAATGAGGATAATCTGGCTCCACTGGTAATCTAATCACTTTTTACTTCTTTGTCAGACTTCCTTCTTCAGGTTATCCGTCTATTGGAAATCGTACGAGTGGCGGATGCAGCTCAAACTTCCTGTGCTTGTGGTATACTTAGCAATCTTACATGTAATAATGTTCGGAACAAGCAAACGGTAGGAACATCTGCGTTGATTCAATGATTGCGTTACCATCTCCAGCTATGTTCTAATCATGGAGTGGAATCCCTCGTAGAGGCAATCAATCGTTTTCCTGAAGTGGAAGAAGCTACTGAACCGGCTTTGTGCGCCCTTCGCCATTGCACAGCAAGACATTCCTTTGCGGAACAGGTGATTGCTTGAATTATACAAATATTCTCGTCATTATTAGATTACCAGGCTCAACAAGATCTACGACTATGTCATAGCTTCCCAATGTTGCTGCAACTTTTGGCTACTCTTCGTGCTCCTGTCATCAAAGCTGCTTTGGGAGTGATTCGCAACTCCGCACTTCTCCGTGCAAACCTTGTTGAATTGACACAGGTGAACTACTACACTTACGCGTTCGATATTCGTTCAAAATTTGCATCTTGCTGTCACGGTGACCTTCGAATCAATGATTGTAAAGTGTTTCATTCTTGAATTTTATTAGATAAGCAGTAGAAGAACAAAACATCTCACTTCTTGCAAGTGCTTCTGGGTTGACTTGCTGATCATTATTTTATAACCCTTTGAATGGGTAGGTGTTGGCTTTATAACGGTTTGTAAACCACAAATTATACGAAAATTGTAAAATTGTACGAAGATGGGGTAAGCATTCATGATCTACCAAAGATAATCATACCGCTTGGAAAATCTAGCCTATTTTAGGAAGTGACTGAGAGAGGTGAGAGTGTCGTTTCGCTCACTGTAGACATCCTGGGACGAGCAGCAGCAACTATCCGAGAAGATCCAGCTGCTGAAAGTGATGGAGTTCCTATCTGGGGAGTTGTTGAAGGTGAGGAGATCGCAAGCAGGTTTTCGCGTACCCTACATCATCACTTCAGGTGCTGTATCTGCACTTCACCAGCTTGCATCACATCCATCCGTTGCTGCTCAGTTATGTGACGATCCCACATTCATTGCGCTCATCGTCGAGTTCCTTTCGAGAAATGACGTATGCTTGGTTCTGAATGACACCGCAAAGATTACTTCAGTATATCTGTAGGTTTCTGGTGCTGAAGACGAGTTACTTGAGCGGGAGCTACTAGGGCTACTATACCAGTTGAGCAAAACTCCGGAAGGAGCTCGTACTGTAGAAGAAGCGGGTGAGGAACATACCCTTGACTAGTGTGTGTTACAGTCACAAGATCTGCTATTAGGTGTCACTCCCACCCTTGTCGAAGCTATGCGCTCAGAACATAAATCTGTGGCCACCTATGCATCGGGAGTCTTGAAGAATCTTGAGAATGATAAACCAGCGCCTTACAGACAGGTATGTTGCGGTGGATATAGGAGATACAAACAGCACATTTTATCTGTTGAACGATTGTGTTTGTGTAGGATCTGGATGCGGAGTTATCATCGGGATGGCAGCGAGATGGGCTGGAGCCGGAATTATTTGGAGAAATGTATCCTGTACACGGTATGGAACGTATCGACCATTTCCCTACCCCACCCAACAATAGCAGCTGGTTTGACACAGACCTTTGATGATATACATTTTTTGATGACCTTATACTATATGTTTTGTTCGTTTCACATAGTAATCTCATATTCCTTACCAAAATCGTTTGATATACTGCTTGCTTATTAAAGTTATATATTTACCACAGCTCTCAGATTGTGCAATCCCACTTCATTCTTGATATTATACCTACATTCCTTCAAGTAATAATAAAATTTTGGCATTCTACTGTGAATGTGTTGATTTGGGCTCACTTACCATTGCTATTCAAAAAAGGGTCAATGTGTATGAATGGAAAAACTAAATAAGTAGGGAAAATTATCCGATCTTAGTAATGGAGGTTGAGAAACGAAAAGATGTGCGGATCGAAGGACGAACTGTTCATGCAATGGCTGTACATGAGAAAATGGGCAAGCTCGTAGTGACTAGGAAGAATGGAGCAAAGTGAGTTTTTTGGTATTTTTAGGGTCTCTATGCGCATCTTGTTGGTGGTTTTTTATACATTTCTTTTTTCATTATCTTCCAAATGCAATGCAGTTATAGTCTAAAATCCTTTTTCTCTCTCGTTGTGACAAATTTGAAAGGGAACCATGTGTGTCAAATGTTCCTTAGTGTGTACATCATAAGCGTCATCTATACTCAACTTTTCGCCCATCTCGGTACTTCTGTTTCAACTTTACTAGTCATTTGCTTGAGACAGACTTCTAAAAAATAGAAAAAGGAAGTGCACCATTTATGTGGTTCTTGGCCCTCAACTTGGTTTCGATCGCCACTTACTTAGCGATGTTCCAGTTGGCAAAACTCACAGTGAACGCAATTTAAGTATAAAGAAGATGAAGCATTTCTTCGATTCACAAGGCTTATACGCATTAGCCTTTGTAATCGGGAACTATAGGTTCCAAAGGCTCCTGAGAGCTGGATAGCTTGGGGACTGAAATCGCGCGATTTGTGCTTATGTCAAAGCTCGCTGCCGGACGATGACCGACTGGGAGGGAATCGCGTGGACGATTTCTGCGCAAAAGTGAAATGCTAAGCACTCCTCATACAGTGCACACGAGAGCTTCTTGCTTAAAGGCAGCGTACACCCAAAATTTGAGTTACCGAATTTCCAAGATCTTTCTACACCGTGTATATACTGGGCCCAGAAGAAGACCAACTGCGTTGGTCCCGTCTCCCAATGTTGCTTCTGAGCGGAGAAAACCCCCCTCAATTTTCTTTCATGCCGCCCCTTTTCTTTCGCTCCGCCTCCTCCGGACGAATCCATAACAGCGTAAGCTGCAATTGCAGTTGCAGTTGCTGTTGCAACATCTGTTGCATTTGTTTTGGGTGTACGCTGCCTTTAAATGCTTTGGTCATCGTCCGGTGGTCACCTTTATCCACAACCTCGCTGAGAGACAAGCGATAATTTTCTGTGAGGCTCACGCTTTCGCGTAGATAAGTGGACTTGAGGGGAATGATCTTCGCTCAGTATCGCGAGCTCCGAAGCATCAATTTTCACACATCGAGACTGATTATCTTTTATCTTCAGTTCTTCGGACGATGTTATTGAGCAATATAACATATTGTGTGGATGGCTGGCCGTACATGAGAAGGTGAGATTTGCAACCTTCCTTTTTTGTTCGAGTGTGACAGTTCCCACGCAAATTGGAAATATTCGAGGTCATCTGTCCCGATAATGGTGGTATTGAGTCGGTCTGTTTTGTTGGAGATCGCATTGTTTGCTCTCATCTGAATGGTTCTGTCTCGATAGCAGATCCTCACAGTGATTTTATGAAGGTGAGCAAGCTCAGACTCATCTTACTTTTCCCATATATCGCATTTAGCGTGTACAAGTTTGCCCTTCTCCACTGTGGTCGTCGTGCGCCTTAGATGCGACACATATTGCGTCTGTCTCTCACTCTGCTTCATTGTTTACTATTGATCTCAGCGATTATACTGTATCTCCACCACTCAGTCTTGGTGTTGATCAGCGGCTATTCTCCATTTGCAGTCAAAAGGATGTGGTAAGCAGCAAGAGACAATCATAGCTTAGCAAGAGACAGTTATTCGAGCGGCCCCTTCAGATAGCCATCGGAGCTATGGATAGCTTGTTTATAGTGAAAAATAATGCGATCTCTCTCAAAATGGTTGTAGCAAGAAAGGTTGGTCTGATTTTTCGGATTTTTTGTTGAGTACTGTTTTCATTATCTAGGAGAAGCGACTTCCTACCATAGTATGGGCGACGTGCTTCTTCAACGATACGATCGTCGCAAGCGGCGACTCTCGAGGTGTCATATCGTTTTGGAATTTTCATAATGGAGCATTGTTAGCGGTAAGAGTGATGCATTGGTGTATTCGTGTTTTGAAAGATTGTTTTGCCTTTCTAGAGTTTGGAGACTCACCAGTCAGACATACTGTGCCTTGTAATGTGTGATGACCGCATACATGCCGCGGGTGTAGATCCGAGGATCATCAGCGTTAGACGAATTGTATGCTTTTATTCTATGTTTGTAATGTCTGTATTTGATCGGCCTAACTACAGAGTGGAAATGATTTTCGCATTGTGCAAAAGCGTAACGGGCCTGTACGAGATGTGCGAGCAATGGCTTGTTTCGATGATAAGGTACATATTGCAGTTATTTCACTTAAAACTCGTTTCTACGTATTTGAACTTTCGCGATATTCGAGTGGAAGATTTATGTAGAAGATCGAAATCAACTCTTCACTTTACTGCACTTACGATCTGCATTTCGAAAAATACCTAGAGAGGCTCACTGTTGCAGATTTATGCCGCTGGAGAAGACCATGCCATCTACGTAGCGAAAGATGGCTGTCAAGTTCTCCTGAGCCAATGGAATGTGAGCTGTTATCCTGTTTTCATTTTATTTCGTCTATTCCCTTCTTCGCGAGATACTGCCTCAAAATCATGTTTGTCTCGATATTGCTTATTTAGAAACTGCTTACGTTTGGCGGAAGTTTTGTGATGTCGCGTGGTCACTGTTTTGTCGATCTTTGGACGAATGGAGTTGACGAGCAGTCGAATACTAAAGGATCTTTTATAATCAAAAAGCAACCAGTTTATCTGGCACGAATCTATTGTTCTGAAAAGAAACCGCTCGTAGCAAAGTAAGTAACAGTTACCTGTAAATAGGAAAGTGGAGCGAAAAGCAGCGCCTTTGTGAGTTGATACTTATGAGAAATTGGAACGGGAACAGATGGGGGTGGTGCAGGAGGAACCAAAGGGCTGCCGCTTGTATCCGCAGGAGATAATTAGGAGCGCGAGAGCTGTGGAGATTATTTTGGCAGGGATCCAAGAAAACTCGGCAAGGACATCCTTTAGGAACAAATCTTCATAACTTTGCATGGAAATGACTTTGAAAAATTTGAAAAACAGATTTGTAATGCAAATTGGAAGGCGCTTTCACTGGACCTAATAGCAAATGAAAATTTGAAATTTTAGTGGTAACAAAAGTCAACTATCTTATGAAACTCTTTGTTTTGAATTAGAAGTTTCAAATTGTTGAAGTCATTCTTTTCTCTTTGAGATAAGGGAATAGTTTGCCTTTTGAGTCAATGAACCAAAGCAATCGAAATGTCATAAAAACACATTGGAGGTTTGTGTCGAGATGCAACATGCAGTTTGTCTCATAACTTCAAACCTATTTTGATTTTAAATTTTGGCATTAGAGATTTCATAGGTTTTGCCATTGAAACTATGTCGGTAATCCTTTCGAGATCGTACACAATAGCAAAAGTTCATCACAAGCGACTTAGTTAGCATTATCCCCTTATTACCACTTCATACTTTCAACTTCGAATCCAGAAACTTTACTAAAAATTCACTTGTAATCTTTCACCAGCAATGAACTTGAAATTCCTCAACTCAAAATGGTGAATTTTTAAGGCACAGTTTTTGGTAAAAATTTCTAGCAGCGAGAAGAGTTGTTCATCTATCCGGTAAGCGTATTACTGAAAAATGCGCATTTCAATACTGATTTCAAATCGGTCCTTCGTAACTTTTAAAGTTAATTCCAAGGGGAGTTATAAGGGTTTGTTTCTAATGGATGTCCTCGCCAAGTTTTCCTGGATCCTTGCCAAAATCTCCTCCACAGAGCTCGCGCTGCTAATTATCTCCTACGGCTACAGGCGGCAGGCCTTTGGGTTCCTCTTGCACCGCATCCGGAACAGATGCTACATTCTATTCTCTTGGATGCAATAGCTAATAATAGAAATAGCCACCTCATGCCGTGCTTCGGTAGAGAGGATTTTTCCTGCGAATCAATATCGAACAACCCATCATACGGTAATGGTCCTGAATCTAGAAAAAAATTTTCTCTCTTCAGCGACTTATCTGAAGATGGAAAGTTTTTGGCTATATCAACAAATGAGTCGACCATCGTGTACCAGATGAACATGAAGGGAGAAAAGAAGATGTCACTGCAAAAGAAGTTGACGACTAAACCTGCATCTGCGCTAAGGGTGTGTGTTCTTACCTTTTTTCCCTCACCCGCAGTACATAGTTACTGATTTTGTGTGGGGGATGTGTTTTTACAGATTATTGGTGAATCTCTGCTTTTCACCACCGGCGACTTTGATTTATGGGTTGTTGCATTCACAGATGAGGAACCGCAACCTATCTTGCAGCAATGTGAGTTTCTCATGTCTCCTTGCCAACTCTGTAGCCACCGTTTAGCTGGATGCGGTGGCGTTTCTCAGCTTGTGGTTTCTAACTGTGGCAAGTTTGCTGCTATCATCACTACCCGATCACAGGTCTTTGTCGTTGATCTCAAACTGAGTACGTCTTGAAATGTCACACTTCTTTTGTATTTTTTCTCAGTTAGTCTCATTTTAGAGGAGTCCCGATTACTCCGGATAACACTTCCTATTGATATCACATTCACCGGTGAAAGTTTGTTCGTTCTTTGCTCTACTGCTGGATTTGGTGAACCAAGTTCATCAATGAAAGTGCTTCACGAGGTGAGTTTGAACTTATGTGCTTTTTTGTTGTTGTTGAAGGCTAAAGACCTCTGCGTACCCTATTTGATGGCATCCACAATTTATATCGCAGTCTTGCTCATATCAGTCACTATAATAAACAGTCAGTCGTATCAGTCAAAGAAAAATGCTGCTAATTTCAACTCTTTGTCAACAATCAAACTTAGTTCTGACTCAAGCCGAATTGCAACAGTGTATTTCTAAGAATTTTTTTGCAAGAACAAATCCTGCTCAAGTTGAGATGACTGAACATCTGAACTCGGTTCAGGCGCATTCAGTTCAGATGTGGATTTATGGTTAGGCTTACATATTTGCTAGCATACAACAGTGCAATGATGGTGATAACGATGAATATGCATACACTGTGCACGAAATCCGAAATTTGCACATCATACAGTGCAGCTTTTCCTCGGTGCCAAAATCGATAATTCTGCCAAAGCTTTTGTTTTTTAACTTCCAAATTAAATGTTTACTACTTCAAAGAACATGAAGTTTGCCGCACACCAACCGAACTCGAACAACGATCGTGAACTTTACTGAACAAAAAAAAAAGACTGAAGAAGAATAGGGCCACGTAAGCATGCTGGGAAGTGACGATGCAGAAATTTTGCAAAATAGCTCATATAACAATTGGGCTCGGGAATTTCACACCATCGAGGGCTCTGCAAGAGCTTGCGACTGTTGTACAGGAAGCAGTATTTTCTTGCACGCTTGCAAGACTACGAGATTCTGAAGTAAAATAAACAAGCATCCTTGAAAGCTGACTTTTCCGCAAGATTTTAAAGTGTTGGAAATTTTCAGCCGCTTTTTCGATAGAGGGCAGTGGCTTTTGCAGAAGTTTCTCAAGCTGAAGAGAAGGGGAAGGATACAGAGAGTAATATCGATGAAAGCTTTTCGAAGGTCTTCTGAAACTGATTGGTTTGTTTGTGACGCAGAAATTTGTATTATCAACTAATAGTCAGAGAATCTGACAGTATTCACACGGATTATTCGAAGTCGCAAAGGGAAATTAGGGCTTTTGGTAGAAGCTTGGTGAAATTGTATAAGCGTGAGCAAGGTCATATCATTCTCAGTTGAGCAAAGGCGTCATGAAATTGAACCTTATGCATATTTTTTCGCAAAATATCATCATGTACAGTTTGCGATAAAATATGTGGAGGGTAGTGCCGAAGGAAGGGGGATGGGGGGACCGAGAATGGGTCGCGAAATATTTAAAAATGGCCCTCATGAGTATGAAAATGCAAGAGATTTGTACTTGTTAATAATGAAAATGATTTTTTTTTTGGAAATTCAGCTTTATGAAATTTTCTTCGGAACGTGGCTGCCGTCAAGACTGTAGGCCTCGAAATCGGAAAGCAAAAGAAAAAAATCCAAGAGCGCGTCATGCCATACCCACGTGTTCATAAATTCTTCGTCGCCCCTTGCTCTCCCCACCCCCCCCCCCCCCACTCCCCGAACGAATATTCGACCGTCGCGCTGTTGTAAGTAAGGTGTCATTTTATGGATTTTGGTTATAAGGTGATGATTTTGTGCTGGCGTTGCTGCTAATGCCAAAGAATACGAGTCAACGTGAATTTTCAGTTTCCAAAAAGTGGTGGCCCAAGTCGGCGGTCTGCGTCCACAGTTGACTTGTTCGGTGCACCAGGATACCGAGCTGTTTCGATCAACTCCGGTCCAAATGGTCAGGTTATAGTTGTAGCAGGTGATGGACAATGGGTGCTTATCGATAAGGTGAGTTACTCTGATTTACACTGACAAAGAAATCAAGCAAGCTGTTTAGACGCGAACATCTGTTCAAGGCCCCATTGCTCCTCCTAGTCGACGGCCTAATGAATGCGTTCCCACTACAATCCATTTTCGCTCAAAAACGAGAGTTTGCACATGTCGCTTGCAAGCATCTGAACCTACCACCGCTCCTTTCAAACTGAAGAAATTTGGACAGCAATGATGTGTCTTTATTGTTATTTTTTGCGATAGCTTCCTTCAAGCATCACACTTCATTATAAAGCGGCCTAGATTAAACCAAACTTTGGGTTTGTGATGTTTGTAGATCGTCGTTGTAATTTTCCAAAACATGCGTAACTAACATCTATATGCTGCCTTGTTCTATCGCTAAGGATATTCGTCGACGATTGCCCCAGCTAGTGCAATTCACCGTGGGCGTGCTTTTTTGGAGCCTTTCCAGCTTGACGGAAGGACAGGACAGGACAGGGAAAGTACAGGGATGCTGCGAGCTACCAATTCCCTGCGTGCTGCAGTCTACTGTGAAGCTGGAAAGGCCCCAATAAGGCATGCCCGAGGAGGTGTAATTGCACGAGTCGGGGCAGTCGTCGACGAATAACCTTTAGCATTGTTATTTGTTATATTTGATCGTTGTTTGTTGTTGAAAGTTGCTTGTTCTCTAAAAATCATAAAAAAATGTCAATATACCTAGTAATGAAGAGGAGTGCACAAGTAACCTATTGCTTCGGTTGAAATTTGCTTGATGGGAAGAAAAACTCCTAAATTGCAACCCATTTCCTTTTCAAAAAAAAAATCTCATGGAGTGTTCAAATCCCTTTGTTTGAGGTGGATCTGACGCTCAAAAATAATTACGCTAAAAACTGTTTGCTAATGTTTGAAAGGCTACAAAAAAGCAATTACGGCTGAGATTCGAAAATGTACACTTTTTTCTATCTGTTGAACCCAAAGTTTGAATTCCGCAAGCTTACTCGGAAACCATTACCAGCATCAGCAATCGTAGAAAAATATTCAGATCACTCAAAAATCACACGAACTTATATCCAAAATCCTCTCAAATAAAAATGGAAAAGGGTCTTATTAATACGCTTTTGGTACAGACTCACTCTTTATTGGAACCTATAACACGATACACCAAATGACTCTTCTTGCATTTTATCAATTAAGAAAATCTCACACTTTGCGGTCTTTCACCACTGATGGCGGTTTCATGAATTGCACATACTCTGGCTCGAAATGAGCTAATATTTGCCAAGTTCGAAGCTTATCAGACCCGAATCAATATCTAAGCATCGGTCGGTTGATCAACAGTATGACTAGGGATGGGCAAAGGTAAGCGAACATCTCATATCATAGCTTTATTATATTCCAAGTACAAGCTTCGTTTTCCAAAGTAGCATGCTCAATAACAAAATTAATTTCGGTTTGTTCAGGTCATCACTCATTTAGGTGCGTGCTTTTAAAAGTGTTTCTTGAATCGTTCTTTTAGCTTAGCTCCAGATTAAACTTGAGAGTTTTGAAGACGGCATGAGTAAATGCCGATGAACACTGAAGATTAATTCAAATTTCATACCCAAATTTGTAGAAAGCTCACATCAGAAAACTTGTCTCTGTGCGTCACCTTGCGTCTTATCTAGCTAATTTTCTGAGTCATAAGTAAATTATAAATTTTCCGCGCAACTATGGTACACCTCATTTTGACATTTTTTCCATTTTCCAATGAGTAGTTGCCAAGGAGAACCACTACAGTTGCACCTGCTCTTTATGCTGTTTTTATTATCTTTTTTACATACCCCTCGGCTGTGGTTGATTGTTATAATCATAGTGCTGCAGGAAAATATTACCAGTTACAATCTCTCAAAATTCTGGAAGAAACCGAACATACTTTAGTATTCCAAGCCACGACAAACCACGATTCGAGTCATGGAATTTGGTGACTCCCACTGCTGCTTTGAGAATCTTCCAAGCGGTAAGTAGCTGCCTTTTTGATCAAATTAGAGCCTAGTCGAGAGCGAATATTCCAATAAGAGTCTTGGTTAGAATTTTCTCTTTATACTGCAGGTATATCAGGAATTGTCGATTGGAATAGCTTATTTACTTTATCTACGTTAAGTTCGATGCACGGACTGCCTTCTCAAAACGTTGCTCCAATTTTTTTCCTCAAATATTAGGTCGTTTCAAAAGTAATTTCGCTTTTTTTCAAACGGGCGCTACATTTGATGGAACAAAACTTTCTAAGAGATCTTGGAGGCGTTCGATGCAGCATTTCATTTTCTTTCTAAAGTTCGAAACTGTTGCAAAACAGACAATGAGCTTTCAGAAAATAATTAAAATCTGCGACCTATGCTTTTTGAGATGGTCAATTTTCACCATTTTTTTGAACGTTTATATCAACCTTCCGAAAAAGCACAAGTAACCTCTTTATAGAGCAAACCCTACAGAATGCAAGACGACTTATTTTCTCCTTCCCTTAGGCTTGTCATACATTTTCAACATAATTTTAACTGATGCTAGCGATTTCCTTGGGCAGCTAAGTCCTCGTAGAACATCAAAGAAAATGCAGCTCGGGCACTATTCGATGCAGCATTTTCTCCTCTTTCTAACTGGTGTTTTTTGTTTCCGATTCGTTTATTTTTCGCGAATATAATCATCATAACTCAGTTTTTCAAGCGAGCCCCAGGCTGTACCCGAAGAACTCGAAATTTGATATTTCGACACAGTAAACTTTCGCTTGCTTTGTAAAATTAGTGCTAAGTCATAGTACCACTTTGGTAGTCTCAAATTCCGAATAACTATGATGCTTGATGCTATTGTAGCTGATTGGGCCTGCCAAAATCCGATGGTTTTGTTGAAAAATCTTTCAAAAATGTACGGCGAGCTACGAAAAAGAGGAAGAAGTTGTACTGTGTTCTATAAGGTTTGCTCTATCGAGCCATTTGAAAAATTGTGAAACTTGACTATTTCAAAAAGCATAGGTCGCAGATTTTGGTTATTTTCTGAAAGCCCATTGTCTGTTTTGCAACATTTTCATAACCTTTGGGAAGAGAATGAAATGCTGCACCGAACGCCTCTAAGATCTCTTAGAAAGCTTTGTTCCACAAATGCGGCGCCCGTTTGAAAAAAAGCGCAATTACTTTTGAAACGACCTAATATATTCACAGCTAACCATCCAACAGGGAAGTACCTCTCAGAGAGCAGCAAAAATAAGATTTAAGGCAACTTCTACCTCTACAAAAACAAATTTGCTTTCTCTTCTCAAATCCACTTTTTTTGCAGTTCACTGAAGCACAGATATTGTCCAAGAGCAAGTACAAATCCATTCCCGACTAGAACGCATCATTTGCTTTTTATAGGTTAAACATTCGATATTTCAGCTGTTTTCGGTATGTACACTTGCATTGCTTATGAGCGTAGGATCCCACTTCTCGCCAACTTATGCAGCCCTTGCGACTGCTACAGCCGCTTCAGTCATTAGCCCAGCTTTGGTTCTGATCTTCGCTTTCAACCTGCACTCTATCACAACGAACATAGACTGGATCCTCTGGGTGAGTGGCTCATTTCTGGAACTTCTAATGTGAACGGGTGTGACATTAGACACCACTAACTAGCGCTCGAACTGATTTTATGTACATAGGTTTACAGCATTTCAGTGGTAACAAACATAGTCAGTCGTCCTCATTAGCAACTAGCTGGCTTACCCGGCTCCGCCGTATCCGGACCAAACTTGGCACACATACACTTCGGGCCCCGGCGGGTGTTGTCACAGTCCACTTTTCGTTATCGATCGATGTCGATTTTACCGATTTTTATCGATTTTTTTGCAGAGTTCACCTACAGGGCTAGGAGTTGGCACAGGGGGGGGGGGGGAAGTGAGCATGGGGATTCCGAATACAATATTAGTTTTCAGGATCGTCCATTACTTTTATCGATTTTATCGATTTTTTTGTAAAGTTTGACCTGAGGGGCTGGGAGTTTGCACAGGGGGGTAATCGAGCATGCAGATTACGAATACAATATTAGTTTTTAAAATCGTGCATTACTTTTATCGATTTTATCGATTTTTTGAAAATTTAAGCTAGGGGGCTGGAATTTGGCACAGGGGTGTAATCGAGCATGCTGATCACCCCCCTTGGGAATGATCAGCATGCTCGATTACCCCCTGTGCCAACTCCCAGCCCCCTAGCTCAAACTTTGCAAAAAAATCGATAAAATCGATAAAAGCAATCGATAATCCCGAAAACCAATATTGTATTCGGAATCTGCATGCTCGATTACACCCCAGTGCAAACTCCCAGCCCCGTAGCTCAAACTTTGCAAAAAAATCGATAAAATCGATAAAAGTAATCGATAATCCTGAAAACCAATATTGTATTCGGAATCCCCATGCTCGATTACCCCCCTGTGCCAACTCCCAGCACGTGAACTCAGCAAAAAAATCGATAAAAATCGACAAAATCGATATCGATCGATGACGAAAAGTAGCCTATGACACGCGCCGGGGCCCGAAGTGTATGTGTGCCAAGTTTGGTCCGGATCGGTTCAGAAATGGAATTTTCTATTCGGAACATACGTACACACAGACAGACATACAGACATACATACATACATACATACAAACAGACATTCAGCTTTATATATAAGATATCCATAACTTTTCTTGCCTTTTGGAAAACATTCTAAAACGATTTCCATATCTTTGCTGATTTATATCGCATTTTCAAGAAAGAGTACATACAGAGGTTGTTTCTATTTCCTGAATTTAATCACTTTTTGCGAGGAAATCCCCTCTTGTTTGCCTCCACTACATGGTATCCCCTTTAGTTCAGTTGGAAAGCTCGCATTGTGCTTTTCCGAGATATTTTATTACTAAGCAAGTTTGAACGATGTGGAAGAACCGATGTTCCCATGTATTGGCTATTTTCGTTTCGATCATAAAGCTTGTTTGGGAGTGTTGTTGCAAACATTCCATTTTGATAGCCAGGCAATAGAAAAATAAACATAAATAATCAGCTGAAAGAGCTGTTTGAAAGAAATAATGCTTCCAGGAATCCATCTATGCAGGCTCTTTCGGGTTCCTCTTTGCGGTGAATAGCATAACAATGACATATAGCAGTATGCGATGGGAGTACACAGCTTGGTATTTGGGAGCGGTATGTCTGCTCCAGAACAATTATACTTTTCGAGTAGTCTTTTCAGGTGACCTGCTTTCTCGTCGCCATCGCTTTCTTGGTTGACTTGGCGATGTTGGTGCGATTGCAAGTGAAAAATCCGTGCGCTCGTCATAGTCAAGACTCAGCACGAATACATCTGCCGAAAGCAGAGATAGCCTTTTGAGAAGACGCATCGGCACGAAGGTGCCACAAAGCTTTTAGCTGCTTCGATTCGTGAAGAATTTGCAAAAATTACGAATTCTGCACTTCATCTGTTCCGTGATTTTGATTCGTAAAATGCATAAATCTTTGGGCGATGACCCACGTTGTCTTGAATATTCAGTGATTACAGATTTTTCTGAAATAGTGTTAGGAGAATACGGCAGCAGAACCGAGAAGGTGAGGGCATTTACGCAGAGGAATAAATTATGGCGAAGGCACCTGGCAGACCCTCTCCGGGGCCGTGATGGGGCGGAGGGGAGGGAGAGGAAGGGGAGGGCGAGGGGGAGGGACGTGCGACAGTTTTTTCCTCCCCATGAAGGAGCGTGACATTAGCTACTTTCTCCAAAAAGTGCCGTTCTAACTCCGTCCGTATCGCAACCGTTCGCGCCGTTTTGCAGCTACAGTACATTGTATCTAGCTAAGAACCCATGTCTGCGTCTCTTCGTTCTCCTCAGGGAACAGGGCGGCACGCGTTGGTTTGGAGCATTTTTGGAAACGAAATCCGCCATGACTTCGCGAAAGTTTACGAAGTCCCTCTTGACGCAAAAATAACTAGGAAAACCCTTATCCAATCAAAATAATAATAGTTCAAAGGACATCGCATGTGATTGGAGCGCAATATCTATCAACGCATAGATTCACACTTCAGGAATCGTTCAGACCGCGCACAAAGGCGCACAAAGGCGCAAGAAGGCGTACGAAGGCGCATGAAGGCGCACAAAGGCCCCGTATGTTTGCCTTCATTATCGATCGAATTGAAAAACAAGCAGCCGGGGTCCACACTAAAGCTATAGCAAGAATGCTTCTGCTAAGACAGCTACGTTTCGAACATTCAAGCTCAAGAGTTTATTACCAAAAGTGCTTGCTAAATTCTTCTTCAGAGATTAGACAAACATTTATTTAAAAAAGAAAGCAGTTAGTGAACCTTATCAAGATCAACGTCTCCGCATAATATACCCCTTTCAATGTCGCACTCGTTCGTTCCACGAAGTATGCGGAAAAATCCTGAATTACTTAATGTGCCTTTAAATGTCTCAAAAGTTGGTTATAATGCTAAATAGATGTACCTACCGTTTTCTCCCCAGTCAGTGTTCCAGGAGTTTGCAACCAACCAGTAAGGTACTCCGTTCTCTGTGCCCCATCCAATAATTTTTACGGCATGTCCACCTTTATAGGCTCCAGTTTTGTGCTCAAAATGATATTTTTGCATCCGTATAAAGTGAGGTAATATGAGAATTTCTGCATAGTACCACATATACTCCCGATTCATAGTATATGAAGTCAGCATAAACGTCAAAGGATGCTATCACTGGTCCATTTCTATATATTTCCTTTCTGATGTTAGTCTCATTTTTGCCCGTAAGGTCTACATCCTTTCCTGAAAGACAAAGCCCAGAGTAGCTTTTTCTTGCATCTCACCTTACAGTTAGTAGGAAAAAGACTTACCCCAAAACTTGTCAGTCTCATAATCTTTGCGATAACTAAAATGACACCTATTACGGCATGTCGGAGTTTCCCAACCGTCAGGGGGGCATGGTCCGTAATAAGTTTGATTTTCGTGTTTATCACACGGGTAGAATGCATATGGTTTGCAGCAATTCTGAATTTTGAAGTGTTTCATTTGTATTGTATCATATTATTCTTCGCACCTTGTCCCCATATGGTCCCCCTGTGCAGATACCCGATCTTTTGAAGTAGATCCAGGCTTCAAGTGTATAGCCACCGTCACATCTACAAAAAAAAAAACCTCGAATTGTGTAGTCTCATTTGCATTTGTGTAACCTCACCCGCCGCACACTAATCCGCAGCAAGCAAGCAAATCAGTGTCGGAGATGTGCACCTAAACTATTGATAAGGAAACAAACAACAGCTTGTCTTGCGTGACTGTGAGTGACTTTTTCTTTCACTTTATGTATACGTCAAAGACTTAAGAGCAGTGGATCGGCAAAATCCAACAACTCGGGATTTTAACGCGGTAGGTTCCTTATCACCCAAGTATGAAAACAGTGCAATCCCGGCTGCACAGCATGCTTTCCCAGCCGAGAAAATCGCTCTCAAACTTACACGCGCAGGCCAATCTTACACGCATTTGGACAAGTTGGCAATTTCCTTCTCACCAATGGAGGCTGCCCGCCGCAACGCTATAACCATTGGATCCTGCCACGACTTAGCGTCATCGGCCTTGCTCCACTCGTCCAATTCCAAAGGGAAGGGCATTAAAAAACGCTCATTTTCGCCGTTTTCAAGCTTTCAAAAGTGGATTTTCGGGATCAGCGTATTAAAAACCCCAGGTAAGCGCAGATTCGACTAGGGAGATTTGCCAAGCCCTGCCTCTAAGCAAAATCAAATCACTAATAAATAGAGACAAGCTAGGAAAGTTGCTCATACGTATTTTTTGTGTCGATTTGCATTTGGGCTTTTTTCATGCTCTCGAAAAGTTTCATTTTGCTCGAAACTTTTTCCAGCGAATCAGGCTTTGCAATTTCACTGAGATTACCTCTATTTTTTGTTCCATAGAGGCAGCGTCCCACCAGATTGGGGGGGGGGGGGGGGGGGACCTGGCTCTGGTATTAATGAATAGTAGACCCCCTAACTAAGTGACGACAGAAGTTTGCAGGAGGAAGGGGGTCTACGAAGTCCACAAATCGCTCCCAAGTGGCCCTAATCTTACGGTAGGCCCGAGCGCCGCCCACAAATCAACATCGAACTGCAAGGCCAGAGCACGCCAGCGCATACAGTCAGCGCAGGATCCCCAACGACCCTGCGTCTCTACCTTGCATGCATCTCGTATTCGCCCGAGCCTACCGTAAGATTCGGGCCACTTGGGGGGCGATTTGTAGACTTCGTAGACCCCTTGCGCCGCAAACTTCTGTCGCCGCATAGTTAGGGGTACTACTATTACATTAATACCAGAGCCAGGTACCCCCCAATCTGGTGGCGCTGCCTATAAAGATTGAGCAGTGGAGATTTGTTTTTAGTAAACTGCTCAAGAACTGACCGCGTATTTCGCGTCTGATTGGATGCACAAACGATCTGACATTACTTCGGTGCTTGCTACAGCCCAACAAGACCCTGAAACAGATTCCGGTTTGAGACTGCGAACTGGAATTACAGGTATTGTCAACATATTGACATATGTGCAAAAGTGAAGTTTACTACGCTTACCGCATTCGGACTGGTCTCGAATGTGGCCAATTATCCCAGCGCATTTCGGCCATTTATCACGTGCATCAAAGCTGAATACGTAGTTAAATTGTTTTTCAGTCAAGCGTTATTAGTACTTGACTTTGGCATAAAGCAATTGTAATAACAGTGGAACGCTCTTTTGAGAAAGTCTCCTGCCTGAACAGAATGTAACTCGATCACCTCCTTGGGATATTTCAGAAGCAAAGCAAAATTATATTGGAACTCATTATGGAACTGTACGGATGAAACTCAAGATGCCTTGCTTCAAATGAGTGAAGCGGTGAACGATGCGATTTTATTTTTCATACAAGAATGTTGAAAATCTATGAAGCCGTCCATAAAACGATTGAAGGGTCTGATGGATTGCCATAAAAAGTAGCCTATCGCAACCGCTGGTTTCGAAATCACATGTAAGCAAATTTCAGCTTCATCGGCTCTTGCACAAAGAAGTCTATGAAAAGCGTACATAGGACAACATTTACAATGTTTCTGCTTCGTATACATAGTGGTACTGCTAAAGGAAGGTAGAAGTGACTTCGAAAAATTTCGAGAATAACCAATCCACAGTTGCTCTTGGAGAAAAGTTGTGAATCCTATAACAAAAAAATTCTGCGGCGTAACACAGTTCGGTCTGAAAACGTAGCCCAGAAACTACGTGCAATCGTTCATTGACCCAAAATTATGATGTGGAGAAAGCGTAAAGTTTTTATCTTTAGAAGGCAAACCAAAGTGACAGTACTTTTTTGCATATAGAGACCATATGAATAGAGGAGTCGCAAATGTTCCAAAAATTTAGGTTGCTCCCGCGCACATGGTAGCACCCTGAAGGTTGCGCGAGACCGAACAAAGTAATGCATCTCTTCATCCTTGCATATCCTCGAGATTTTCAAACATATACGTACTATTTCGTTCAAGCTCTACCTATGAGTACTCGCCTTCACCGTTTAGCCCTCTCTGTGCTACGACCCTCATTGATATAATCAATTTCTGAACTTTTAGTTAATTAATCTCTTTTCCTTGTCTTTTATTCACTCTCATTCATCCAGCGTTTGCACTATCCGCAAGCCGTATATATCGCAGAAGGAATTCTGTAATCTTCTGGAAAGCAAGGAGTATATCGTTTCTGAAATTCTCAAATGCCCCTCTTGCTGAAGTAGAAGGAAGCAAGGGTCGTATATGGAAGTGCGTGACTGCTAACAGTGGCAATGTTTCTTGACAGCATATTAGGTTGAGTCAAAAGTAATGAGAACTTTTCGCGCACCCTTTCGAACTTTTAGCAAATTGTGTGGAATTGTGATAGAAGGGGGGGGACGAGTGGCGTAGTGGTATGAGGCGCCGCTATGACCAGATCGGACACAGGTTCGATCCCCGTCCCTGGGCCAACCAAGCCCTCTACCCTCCGGGGCTGGTAAATTGGTACCAGAGTAATCTGGGAGGATAAAAGCACTGACTTGGAAACGGCTGGCCCCCGCAAGTCACTGTAATAGGCTCGCACGCACACAATTGCCTCTTCGACTATGAAGTTAGTGTGTGCGTTCGGCGCATGCCCCCGAAGGGTATTGAAGACGCCGAATCCTTTATCCTTTATCTTTTTATGTGATAGAAGGGTACCCTAAACTGTATCAAACGTACCTTTTCTTTCTCTTTTCAGCAGCCATGCCAGCTGCTCAGTTGACTTCTTAATTGTCGAAAAAAAATTTCTCAAATCTTGGATTTGTCATTTTTGCTTTGAATGCGTTTAGCTAATCCTCAGAACATTTAGTCGTGGGTTTCAAGCAAATTCGATTACCTAAAGAGAGAGCTTAATGCAAAAGCTTAATGCAAACGACCTTTTGGGTCTTTCGAAATTAGCATTTTGAGGCTTTTTAAAATCATTTTTCCAAAAGCCCTATAATTTTTAACAAAAATGCATCAGACTTTGCACAATCTTTCGAAATTGGGAGCTTTAGAAACAGGTTATTATCAAACCTTGCTTTTGCAAAGTATTCAGGCGCTTATCGTTCAAATTACCATAATTTATAATTTTTTGCCACGTCTGAAAATAACCATAGAATTTGAACGACAAATGCTTTGGGTTATTTTTGCAAATATCTCATCAAGTACGAAGTGGTTTAATAGGAAATTATGACTACTGGAAAGAGGAAGAAAAGCCGTATCGGATACCTTCAGAGCATTTGCCTGTTTACATCCTACCTGATTTGAGAATAGGTTTAAGAAGAAATACGAAGTTCTCATTACTTTTGACTCACCCTAGTACGTGATAATTGACTGCTAACAGCGGCAGTTTCTTGGCTGCATAGTGATAACTGGAGACCGGAAGTTCGAGATCTACACCTCAAAGCTTGCAGCTAACAAGGAAATGGTCAGAAGTCGAAGCGGCCAATCCATACAAGCTGCATACCATTGGATGCAGCATAAAACGCTGACTCTAAATCTGTCTTTATTATCTGCAGAGCGCTTTTGTGGAGCAAATTATAAGTCGTTAAAGGCCATCATTTTGCTAAGAAATTGTGCGTGTAAAGTGCAAAATTGGCCGTACAAAGCCATTCTCGGCTCAGTGTTGGACCAAAAGATGCAACCAGGTCACTTCATATGGTACGTACCTAGAGGTGAGCTGAAAGAGCAATAATGTGCCTAATTTCGCAATTTTTGTGAACGGATTTTTCGCAGTAAAGCTGCTCATAGCTTCGCCTACAAAGGCGCACTGCAGATATGCAAGACGCACTTGAAATCAGCATTTTATGCTGCATCGAATGGTATGCAGCTTGTATGGATTGGCCACTTTGACTTTTGACCATTCCTTGTAAGTAAGTCGTTCCTCTTTTTCGCTATACTTGAAAAACCTTGCTGATAGTCCTTTTTTTGCCTGCACATGGATAAGAAGAGAGGAAAAAACAAAAATTGTCGTTCCTTCAATGTCGCATCTTGCTGAACGAAGCTGAGTAGGCGATAAGGCTTCATTTTGTATGAAATTGTGATTTTTTCCGTGCGTATGTTTTGCAAACAATTGCTTTGAATCAAACTCTGACAAAATGAGTTGTCGACTAATCATTGATGTCCGAGCCTCAATCAACCATCCACTGCTTGATGTACTGAGCTTTTTCGCAACATTATCGTAGGCTGTACATTCGATAAAAATCATTCATCGCTTCTAATCCGACGAGTTACAGATTACGGTCTTTGACCCATACAAAAAAGGTCGTCCTCACCCGTTATATTAGGGTGAACGGTAAAAAATGGGACAGCTTGATTTTCATTTCATTTTGGAATTTTTTGTTTCTGGCAACAGCAATTAAGCAGCAACTTGAACGTCGCTTACATGGGCGACCTTCGCTTATTATTCCGACAACGCGTTAACGCTCCTCTTCCACTACCCTACAAGTGGCGCCGTGAAGAACTCGAACAGGGTTTTTTGGACAATCCTCAACCTTGCGCTGTTGTACCGTAAAGTCGTAAAGCAAATGACATACCATTCGAAAGAGCTCTTCATGCTCTTTCGAACTATACGTTAAATGCATGAGATTTCTTCTCAATTTCAGAAAAAAAATCGAAAAAACCTGAAAAATAGCTATTTTTGGCGCAACAAAAAACCAAAAAATCATGTTTTGTCCTATATTTTCCGAAGATAGATAAAATCTGTAGTAAGCTGCATATGGATGGATAGAGCGTAAAAAGCTCTATCAGATGATACCCAGAAATCATGCGTTTACCTGCAAAGAATTGAATAACGCGTATCTTTGTTCTCGAAGCTGTTAATGGGCATATCTCCTGACATTGAGGGTTAAAGCCACCAAGCCGTCGTGGGTTTGGTGACAGTCCCACCACTCACTCCAGCAGTGGTACTTTGGGTGGTCTCACATGTTTCACTGCGCCGATACTGCTCAAACTTCATAATTTCTCGAAGTAACTAACTTTGCATTTTAGCAAGTATAAAAATTATCAATTATTTAAATGACCTTATATAGGTACTATCTGAAAGAGAATAATTTATTCTAATATCCGTCAAAATTGGAAAGTTCAGTCACTTTTCTTCCTTGAGAAATTTGCAATTATTCTCAAGTTGTCCCATTTTTTACCGTTCACCCTAATAGTTCCAAAAGCCTTCTCCGTATCTGCTTTTATACTTGAATGTTCATCCAAATTCACTGCTATGCTTTGATAGTACTTGCGAGAGATGGAATCTATGAGCAGTTTCATCGATATTTATACTTACCTCTCAGGAAGAGGATCGTCTCCGAGGAATTCTCTACGTTCCACCGTTTTTTCAGCGAAGGTTTTATCCATGTACTTTGCTTTCATAATTCTCGACTGGACAAATCTCTCAATTCCTGGCTTGTATCTCGCCTGTAAATGTTACAAAACTGTATATTAAGCATCAATTGAATTATGAGTGCTTTTTGAAGCTTTACCTTGTAAAGGTTTTGATTTGTATTTATGTAGTCCACTAATTCTTGACCTGTCATATGTTCAACATCCTCTTTTAGCGGCTGCGCCTTGTACTCTTCTAAAAATTTACGAATTTCCACCATTTTCCGATTTTTTTCAAACAAGCAGTTTCCTGGACTTTAGCTTGTTTGATGTTATCTGTTTTTTAACCACAACGTCTAGTTTCATTTTATGTGTCGAGCTGAATTCGTTAAAGTTAAAGAATGAAAGATTCGGATTTTTCAAGACCCTTTGCGGACATGCGCCGAACGCACTCTACTTTAAAGTCGAAGAGGCTAGACGTTATGCCTATTACTGACTTGCGGGGCCACCCAATTACCAAGTCGGTGCTTTTATCTTCTTGATTACTCTGGTACCAATTCGTCCAGGAGGTGGGGGCTTCGTTCTCGGAGGCATAACTTCTATACTTGGGGAAATTCGAAATTTTTCAGCGAATGAATGAATATCGAATAAATTGAAAATTAAATTTCGAGTAGTCGAGTATCGAATAAATTCGAAAACTAAAAAAGTCTCGAATAAACGAGTATCCAGTAAATTAGAGATTTAAACATTTCGAATGCATGAATCCCGAATGAATTCGGAAAACTAAAATTATCGAATGAACTGAGTATCGATTATATTCGAACATTAGGGGTCGCGAATGAATATTCGAATGAATTATCGAATATCTAGAGCAACCATTTCCAAAACTTGCTGACATACCGCTAAAGCCGATTCATTCATAATCAGCACCCTCGCACCCCTATACCAACTCCCAGCTCCGTAGCTCAAGATTGTTCAAAAATCGATAAAATCGATGAAGTAGATTCCATTCATAATCTCCTCATTTACCCCCTTGTACCAATTCCCAGCCCCGTAGCTCAAAGTTGTACAACATGAATTTTACAAGCAAGAGTGCTCACTGGTGTAGACCTTTGCGACCAAAAGGAGCAACGCAAAGGAAGAGAAACACGCATGTCAACACATTTCTAGTATATGTACTCGGTCCACGAGTTATGATTCGACAGCTTTTTTTTGCTGATTTGGTGCCAATAGCATTGGGAACTCTTTTTGATCGAAAAAGCAATGGCAAAATCCACATCTACTTTTTTACTGCCGCAAGCAGTTGGAGAAATGCGATTTTTCAGAAAGTTCAAAGGCTGCAAAAAGATGCTTTGTCGAGTTTTGCAAAAAAAAACGCAGACGAAGCGAGCTTGATACTCATCAGTTGGCCCTGCAACAACTACACGACGATTCAGAGATTACAAACACGACGATTACAAACATTCCCTAATTTTTCCCCAATTTGAGGGTTTGCAACTTCTTAGAATTCCAAAAATCGTCAGCGCCACATAGAGCGTAGTCGGAAATGACATACGCAGCAATAAAAGGAAAATCGGATTCAGAAAACATCATGCGCCGTTTTTGAGGCCGTTCACAATTATACGAGCACTTTGCGCAAAGCTCTTCCACTCAACGCGAGAACTCTGACACTCAAAATCCCATATGAAGCTACAGTCTCATGGCCCGGGATGTCAGTTGTCTGGTAAACTTACCTCAAATGGAAGCATAATTCCTCTCCTATCGCTAAAAATCTCTTTGGACCCATTTAGCGCTAAAAAATGCCTGTTTTACTAAAATATATCAAGCCCAGATCATACAAAGCCCCGAAAAAAAAACCTTTTCGATAAATTTGTCGCCTAGTGCTTGAAACATATTCACCATGGAGTTAACATGATTTTAGGTCTCAAAACTCGCTTTTGCCGTTTGCAAAATAGTGTGATGTGATAAGCGCATCGTTGCGTGATTCTATGTATCTATGGTGTATAACTTTTTTGGTTCGCCAAAAAATTACTTAAAGTAGGACATTTGTTTCACCGTCATTCGGCATTCAATCTCAGGCATCCGTGGTTAGCTCTGCGGTAGATCCGCCCACAAAACGGGAGATCGCGAAAAAATGGGTACTACTGCCAAACCCGCTTTTGTCGCGACTTTCGGGTTAACCGCGGTAAGGCGGGAAAAATTTAGATGGAAGTGAAGGTGCAAAATTACACAAGCTTTCCTTCGCTTGCTCTTCAGTTCCAGAGCGTTGGTGGCTTTGCAATAACGCTAGCAAATATGTGATCGTACAATCAATGTATTGGTCCTATCGCAGAGTTTTGCAAATGGCAGAATCCATGTTCTGACAAGGGAAGGACCCTCGGTCGAAGTGGGGTTCCCACATTTGATGCATATCATTGTGTTCGTCTTGGAGCACTAATACCAAATTGTGTTCCTTAGCTGCTCAATGATCTTCTGGGAAAAGTTATAAGCAATGGTTTCCCCATGATGACCACGGATCGCTTGAGTTAGCGGCGCCGAGAAATGTCAGTTGTGGAGGGATGGGCGAGTGGATAGCGGAGATTATAGATGAATTGGTAAAGAGTTCTAATACCAATGTTCCAAACATTTTGCATTTTTGCAAATTATTCAAAGGGTGCCGGAAGTTTCTCTGCTAGGGACCTTCTAAAATACATATTGAAAAAATCTGCGAGAATACCGGTTCCGGTTTTTGTTAACTTAGGTCTGCTTACTGCGTGATTTGGCGTTGGCTTACACTTTAGCTTCATTGATGACATTGACTTTGAACTTCAACTCCCTACTTGCCTACTGTAACGGGCTCTACTTTCAGTACAGCTGCCAGCACGACGATGGATAGTAACATTGGCCGTTGATATCACCTGAATGCAACCTCGTTAATAATTAAAATGTTGATTCTACGAAAACTTGCGCAAAAAAGAGGACCAACGGACGCTGTGTTGCTAATGTTATGCGTTGAGCACTTTTCTTGATTTCGTTGGCGTTTTGTGTTGCTTTGGTAAAGTCTACATATTTTTCAAAAGCTTTTCAGCTGTATTAATAACAACTCTCTTCATTTTTTCAATTTCAGAACTTGTGGAAAAATATAGAATGGCCGGACGACCCAGAATCAACAGGAAAGACGGTCTGCGGTCACAAAATTATTAGGTAAGTATGTTAGTAAAAAAATTCGAAACTTGAGGAGCATACGTCTCTTCGCGAAACGATGAACGTTGTACCACAAGCTCTTGCTCCCTTTTTAGTCATTGTTTACTTTCTGCCTCCGAAATTCTCGTTTTGCATCTTACAAGGAGAGGATACCTAGTCGAAAGCACCAATCCAGACGAGACATATATCATCTTAAAGCACTTGGAACGCTGGTTCCAAATCTGTAGTTTGTATCTGCGGAGCGGTTTTATAGAAGGAGTTATGAAGTGTGTTTCCTTCTGAGCCTTGAACACTGTAGAGGAGTACCAACTGGTGGCAACTAGCTTAGTGGTGAGTGACTTGCTTGATAAGGAGAGTGTCAAGGTTCCAATCTCCTTCGCATGCAACTTTATCGCAATTTTTGCAATTTTGAGCGTCTAAATGGCTTTGGAGCCTTAAAGCCTGGAAGCTCTGATGACAATGATGCTAAACGAAGTTTGAAGTGTTGAAAAACCAAAGTAATATGAGTATTATAGTCCTTGTTGTAATCTTCATCCAAGTTACTTACCACTAAGCTAGTTGCCACCAGTTATTACTCCTCTACAGTGCTCATTGATAAGGGGAGACCTGCTGGAGGGCGCCTCAACCCCAAAGAGAAACCCCCTCATAACTCCTTCTACAAAACTGTTCCGCAGCTAAAACTGTAGGTTTGGAATCAACGTTTCAAGCGCTTTATGTGGACATTATCTCATCTAAATTGGTGCTTTCGACTAAGTATCCTCTCCCTGTTAGTTGCGTCGCCCCAAGCCTTGGTTTTTCCTTTTTAAAATCATTGGTCTTGAAAATATAGTCCCAAGAAGCTAATCGTCAAGACAAATTTGAGGCGAGAATTATTCAGGTTTGAAAAATGGATTCTCAGCGTTCCCACATCTTCCCAAAACTTTCCGGAGCAATACAGTTGTCCATATACATCGCAAATGAGTAGTTTGAGCAACATTTCTTCAGCCTTGGTACACGGCGAAGTTGTCGAAGATGGTTTCCGCTGCCAGGATTGACTTTTTCAAAGCGTTATGCTGTGTTAAAACAAACGAATGCGAAATTCATGCAAGGATTTTCAAGAACAAGAAGATGTCAACATTCATAGCATTTCGTAAGAAATGAAAGACGAGCTTGAGAAACCTGATCTAAAAAAATTTGAAACTTACGCAATTTGATGGTGTCAGAAAATCTGCTAGAGGAGAGAGGGAGTAAATGTTTGCAAATTTGAGGTGAAGTTTGATTCTAGCAAACGTTCGTACATTCGATAGCTGGTGTGAAGCATGTATACATGACTCATAGTAAATAATTATTACAATATTACTACAAGAAAGGTATAAATTCGAAAACCTTGACATGTTGCCTCAGCTCAGAGCCATACATGCCATCGTTGTAGTATACCGAAAATAAAGTACAGCACGTACCGCTTTTCTTATCCCCATAGCTTATAACAAGAAGTTCAAACATTTCAAATCATTTTGATAAGAAATAATCCTGTCAAAAGACTGTAGTACGCGTGCGTCACCGCTTCGCAGAGGCTGGCAGTGTTTTGCTGTGTATATACCCTCCGCGTGCTCGCATAATGATAGGCTTAGAACTCACTATGTAAAGCTGACCATCGCGATTAGATTAGTAACAACTCCTCATTCCGAAACCTTTTCCGTTTAAGGGTAACTGGAAACAGAAACTTTCAAGAGACAGATGTGTTTGAATCAGAATTCAGGGCAACGACCTTCGTGACTGACAAATCTGCGCAAAAATCCTAGCACTTTCTCACAAGGACGTGCTTAGTCGAAGTGGCCTTATTAAATGGGACGTATACCATATTAAAGAGCATAAAACGCTGATTCCAAATCTGCTTTCCTTTTTTGCGGAACGTTTGTGGCCCAGGGAAGCGTATATTAGAGCAAAATAGCCCTTAAATAAAGCAACCAAGTGTGATATATTTTTATCTGAGAGTATTCATTAAATGTTGCCTTGATAATTATCACTGCTGCATTACAGGACTAGGAAACTACGACAGTTTTTGCCCTATTTGCACATGTAATTTTTGCTCCAATAAAAGCTCATAACTCCTCGTGCACCTTCCTATTTAACAAGGCCACTTCGATTAAACATAGTTCTCTTGTCAGCCAGAATCTTGATCGACGATCTAGGTAGTGTTCATTTTTGGCGCCGTTTCCAGATAAATCTTTCGATCATTTTTTGTCCATGACTTGCAGAATTACTTGTCAAACAAATCCATACACTACATCAAAAGTCTGCGCACTTACAATTTTTAAGTGCCAAATTGTTTTAGTCGTCTTCATAATTTCTTCGGATTCCTTGCTGAAACTCTTTTTCCACATCGTGAGCGCTGGAACCACCAAAGGCTGAACGACTTTGGATTCGTCATTGACTCCGCAGGTCGGGAAAGAAAAGATTTTTACTTCGGGATGGACTAAGTCGAAGCTCCTGATTCAAAAGATCGCTATCAGCTTGTAACTTTTTAGAGTGAAAATCAATAGGTTCCAAAGCACTCAATTTTTGGCGCTTGAATCAATATTAAATCAAGCTTTGTTTATCTTTGTATGAAGCTACCAAAGATTGTTATAGTCAATAACGCTAGCAAAAAAAACTTCGAGCAAATTACGAAAGGAGATCGCCAGCCACCTCCTCTCAGAATTGACATTTCGCCAACGCGTATAAGGGAAAAGTGATTCAAGATAGAACATTCATTTCAAAAGAAAAGTGTTTTTTCTACGTTTTCAATTTTTGCTACTTCACTAGCAGAGTTTAAACAACTATGAAAGTCTTTTCCTTGTAGACTGAGTCTAATCCCTAAGAACACTGTCGGCAATCATCCATAATCGCTGATAATGAGCTTGAAAACACCATCCCATCACATGAAGCGGTTTGTTCAGAGAAAAAAGTGTTAGTCTCTTGACTATTAAACCTTTTATAGCATTTTTTGTCTGCACAGCAGTTGTCAATCTTGGAAGAGAAAAGCAAACGAGTTCATAGGACTTACGATCTTGCGGACTTTTGTTACATCGAGGTAACAGATGGGAATCTGCCCGAGTACTATGATGTCGAAGCTACGGCAAATCACATTGTTTTAGCAAGGTAGTGCTGTTATATTTAGATTAAGGGCACACCCGAATCTGCTCGGCTCTTTGATACCACGTCAGAACTCCCCTCAAAACCTCTTGTATACCATATTTAGCTGTTACTAATCTCCAAATCCCTGCCCAACGCGTCTTCTTAATTAGCAAGCTCACTTACTTTTTTGCCATCCGCCTATCCGTGGTAAACCCTCCAAGCTTAGACTTAGCAAAAAATCGATAGAATCGATAAACGCACTCAATGAGTTTATACGTAGTTGCTACCTTCACAGTCAGCATCTCATTACTCTTGCAAAAACTTCCAAGTCCCCAAATCAAACTTGCAAAAACATAGCTTTTTCAAGCGAATGTAGCTATTCTTATCAGATGCTCACCTTCTTCGCTTTCTTCGTCACCATCTTCCGATGCCCGAGTTTGGACCCAAAAAATAAGAAATACCCTCCGATAACGAAATGTAGCCTATGACACTGACACTCATCCGTCGTAGTCTATGACACTCATCCTTTGCAAAGTGGTCCGACGATCAAGAAATGAAATTTTTCATAGAGAACATCTATGACTCCAATTTAATTGATGCAGTACCATGAGTATGTATAACCAGTGCGTCACCTCTGCTTCGCAGAGGCTCGCACTGGTTCTACTATCTAGGCCCTACTCATTCTCGCATAATGATGGCATTGAAACTCACCGAGCAATGCCTACTATCATGAACAAAATGTAAACAACTACTCATTCCGAAAGCTTTTTCATGTGAAATCGGTGATTTCGCGTGGATGACATTTTTTTGCAGAGAACAAAGCAAAATTTTGCACGTTTTTGATTTTCCCACAGTCTTGACAGTCGCTATAAGAACAGTAGTCACCATAAGCTACATTTAGGTGCAAAAATCTCATCAAATGCTCTGGTAAAAGCTTGGCAAAATGACCATTTACGCAACCAATACTTTTTGGCGCCGTTTTTGACTGGACTTTTGATCAATTTTTTGGGCCTAAGTTCATGGTTTGCACATTTACTTGCCATAAACATCCACGAGCCTGCAAAAAGTAATACTACGGACCCAAATTTGCTGGCCAGAAGCCATGTGGATCCATTTGACGCGCAATTTTCAATGGATCCACTCAACGAATCCGCTTATGCTTTTGTATAGTGAGCTTTTATGCTAGTAACGTGCGTTATGCAAAATTTGGGCTCAGGACGTTGGCTAGAACACGCTCTACGAACTTCGTGACAGACAGAGATTCAGACAGACAGACAGACAGACAGACAAACGTAATCAACCCTTAGCCCGTTATTATAAGTTACCAGTGCGTCACCTCTGCTTCGCAGAGGTTCGCACTGGCTCTACTATCCGTGCCTTCTTCGTGATCGCATAATAATGACTTTGAAACTCACCGCGCTATGCTGAATATCACGAATAAATTGTAAACAACCATTCATTTTTAGTGCTTTTCCATGTAAGATTGGTAATTTTGGGAACAAAAATTTTCCCGCAGAAAAACAAATGCGATTTTGAATGAGCTACTGAATTTATTTTGGCTTTATATTCGCCATAAGGATAAACACCACTTTGGGCTACATATCTATTCAAAAATCCTCTCAATTTTTATAGAAAAGTCTTGGCAAATCGACAATTTGCTCACTTACATCTTTTTGGCGCCAATTTTGTGTATAGATTGACTTTCTGCTTACGTTTTGAGCTGAAGTCAATGTTTTTCGGATTTACTTGCTGAACAAATCCACGACTTTGCAAAAAGCCCAACTACCGACAGATTTTGGCGGACCAAAAGTCGCGCGGACCCGTTTGGCGCTCAGTTTTCATAGGTTCCACTAATCGGATCGGCTTGTGCTTTTGCACAGTTTACCTAGATGCTGATAGGGTGCTATGACCAAAATTTTAGCTCAGGATCTTTGATGGAAGTCGCTCTACGAATTTCGTGACAGACAGACGTACACAGACAGACAGACAAACAGACGTAAACACCCTTAGCCCATTATTATTAAGTCATAGATACTTAAGGTGTGTGTCGTATCCTCAAGCGGCGATACAAGTCCTGCGTCAATGAGTCTGAAGGGAAATCTGAATTTTGTGAAGAAGTAGTGAAAGTTTCTATGGAACTAAGAAGCAATATTGAAAGTTTTGATGGAATTATGAGATAATCAATCGAAGTATGTCTGAAGTAGAAAGAAAATAATGTTTTAGAAGTCCATTTATGCAGGCTCTTTCAGACTCCCATCACGGTGAACAGCATAACAATGACATACAACAGTATTATATGGTAATACACAGGGATCTAGAATCAGTATGTTTTTTTTCAGAATGATTATATTGAGCAAATATCTGTTTAGGTATCACGTTGACTTGCTTCTCTTGCTTTGTTGGTCGATCTGTTTGTGGTGCGTTTGTTGGTGTTGGTGCGACTGCAGCAAAGAACCCATACCTCCGTCACACTCAAAATTCCACCTGAAGACATCTGCCAGCGGTACAGATAAACGGTGAAGAGGCGAGATGCAAAGAATTAGCTTTAACACAAAGCTTCGGCTATACACTCTCCAGACATTTTGATATTATGAAGGATCAGTGGCGATCGGGGGGGGGGGCATCCCCCCTCTCCGAGAATGGGTCGCGAATTTGAAATTTACCTGTATGGGTTATAAATAATTTTTTTTCATATTCAAATATGCTTTGTAAAAAAAATTCGGGGATGTGGCAAAAGCCACCCCCTTCTTCTAGATTTCAGGAGTCAGGGGTCCGCAAAAATTTTTAGAAGCACCCAAAAAATTTTTTCCAGTGCGTGGCTAACGCTAAGCGCCTTCATCCCAAAAAATTTTGTGCCGCCCCCACCCCCTCCCTCCCGGACGGATATTGTGCACCGCCACTGTGAAGGATGTGTACACATTTTGTTCTTTGGTTTTGATTTGTGTTTGTGATGAAAATACACATATACATTGGAGAATTTTCGAAGTCCTTAATCGCTTCAACTTTGTAACAAGTGGCAAACTCAGAACTCGTTCTTGCCAAAACAATAACTTGGTCCCAAAACCTCTTTTCCCGAGCAAGTCAGACCCTTGAAAATCTCAACAATGAAAATTCACACTCAAATACGCTGTTTACCTTTCAGTTGCATAAGCGCAGAAAATTTGGCGTACAGGTCAAGAAATCAAAAACTCCTCACCATGGCATTGCGGCGACACTATGAGATTGGGAGGTGAGGATGAAGGGACGTTAGTAGGTGAGCAAAGGGAGAGGGGTTTTAGAGGCGTACCTAAACTTATGCCTTACTCTGATTATCGTCGTAGTTACGATGACGAACTTCATGGAACCAGTCGTTGGGCACAACGATTGTGTCAATCATGTACTCTCTGTGTGCCCCTGCTTAGGAATTACGCATACGCAAGATGAGGCCATTTTGAAGTACAGGCTATACGCGTGCGACGTATGCTTGCAAGGCTCTGAGGTGGTGGTTGCATGAAAGGAAAACGGTCTACTCGAAATATACCGCTGTATGCCGCTTGAAGGATCTCTAGTGCTCACTCATTCTATGCAGCTATAACCGAAACTTCTTGGCGTATTTAGAAATGGACGTAGACACATCACCTATCCTTCAATAACATTCGCTTCATGAGGTGTTTCATTTCATACATTAGTGGCACTCGTATAGTTTCCTCTCAATCTGAAGCCGGTTGCTGCTGAAGCACTCCGAGTTTTCCACTACGCTGTCTGAATGGTGCCTTTATCCGAAAGAAGTACTTGATCCAGATGGATTCTTATAGGAGCATGAGCTTCTCTCACTGATGCAGTTCTTCACAATCTTATATTTGATGAGTACCTGCTCGAAAAAGCGAAGAGCTAGTTCTGAAGCTACCATGGAAATCGTAGCGAAGAAAGAAAAGTAAGGATATCTTCAAGTTCTTTTCATGGAATTATCTTCTTCAGAGTAAAAGCGAAAGTTGTTAAGAAACCGCTACGTCCTCTTCGATCTGTTGGAGATGTGCAAGCAGGAAGAGTGACGAAAGCCAAGCTTAGGTTACCTACAATATGTTATTTTAAATCCTTAGTTGACTAAACCTGATTACAGAGACCTCGGGGATGAGCCAAGTCTTTCAAGGTCAAAAGTCATAGGTTCATCTGATCAAGACAGCGAGAAAGATAAGCTGCCATCACCATTCTCAGAAAAGGAAAAGGCTGTCAAACGAGCACAACAACCACAAGATTTTGAAGTAGAGCGAACACCTCCTTCAACACCAAGTAGCTCAACTCCAGCGCAAGAAGAACCAACGCAGACTCAAGGCAAACCGTTGAAAGTCGAAAGTGCTCCACACTCGTTGGCTGCAGATACTCCTGTATCATCCACCGCAGATAATTATTCACGCCCAAATACACCCGTGAACACTCAGCCAGAGAGTAATGCTCTTCTACCACCAACACAGTCACAAAATGGAAAAGAGGATGCTGCTGCTGCAATCAATTAAAACTTCAATCTTCAAGAAATGAAAACATAACTAACAACAAATGTACTCTGTTAATGAATAAAGAAAAGAGCAGATTTGTTGTTTTTACCGGAGTGATTCCTCGAGTGCACGGCAATGAACAGAACAGGGACCCCCTTCCCATCCAAAAAACAAAAATACCCCCGTTAGATTCGAATTTGAAAATGATGTAGATGAGCAGGCAAGAGCAGGATTATAGGCTTTGAAATCAGTGCTGTTGTTTCCCGTTCCGCTATGGACATAGAATTACGAAACAAACAAATGCAATATCAAGTAGGGGATAAGCTCAAGTAAAGCCGTGAAGAGTGTCATCGATTCGCTGACAGCATGGACTGATCATCACTGCAGAGCACGCGCCGCGAGGCGTACAAATTAAAATTAACCATTGTACAAATCGTGCTCTCGCAATATTTCAGCCGCGCCGCGCTGGTCCGCAGCGTTTGAGCATTCAGTGCGGTCAACGACTCAATGGAATGAGGTAGGGCAACCGCGTTTGGCTATTCCCAGTCAGAGTAAATAATAGCTTTTTCCTTCGCAAAGTTTTAAAAGCTACATCATGTATTTACAAAAACGCCGCTTCTTCAGCCAATTTATCAAATTACAGTATTATGTGTCGTAGATGAGCAAAAGTTCAAAACTCGCACTCTTACTACAAGGGTTTAATTTCAAGCAGCTACAGAAACTCGATGAATGGACCCGGGCAATTTCACTCGCTTTGGCTGGGTTCATACTGATTCCCATGTTCTAGAACTGTTCCCGCACAGTTCCCGCGCAGTTCTCGCACTGTGCTGTATGAACGGCGGGAGTTGGAGAATTTTGACCGTTCTCAACGATTTTTCTTCCACATTTCTCTCATTTTGGCCTTACTCCTCCACCCCGCTTCCCTTTTAATCGGCCGAACTTTGAAACTCGAAGCAGGGTTGAAGAATGAGCACTTTTCTGCCTTGCATATCCGAGCCATTCTCTTTTTGTTATTTTGGTTCAGACCTACTTCATGAGTTCCAGGAAGGCGCTGCATAGTTTTGCATGTATTGAAAGGGACATAGACAGATCTTTAGATAGATGAAGTAGTTCTGAGTAAGAATAACGAAGAGAGAATGGGCAAGCGCACCAGGGCCCATCTTCCCGGATACACAGAGTAGAAGAGCGTTCAGTCCTCAACCCCGCTTCAAGTTCGCAGCTTTTCTCATCACAAGGAGAAGCGAAATAGAAGAAAGAACGGAGAACCAACGATATGGAAAAATAAAAGGGGCTGAAACGCCCAAAAACGAAATTCATCAAAAACAAGAGACATCCTAATTTATGCAATTTCAGAATCCTACTCTCTAATTTGTGGCAGATGGCTATAAAAACTACGCAGCGGCTTCCTGGAACAAATGAAATAATTTTGAGCAGATACAGCGAAGAGAGAATGGACGAGCACAAGAACACACGTTTTGTCGCATACGCAGAGCAACGCTCATTCTTTCCCCGCTCCGCGAAGTTCTGCCGATCAAAAGGGGAAGCGGAGTGGAAGAATGAGGCCAAAATCAGCGAAATCTGGAAGAGAAATCGTTGAGAACGGTCAAAATTCTCCAACTCCCGCCGTTCAAAACGGTGCGAGGCGTCTGCAGCGCATGCAGCACAGTTCCGGAACAGTTCCAGCACAGTGCGAGAACTGTGCGGGAACGTCCAGAACATGGGAACCAGTATGAACTCAGCCATCGTAAGCGTATTTTACATTGGCAAAAACTGAAGCAATTTCTCTTCTATCAAAGTTACACACACCATGCGTTTTCCTGCAAGTATAGGATTTGAATTTAGGCAGATTGTCATACTGCGTAGCGAGTGTTACCCCGGACATACTTAACGCGGATTCATCATCTTGCAATTTTACCGGCAAGACAACTGCTGCGAGAGATTGTACGCCTATCATCATGCATTTCAGTTGCTAGTTCGACGTGACTTATCGCTAAACGAGTTTGTTACTGCGCTTCCTCCAGCAAAATTCTTGCGATTTGACCGAATCTCAGCAATACGTCGCTTTTATAACAAGTTATATCAACATATCGCTGAGTATGGATGCGGTGCAGGAGGAACCAAAGGCCTGCCGCCTGTACCCACAGGAGATAATTAAGAGCGCGAGCTCTGTGGAGAAGATTTTGGCAAAGATCCAGATAAACTTGGCAAAATACCTTTTGAAAACAAACTCTTATAACTCTGCTTGGGAATAACTTTGTAAGATTTGAAAAAGAGAATTGGAATCAGGGCTGAAAGGCGCATTTTTCAGTACAAGCCTGTGCGGTAAATAAACAACTCTATCTTGCGCTCAATTTCTACAAATAATTATTGAAGATGAACTGAAGACTTTTACAGTCTTTGAATACTGAGGAATTTGAGTTTTAGTGATGAAAAGTTTTGATTAAATTTTTTAGTGAGAATTCTGGGACTGAGGAAATGGGAAAGTGGTGATAGGAGGAGGTTTTTCACTCCTAAATCGTGATGAACTTTTCTTTTGTATACAATCTTGAAATTATCAACCACACATATACTATCCCAATATATGAAAACTTAAAAAAGTCTCAAAAATGGCACTAGAGTAAGTTTAAAGTAAGACAATCTGCGTCTTGCATCTTCATGGAAGCCTCCAAATTTATTTCTATGACATTCTGATCACAATTTGACTTGGAAGACGAACTGAATTTTATTCTTTTTTATTTAACTCGAGGAAAAAAGAGTAAATTTCAAATGAAAACTCTACTCCCAATATCTAAAACTTCAAATTTCATCAGACGTCAAAGAAAATTAGTTTTTCCGACTACCAAAGTTCCAAATTTTGACATACATCGAATGCGCCTTCTAATTTCTATTACCCATCTGTTTTTCAAAATTTTCAAAGTCATTTCCAAGCAGAGTTATAAGAGTTCATTTTTGAAGGGTATCTTACCAAGTTTTTATGAATCTTTGCCAAAATCTTCTCCACAGCTCTCGCTCTCTTAATTATCTCCTGTGGGTACAGGCGGCGACCCTTTGGTTCCTCCTGCACCACCCCCGCTGAGTATGGACTTTCTTCGAGGAAGTTTCCTGGAATTTTTTCGTTAGCCGCGAATGATTCTTTGCAGAGTCGAGAAATGGTTGAATGAATTATCACAACTTTTGGTTTTTCCCGCTATGCTACTTCAAAAATTTCAGAACTACAAACCGCAGATTGTTCTATGGGGTTACTTGAAGGCAGCGTCAAGGCAAATCTGGACATAAGGGGTTCTGATATGGAAAGAAATTTCGGGGCCCTAACTAAGACGCTGCCCAAGCGGCAGCTCAAATTGTAAATTCACAATTGAGATATTCGCCTCCAAACTGGACTCCGGGATATTCGCATGGATTCATGGCGCAACACGCGTGGGTGCTCGCACGAAACTGATGTGTCGCGCCATGAATCAATGCGGATACCATCCCGGGGTCCAATTCGGAGGCGAATATCTCAGTTGTGAGCACACAATTTGAACTGCTATTAGGTTGGTACATAAGTAACGCAACTTTTTATATAACTTTTGTCTATTTGAATGTAGCTCATTCATTTTTTGGCAATATAAGGAATATGATGTAAGCTTCTAATGCACACATTTTTGCTGAACTTTACCATCTTATGTGAGGATAACGGTAGGTTTACGATACTATGGGAATAATTTTAAAATGCATCAGATTTTGCTGAAACTTGGCCTGTAGGGCTTATTTTACATGCTGATCACAAAAATGAGATCCGTTTCGCATAAAAAGGCCTCGTTCGTAAGATCAACAGATGAATTTCATTTTAGCGACAAATGAATATGATATTCGTGTTTACCGCATAGGATTACCCTATAGTGCAAAGTTATAGCGAATTCTGACTTTTCGCAGCTTAGTTATTGAGAAATTGCCTTCAAAACTCAACGCATTTGACTTGTTCAACTTCCCTTTAAGGCGCCCCACCTTGATTTGCGTTTAAATTTCATTTCTTTTTTACAGATTTCAATCTGTCCACTTTTAGCTACATGCTGTCTATAATTGCTTCTTGATATGTTCAATCCAGGATTCGTAGGGCTTCAAGTTTGCCAAAAACCGTGAAACCTCAATTTTCAGCAGTTTTCAAAAAATGCTTAGATTACTTGTACTACGTTATCAAAAATCAAATGGTTCGCGCAGACTTGCAGCTTACATCACTGCCTACATCATGCCACAAAATGAGATTGTTACATAAAATAGAAAAAAAGTTACGGGAAAAGTTGCAAAACTTATGTGCCAACCTAATACTTGGGCAGTGTTTTATTAAAAGTAGTGTCCTTGCAAGATGGGGGTTTTGGGATTTCAGTGCCACGCGAGAGTGCCCCCCGCAAACACAACATCGCGCACGTCATAACGCTCGACCTAAAGCAAGAAAAACGACCAGAAAGTGGGGAAACTTACGCCTTGGGGCGGGGTCCTCCGACCTGTCCGAGTTCCTGCTATGAAGCAGAGTACGCATGCCGCAACAATCAGACTTGTAGGGTCCCGCAGCGACTCTGCGTCTCTGCCTGGAGGGGACCGTCGGATTTCAAATTGTAAGGCTTTGGAAAACGCATGTTCTCGCCGTTTTTGCGCCTTCTAATGTGGATTTTCGATTCAGCGTTGCGGATAACCCCCGGTAAATGGATTTTCTAAAAATCGAGTTTTTGCCCGGATACTGCCTTTAAGAGCAGCGTCCGGGCAAATTTCGAACAAATTTTTTTTGCTTACCTGGGCTTATCCTTCCCGCTGAACCGCTGAAGCGACGTTACTTGGGCAAGAGTGTCATCAGGGTGGGAGCTGCAGTAAACTTTGTTTTTCTTGTAGTCGTCAAACCTGCCCGGACGCTGCCTTCGAGGCTCCAAGATTACCCTCCAAGTGAGATCCCCGTAGGCTCAGATTTGCCTGGACGCTGCCTTTGAAATGCGATCGCAAATGTTACAGTATCGGTGTCACTATGCTGGTCACCATGTCGAATATCCTAGGACGTCCTGAAACTCGTGAGTTTGAAACAAAATGTGTAGGCGTGCTGTAGACTTTTGATCAAAGAGCGATCAGCGAAAAGCCGATACTACAGCTATGTGGAAAACTTTGCGGACCACTCACAAAGCCCTTGTTCGTAGTTTTCTGAATACCGGACACGAGCAATATCTCGCCGGGTTGCAACACACAAAGAGGAAGAGGAAATCAGCTGGACACGACTTTAGTAGTTGGAACTCCAAACGCAGCCACCAACGGAAACCAAGAACATCGTGAATATCTCGTCTTCGTGACTCAGTGGAACTCGTCGCAAAGCGAAACATTGGCGGCCCGGTCACGTTCTGAGGAGAACAAACGACAGGACACCAAGAATACTTGACAGTAGGTGGGATTCTAATGAAGCAAAATGTCGAGGAAGACCATGAATGAGCTGGGCAGACATGTTCGTAGAAATGGACCAAAAATAGCTGGATACGCACCTAGAATGCGCGCGGAGTCATCGACCACTACCAAAAAGTTTGTGAAATAAGCAGAAGACACAGATCAATGGCAACTTCAATGCTGTGGCCTGCACGCTACGCGAGACGAGGCCGTCTAAAGATAAAGGATGCTGAGTCGTACTGTCGTGCAAGAAGATGTACATCTACATCATGTGATCCCTTCGAGACACAGACATTATATCCGCTTTCCAAATCTGCGAAACGGTTTTATGAATAAAGTTGCGGACCCCCAACTTACAGATGCCCCGTTTACAGACGAATATGAGTAATTATGCATCATCATTGCTGCAGAAATGTGTTTCAATAACATCATAACCTCAGACGACCCACCGCAACTTCTGCAACTTCCGCAGGACGGGAGAAATCTGCAGCGGTTCCGCAGGATTTCGTTTACTATTACAAAAGCGGAAACGTTGAAAATGGGAACTTCTGCGAGATTTTCACGTCAGAATGGTTGAAAAAGGGAACCTCCGCAGGACTTGTTACAAAACGCTACGAAAGTCCCGAAAAATGCCAGCGATCCCGAGGCACTTTGACTTGCCAGTACTTCCGCAGGTTTTTAGAGGTGTCGTCTCTTACGAAGGGCCTCGCCAATAACTAGAGTATCGAACACTATCGAATATGCATCCGTGAAGAGGATAGTCCCACAGTTATAGAGTAAAGTTCGAATCTCGCTTAGGTGTTTCTTTTGCTCTTGTAGTTCAATTCTTCAGAACCCCCGAACATCATAGGGATATTCCGCAGCAGGTTTACGAAAGTTCCGCAGGTTCCCTGCGGAACTTCCCCAAACGCACCGCGGAGGTTCCGGTTTGCCTGACAATGAGAACGGAAAATGCTGACATACGCTACTTACAATATAATCCTATTTACAATATTTTCCCTGATACGAAAATTTACAAAAAACGCAAAGGCGGTGTGTACCGAGTGAATTCGAACCGCTACCTTGTGGCTGGTAGCCAACTCCTCTTCCACAAGCACTATCAGCGTTTCGGCTTGCAGGTATATCATTGCTCGTATTCGATTCGACCGTATACAGGCCAAAAGGTGTAGATCCAAGGGTCCGTAAATTCTCTCACAAAACCATTCAGCAGATTTGGAAAGCGGATATGTTGAAAGCGTCTCTAAGACCTAAGGCATATTTTACGCGATTCTAGTCGCTGGCGATTCGGCACACAAGCGACTGCTTGTAATTGGTCGTTACCCCTGTGCTGAGGCACTTGGGAGACGGTCAAGAGGCAGTCAGGACACTCGAGGACGTCCAACCACAGCTATTGCAACCACGATACTTTTCCCGTTATCTCAATTTTAGATGTCCGTAGTTTGCCTCCCTTTTCTCCGTACCGCACTTGCCTCATGCGTTAAGTTATTTGACAAATTGTGGTCAGATGTCGTTAGTTTTGTATGTTGATACTCCTCATTCTCACTTACCTTATGTAGTCACATGTTGTTAATTTTGCTCATAGTCTGTTACAAAACGTTATACGGTGCTCAGAAGGAACTCCAAATTCAAGCGGGCCATCAATCCTTTCGTTGCGTTGTTTTGCATGATTGCCTTGAAGTAATAAAGGTTTAGTTACCCTGGTCTGAGGTGTTGGTGTTTCGGGCGGTCTTCTCCGCGAGTAGTTCCGAGCATTGCATTCTGGTATTCTAATTGCTATTACCATTACTTCAGCAGGGTCGGGCGTGACTGCTACCAAGCCAAGCCGGACCCCTGCTGTAAGCCCTTCGAAAGCCACGGCCCCGTCACCAACGAATCAAGAACAACTCCTCCACTAGAGGGGTGGGAACATACTACCCAATCCTCCCTTTTCTCGCTTCCTCTTCTTTTGGATTTTCCTTTGCTCTTGAGTCTGGAGCCCCTTTTTCCCCGTGACCAATCCCCGAAAGAACAGGACCTGATCCGTGGAACTTACGAGGGTTACGCGCCTATGTACTTGAAAACCACTCATGACCAGTTCATGAATATCTGGCAGAACGCCAAATTGCATGGATGTCGCCATCAAATCGCTTGAGGTATCCCTTAGGCCTAAGGGACCAGATGTACATCCGCTCGCAAAACGCCAGGTGCGACTCTTGACCCATCTCTTGTTAGTACCTAATAAGTAAGTATCAGTAGTGTACCCAAGATTTCGGCTCGGGAGGGGGGACAAAAATTTTTTTCTGATGAAGGTGCGTGGCGCTAGCATACCAAGAAATTTTCGCAGACCCATAACCCCAAATTTTCAGAGGGAGGAAATGTCCCCCGAAAAATAATTTTTTACGAGGCTAAATTTATTTTTATAAAGAATTTTAAAAATTAATTCAATTATTTACAAGTGCAGACAAGTCATTTGCAAATTTTATAACCCATGTGAGTGCCTCCCGCCCCCCCCCCCAGGTACATCACTGGTAAGTATCTATTCAACTGAGAAGCCAACTCATGCAAGCCCTGTGCTCGACTCCCACTCAGATAATCGCGGGGGGCAGGCGGCCATGCGATCTATGTGCAAGCGGGCACCGGAAAAATAGTTTGCTGAATTGTCGTAGCCCGCACGTCAATGTCCGGGTCTCCGCGCGCGATTTCACTCGGAAACTGTTCAGAACAATCGCTGCTACTTTGTCAAATTTTTGCAGAGCGCTCACTTAGTGGTTGGTCTCCGCTGACTCCTTACCATCGCCCGCTCGCAGCCTTTTCGATGCGAAAACTCCGTTTTATTGTGGGAATTTGAATGACAATTGGCAGCGCGACTGATTCGCTCTCGCTAATTTTTCGTAGATTGGCTGATGATTGTCGCTGCGAAAACAGCTCCCATTTCGGCGTAATGGCATCTGCACACCAGCAATACACATTTGATGAAAAAATTTATTGGTGCTATCAAATAAAACCAAAAATCCCTACAGATAAACCAGACAACCAGACAAGACAGTTTGCTCCTGTTTTTATTATTAGTACGTTTGAAGCATTTGCCAGAAATCTCAAGACAGTACACAGGAAATGCGGACCATAGTCGATTAACTTCAATGGAAACCGTCTTCTGAGGCGCTGCGATACCGATCGGTTGATGAGGCTCGAACTAGAAGAAAATGAATATTTCTTTTTAGCATTCCATCACCTTCGTAGTCAACCTGCAAATTGATCCGATGTCAATTTCTTCATACCGTCGCTTAGACAAAGTCGTCGACGCTACACTTGTGAGCGGGAAACGATGCCATGTATAGTTGACTGGCGTATGCCTAAGGCACAGATTATGACGGTTAATATTGCCAGTAAAGCTTCAAAAGCAAAATTTTGAGATTTTTTTCAGATGAAATGCAGAAGAAACCGATAGAAAATAAATCTGAAAGTTCAATTGAAGCTGTCAGAGAAAGTACTTCAGAATTATTCTGGCAGCCATTTTCTTGCCTAGCAAAAGCTGTAAAATGTGGCCAGTGTCTGGCTCTTATTAGCTGTTCTAGCTAAACTAAATACCTTTTGGCAATCTTTCTGTGACAAGTTTGAGGGGAGAAGTTCATGATTCCAGTGATAGTCGAACAGATGTGTCTTCAGTTCCCCGTAATCTCGCTGCTCACAAACACGGCATTCCCGTCTCGAAATTTTCGTATGATATCTTTCGGTGACCGTGAACATTGACTACACAGCTTTATCTTATACAAATTCTCGCGCTTTGAAGATCTTGAAGATCGCTTGTTGAAAATTAGCTTATCGCACGAGCGTTTGCATCATACCGCTCGTTCTATAAGGCATAGCCAATTGCTGAAACTTCGCTTGCCGCCCACAACGTTGCAGAAGATAACCGCTTGCTAGATAAACGACAGCCGCACATTGGGGTTTTGCCTCCGCCCGTAAATATGTGATGAGCGCTTGCCCAAACTTGCAACATCTGTGTCCGCCTGATAATATTCGCTAAATAATTGAGGTCCGCTCGCTGAAGGTTTGGCCGCGCTCTAAAATTTTGCTGACCGCTTGAAGAAAAGCGCGAGTTTGCGGACCGCTTGCCCCCGCCGATTATCTGAGCATTTGAGGCTTCCGTCAGGGGGGGGGGGCAGACAACGTGAACGATAGGTTGTGCCAGCCATATGCGCAGCGTAGGTCAAATCATTTTCAGATTCCATATTTACGCTATGATGATATCTAGAAACTTGGGAAAAACGCTGGAGGCTTAGTACGCCCCAATTCTTACTGTTCTACACCATTTTCAATCCAGTTTAGGACATACAGCTTCAAAAAATAAGACTTTACGTGCAACATATTGACAACCGCTGGGGTACAGTATGCTTATTGCCAGCTATCGTTCATGTTGTCATACACCCCCCGCCAGAATGCCGGCCAGCGCCGAGCTAACGCCGAGCTGTCCCGGCGCTGTTTCTGTCGATACATGTGAGTTTCGTTTGGTTCAGGGCTAGCTGACCCTGTGCCGGCAAAGCGCTACCGGAGCTTTTGACAGAGATTTCGACCAGTAGTCGGTGCATTTACGTGGCTGAGACCTAGGTAGGTCAGCTAGCCCCGCCCCGAACGAAAGGCACGTGTATCGACCGAAACAGCGTCTGGACAGCTTGGCGCTAGCTCGGCGCAGAAACCATTATCCGTCGGAATCCGGAGCTGACCTTAGCTACAGTATATAGCTAACGCGACCATAAAAGACGACCCAGCTGCCTCGTATCTTCCCTTTGGCTATGAATCTTACTTATTACATTATAGATCTTACTTACCACATCATTAGATCATCATGAAACTATCATTTGTCTTGTTTACTCTCTGATCATGCCACGGTACTGAAAATTCTCCTCATCTTGAATACTCTCTCAATATACCATAACGTGCAAATACTAAGGAACTGATGTTTCTCTAGAATATCTCATGGAATTATCATTATCGAGATATCCCAATAACTTTTCGCCAGAATATAAAAAAGTTCTATTTGATGAAGTTGGAAGAACCTCTGCTTCCTAAAACGTGTACATCGTTCAGGGAGATGAAGTCATCCTTACCAATGACAGTCTTGTTTTGAAATCCTTAACAACAACAAGATTTCGTAAGTGATACTTCTACGTCATCCATCAACATCAGTTGTTAGCAAAGTCAGGTCTCCATTTATTACTTGAATATGGATAGCGAAATGATGAGTTATATATACGACCCAGAGGATAAAAAACACATCATATCAAATGCAGGACCACTTTATCATCTGATAAGTAAGATCAGTGAAAAAGTAAGAGGCAGCCTGGTCGCCTTTTATGGTCGCATTAGCTATATACTGTAGCTAAGGTCAGCGCCGGACTCCGACGGATAATGGTTTCTGCTCGGCGCCGGAGCAGCGCTGACGTGGCTTCGAACTCTGGCGGGAGCATGACCTCCTCTGACATTCGGTGCGTGCGGCGCGCGCTTGTAAATGGCCAGCAGTGCGGCCCGCGCGCCTAGATTTACGGGCCGGGTCACGTACCGTGCGGCCCGCGCGCCTTGCATCCTTAGAGTACGGCCCGCGCGCACTATACTCTCACCGTGCCGCCCGCGCGCCTCCAATTCTTACACGCTATAAGCGTAATAGGTACCCGCGTGAGGTACGACGCTGTGATTAGGCTGCTCCATCGCTCGTGAAGCCGGCTTATCACTTCTTGGCATTTAAGTAATCGCAGGAAAATGAGAGGTTTTCGGCTTCTACGAGGGTTAACCCTCGACAGCTTCCCAAATGGGTGGTAAAATTGAATTTTTGAATTCTATGAATTCAAATTCAAATTTTCGAATTTTCTAAATTCGGAATTATTTTTGGACTGTGAAGTTGAGAATGCTCACGGCACGACGAAAGACGAAAAAGAAGCTTTATGAAAAATTTATCCTCCATTAGCTTGCGGACGGAGCGCTTTCGATGCCGTGCGGCCCGCGCGCATTCATCGTTCGGCCCGTGCGCATTTACCGTTCGGCCCGCGCGCATTCACCGTTCGGCCCCCTCGCACTACAAGGCGCCGCACGGGGAGCACGCGCGCGCCGCACGGACCGAATGTCAGAGTCGCCCCTCCCGTAGAAGCCGAGTCGTGCATGCATGCGTAGTGTGCAATCACGTACAAGCGACACGCCTAATTTCAGCGCTGTGGCATGCCTCTGATAAGGTGAGATTATTCGTTTGAAGCTGTTTTACGTCGGCGTTGGAGTTCCTTGTCATTTCTTCCATACAACGCACTTTATTTTCAAGTCTGTTCTAAATGACTGCTTGCAGATTGGGAAGTGTTGTGCAATGTCGCAAAGCACTGAAACAAAACATTACAAGGTTGCTCCTGTCTTGATCGGGAACAGGTGAGATCTTTGAGTTGTACTGCTTCATATCTGGACTTAATCCATTTTTTTGAGAGTATGAATGTGCTTTATGCATGGATAGCGCCTTTGCAGACAAACATGAAAGGCGCAGAAAGAAGTAGAAGAACCATAGTGGGAAAGGGAGAGATTGGGGCGGGAAGGCTAAGAGTTAGGGGCGAAAGGGTTTTTGAAGTTGCATGCCTTTTTACTGTTAGACGGTAATTGTTGTTTGCCTTTTATTCACTGGAACACCCTATACATCCACTTAATAAGGGAATGCGCATACCATCTTCCATATTTATATACTATCGTTTGATTCCAAAATTTCAGACTTTACTCCCTGAATGTCGTCCTTGTCCACATTTCGGGAGGTCCTTGGCGGATCCGAATTTCGACTGAAAGCGATCCAAGTGTCTTGTTTATTGGGGAGCACAAAATGCTCGATGAGCAGTGGTCAACTCTTTTTGAGCAGCTCTCTTCATCGGTTGCAGAGGACGGGTATGGTTATTACTTATTCTCAGTTTGAATTTGCTGTATGCTAAAAGAGTCTTCATTTTAACTTACTTCCATTATACTGTTGAGATGCTCGAAAGCCCAGTTTGAAGCTGTCGCATCTTGATCGTAATTGGCGGAACTGTGTTTTTTTCTCTAGATTGATACCTTTGCGGGTCGATATCGACACCGAAAATGTCTTCTTGGTGTGTCATGCGAATGGGACGGTGCGAAAGCTACCACTCCGAGCACCCACTGAGCGTGAGCTTAATCTCCATCTTGTTGCAGTCTTGGCCGCAGAGAAAGTTGGTTAAGCAAATTTGCCCTATTCGGATAACAAGGGCCTTTTTTCAGGCTGCACATGCTGAAGAGCGGAGAAAACGCGAGGAGCTTTATGGAAAACTCCTTGCAACCGAGGCAGAACTTGCTAATGTCAGTGATATCAGATTCTATGTTTTGAGTTTCTATTCATGCGAAAGTAGCTTGTGTGCAGGTGAAACAGCGTGCAGTTTGGCAAGAAAAAGAAATGGAGTTGCTGCGACTGCTTCTGCGATCTCCTTCCGGACCCACGCTAACGTCTGATAAGTCCAAAAATTGTTTACCCTATAAATCTGCAAGGTTGGTGTCCCATATTTAGATAATTCCCAGTAACTTACAATGATTTTATAGGTCGCATGCTTGTTCAGCTGATGTAACTGGCATATCCAAGGACGATTCATGTGGCGTTTCAGATCAAGATAATGGTGAGATCAGCTGTTTTTTTTTTATCCTGAGGACGGTTTCAATGATTATGAATAGTTGATGCCGACTCAAAACATAGTTACGCGGACAATTTGAAGCATGAAGCAACATCGAGTACGGCATCACCTGCTACCTCGTCTTCTCCGGTTGAGCAGCCACAAGTGAGCAGCAATGTTGTTTCAATTCTAAAATTACATGCATCATCTTTAGCAGAACTTACTTCTCGGGATCGCTCAGTATATACTGTGTCAACTCTGTCCCGAGCAGACTCCTGATCTTAAAGTTATGGAAGATCATTTCTTGAGGACGCACGTCAACAAGGTGATGAAATGTTTCAGTTGTCTTATTGTGCCATAAAATATCATATCTATTTGTGAAAAAGTCTAGCATGAATGTCCTTCTAGGCTTTCACTATGTTACAGGAGAAACGAAACTGTGAGGCTTGTCCGTCGGAAGATCAGCCTGATCTCATTCAGCACATGAGGAGGCATACAAACAGGTATTATGTTGTTGTATCTGCATTTTAATTGGATATCGAATATAACAGTTTATTTTTTCGCACTTTCTATCTTGTATTCATACGTTTTTGGTTTTTTGATTTTTGATTATTGGACAAAATCTTGATTACAGTTTTGGAGTATGCCTGCAACTATAACTTCCCCTTATATCAACTGAACTTAAAAACTTTATTCTCATTGTGGAATATAGTTCTGGAATTCTCTTCCTCTTTATCGTTTATCAGCGTTTGAAGGATCTACGCCTGCGAATACTGCGGTAAACGTGGCCGACGAAACTACTTGAAGGCGCACATCAGAACTCACACCGGCGAGAAGCCTTTTAGTGTTAGTCACTTTTTCTTCATTAGATCATCTGAAAAAAAAAGCAGATTTTAGTGCGAAACTTGCGGGAGAAGTTTTGCTGACGGAAGCACGTTGCGTCGACATCGCCTGGTACACTCCGGAGAAAAGAAGCACAACTGTCCTATCTGTGGCCGAGGAATCGCCCGTAAGGACAATGTCAAAACACACATTCGCAGTCATGGAGTGCATTGCTAATGCTTCTCCTATTTTTTATTTTCTTTGATCAGTTCCGCTTTCTAATAAGTCATTTAGCTTGTCATGTTATTTAAAAGGGTCACATTTTCCCAGATGAGATCGTTTAGATAATCCTTAGCTTTTTTCAAGTAAGTATTTGTACGTATTATATTTAAAACGCTCAAAGGGTATTGCATCCCAGAGTAAGAGGTTCATGTAGGTTTGTGAACTATCAGTCTCTACAGGTATTCTTTTTGAGTGTTACCTCTAGGTTCCAGGGTTGGAAGCTAGTACATATCCAAGATCTTTGTCGCCATTGTAGAAATTGTGGATAGGCACGTTTGAGCAATAACCAAGTCGTTGGGCATCCGTCAATCGATGTATTCTATTTTTGCAAGCTTTTTCGTTCAATTGTCTTAGGTCGATAAACAGAGAATATAGTGCTTAGTCTTTCCTTCAAACACGTAGATGCGTTGAGAATAAATTTTGTCTCTCTGAAGTATTCAGAACCTACACGGTTTTTCCATTCCGTTTCCTTCTGAATGTTGATTTTGGGCACACTTTCACTAATAAATGGAAGGCTGAATAATTGATGGGTAATAAATCTGCATAGGGTCTTTGTATAATGGGAAACTCGCTGAAGCAATGCATGCCATGCTAACAAGTTGTAAGTACTAGATGTAAGCTGTGGTTCACTTGTTCACCTATTCGCCGTTTCACTACCAAAAACAGGAGATGCGCATCTAGGCGTTATCTGGGTGCGTTTCTGAGTTTCTGGTACATGAAAGCCTTACAGTTGGAGCCAGGCTTCGTCTACAGGCTTGATCCAGAGTGCTGGAGCTGTGCCGGCACTGAGACAGCACCGTGCTATTCCGAAGCCAATACAGTGCTACTAGAGGGTTCGACAGATTTCGTTTAATACCTGGCTGGGGACGAGGCCCGCTAAATGCAAAGCTGCAGAAGCCTAACACTTGAAGGCAGTGTTCAGGCATCTCTGGCCTGCATTGGCGTACCCAGGATTTCGGCTCGGGGGAAGAGGGGGGGGGGGGCGGCAAAAAATTTTATCGAATGAAGGTGGTGGCGTTAGCCACGCACCCAGAAAAAATTTTTGGTATGCTTCTCAAAATTTTCGCGGGCCCATAACCCCATTTAGGAAAAGGGGGCGTGGCGTCAGCCACACCCCCGAAAAAAATTTTTTTATAAGGCTAAAATCAATTTTTAAAAATTTTTAAAAATTATTCTAATTATTTACAAGTGCAGACAAGTCATTTGCACAATTTTAGTCATGTAAGTAACTTTTTAAAAATTTCGCGCCCCGTTCTCGGGGGGGGGGGGTGCCCCTCCCCCCCTCGGTACGCCACTGCTGGCCTGGGAACTAATGAGAGGACCAAGTGGCAACGCATTTGATCCATTCACGGCTGCAAAATCCATCCCCAACCTCCGCACCTGCGGCGTGACCGTACTCACGAATTATTGAGGACGGGCACCAGCGCGGACGCAGTGTTACACTGAGTTCATACTGATGCGCAAGTCCCCGAAAAGTCCCAGCACTGCGCTCGAATTGTGCGCTGTCCGGAACAGTCCCAGCACAGCGCTCAATTGTGCGCTGTGCTGGAACTATTCCAGAACTTACAGATCGTATGAACCAAGTGTATTAAGCGGACCAGGTATGGCACGTGCTTAAAGGCAGCGTCCAGGCAAATCTGGACCTATGGGGCTCTCACATGGAAAGTAATCTTGAGGCCCTAGATAAGACTCTGCCCAAGCAGCAGCTCAGATAGTGCACTCACGGCTACGATATTGGGCTTCAAACTATGCCCTGTGACCGTATTCGCATGGATATGGCTCGGCACATTAGTTTCGCGTAGATCCTCGCGCGAAAACGCCACGAATCCATGCGAATACGGTCATAGTTTGGAGTCCAATATATCCTAACCGTTACTGCACTATCTGAGTTGCCGCTTTGGCAGAGTCTTATTTAGAGCCTCGAGATACTTTCCACGTGAGAGCCCCATAGGTCCTGATTTGCTTAGACGCTGCCTTTAAAGGCAGCGTCCAGGCAAATCTGGACCTATGGGGCTTTTACGTGGAAAGTACTTTTGGGCCCTAACTAAGGCCCTGCCCAAGCGGCAGCTCAGGTAGTGCTCTAATGGCTGAGATATTCCCCTCGAAACTGGCCCCCGCGAAGGTATTCGCATGGATTCATGGCAGTTTCGCGCCAGGATCCACGCTTTGCGCCATGCCATGCGAAACACGGTCGCGGGGTCCAGTTTCGAGAGGAATATCTCAGGTGAGTGAAGTCATATGGGGGTTACGTCACGGCGCAGGCATGCAGATGGATTTCTCAGCAGTGCTAGATCATTTGCGTTGCTGCTTGGGCAGTCCTTGGTTAGTTCCCTCATCAGTTTCCAGGCAAAAAAACCGTGTGCCCAATTTGCCTGACACTGCCTTTAAGGTGATTATTATAGCGTATGCTGCAAGACCGCGTTCATAGCTGCCCTGGTATGGCACAAGAGCTTTCGCAATAACCCTCAATTTCTGACATCTGATGTGGTATGCAACAAACTGTTCTTCGTTCAGCTATAAAGTTCAACATGTAGCCTTTGCATGGGCTTTGAAGATTTCATTGAGTATTCCTGATTCTTGCAGACATCATCTTACGCTGCTTGATTCAATGAGTTTGACAAGTTCTGTGAATGAGGAGTCGAAAAGAGTCCTTACATTACTCGACGAAATTCAGTAAGTGCTTTCGATCAGAAAAGCCTAGAATAAGGGATTACTTTTCAAGAGAGACGCAATTGAACATCCTGGAGAAGATGGCCCGTCCAAATGAAGCATTTGAAGTGGAAATGACCAAACTGAACGGCCTTGTGAGTTTTTTTGCCACTCACGGGAGCTGGGTGTTTGAATGTTTCGTTGTGTGGAGCGTAAAGCTGTGATTCGGAGTTGAACCATGAATGATATCGGCTCGCAGCTGCAGAATACAAATTCCGTTCACTGCTACGAGTAGAAAAGGAGAGTGTGTGGTGATAATGTTGATAAGTGGCTGTCCGAAATTTTTTTAGGGGGGGGGGGGACAACGTCGTCTACGCCCTTTGGAGCTTTTTGGTATGTTTTCATAAGTTCCGAACTAAAAGATTGGCAGCTATGTTGCCGAAAAAATTTTTTTGACGCTAGTTTGATTGTCCGCACGTTTGTTACGCATGTTGAATATTCTCAAAACATATCGCGACCTATTCGGGAGGAGGGAGTCTGCTCGGTTCACTACTGTATGCGTATAGTACAATTAGTTACTTACATGCAAACCATATCTAAATATCTGCGATTACTAGGATTGGGCTTATTTCATTGTTGCTTCATTAGCTTTCGTCCCAAGATTTTTCAGAATGATGCTTGTAAAAACCAAGACAAGGGTAATTAAAGGTATAGAGGTATATAAACCGTTAGAGTCGCCTATAAAGGGAGTGTTTGAACAAAACGCTTGAATGGAAACACCGGCCTATTCATCACTACCGCATTACAGTAGAAAGTTCTGAATTACCTGAGTCCTGCAACGAGACCACCCCAAAAGCTTCCAGCAGCTGGAACCGGAAGCTAGTGCCTGATATCAAGTATAGGCGATTCGTAGCACGCGAAGGATGCAGACGTATCGGCGTCGTTCTCATCTAGCGCTCTTTCGTTTCTCTTACCATCTGCTGTCTCTCCCATGCAGAATTATCTTGATCGGACGCAAGGGCGTCCAGTCCTTGCGTGTCATTAATCGCCTATACGAAATTTGCGTTCTACTTTGATTCTTTTCAAAAATGACCTTATGTATGTTGTAGCACTTTTTTATTTAAATGATATTCAAAAATTTCAACTAGACCAATGGAACAAATGAAGAGCGACCCAAGATAGGTACCATCTCGTTCTACACAGGTCAAAAACTCAGATTCTATCAAAACTTTGCACACGAATCTCTCATTGCACGAGAATACTATTCCGCATGATCGGACCTTCATATAGGTTACGATAGGTAAACGGTAAGGGTCAAAAATACCATAGGTTTTTTGTTGCTCCGCTTTCCGGTCTTAGAAAATAGTCACTTTTTCATGTCCTTAAAATGTTCTGATGAGAACATGATAACAAATGGTTGTCAAAAGGTGCTCCATAAATGGTAGTATCTACTGCTAGTTACAAAATGAACGGCCAGAATTTTGGACGTGTTTCGGCCACCCTCCTATCGACCTTCGATGCATTTCTCCTGCTTTTTCCAGCTCTGATGTAATCCTATCTTGCCTTCGCATTTCTTACGAGTTGTTTGGGATTTCATTCAATTCGCCGTCCTCAGGCTCACTGCATACGTTTTACCAAAGGATCTTGCTGTTCACTTATGGAAATGAGCCTGATTAGCATTGTCCTTTGCGCACAGCTCCATAATAGAAATGGTGTCTCTAACAAGGAAACGATACTCAATGTCCGTGGCTTTTTGAGGCGAGATGTACACCATTACACTCGTTTTCGAACGCTGATTCCGAATCTGACTTCCGTTTCTGCTAATCGTTTCTCTGAAAGAAGTTATGAAGGAATTTCGATCCAAGTTTGGCCGCTTAAGGGAAATATGGTCATTGGAACGGCCTCTACTGCGACCACGTTCTGGTCTAATGGTTAGTGCGATAGCCTCATAAGTTGATGTAGGTTCAAATCCTTTGCGTTTTTACTTTCGCATTACTTTTGCCTCAATTAAGCTTGTTCGAGAAAGTTTACTCGAATTATGACCATTGAATACGTTCTAGCGCAAACAGTAGTGATTTTTTCCAAAATTCCACATTTTTTCAAGAGTAAGGGCGTTCACTTAACTTGAGGATGTGAAAGAAGGTTAATTGAGGCAACGCAAAACTAAAGAACACAAAAGAACTCAAACCTAGAGTTGCAAACTCATGAGGCTGTCGCACTAACCACTAGACCACAACGCACCTGTGCCATTGGCGCTCCGACAAATTTTCACTGGGCAGCCAAACTCTGCTCGATCCATGATAACATCTTTGGAGCGATTAGCAGAAACGGAAGTAAGATTTGGAATCAGCGTTCCAAGACGAGTGTAATGATATACATCTCATTTCAAAAGGCCACGGACACCGAGTATCGTTCCCTTGTAAGTTTGTTGCTATTTTTGAAAAATCTCTGAGAATGTTTTAATCCCCTGCGAAAGAAATCACTTAAGGTGGCGATTCCAGTTTCACATGGTGCTGACGTAAATTCATTGAATATCCTCCAGCTCTGGTTTTGCGAGTGGAGACTTCGAAAACTTGCGCAGATAGAAGTTGGCGACCAGAGCTCAAGCGATAGTTTTCAAGTAGCAGCTCTATTTTTCCTCTTCAGTTCAGCAGCGGCGGACAAAAGTTTCCTGCAAAATTTCTGTCCTAATTTTACGGAAGCTTCCCAGGCTTTCGGCAACTTGAATACTGTTTGCATTTTCTAACAAAAAAATTAATACTCATTAAAAGAGCGACCTGCTACCATAATAGTAGGCCAGGTACGAAAGTCGCAATGCGCGGTGCCACTGCTGTTTATTTATAGCAAGATTAAGGTAAACTAAAGTTTTTACATTTAAGGAAGTTCTTTATTTCGAATCCCTCGTGACTGCTTGTTGCAATCGTACATCTGTGCATAAAAAACTTTACAGCTTAAGCTTGACACATATCGAATGTTTCATGCACGTAGTGCGAAAGAACTATTTGTTTCAGTTGAATCCATAAAATCCCGCTTGAATCCAGTGGAGGGCATCTGTTTTGATTTTGCCGTCTTGGTGTTTTGCTCTTTTTTTATTTTGTTTTCTTTTCGTGGTCCCTTCGGCTCTCCTTGCATTTCCGGTGTGAAGTTCTACTAGGGACCTGTCATATTCGCCGAGAAAAGCCCAAAAAGCCCGAAAAAGCTCAAAAAACCCCGAAAAAGCCCGAAAGCGCCAGGAAGAGCTGGAACGCAGAAACGAACTTGCGGTAGAATTTTGACATTATTTTGATGTGCAGACGACAGAAATGAAACAAAAAGACCCGACTGCAATCAACACACATACCAAAACTTGCGAGGGGAGTTCCGGCTTTTTCTGGCGCTTTTGAGCTTTTTCGGGCTTTTTTTTCGGTTTTCTGGATTTTTTTTCGAGTTTTTATTGGGCTTTTTTGGGCCTTTCGGACTTTTTTGGCGAAGTACGACGGGTCCACTATGGTACATCCGAAATTTCATGACATTTCCTCAGAACTTCATTTCTCCACAATAATTTCATATCATTTCATATAAAGGACATCATGCAGGTTGATTAGCGTGCGGCTGTGATTAGTTAAAGTTTTGGGAATACAAGGATTTTAAGGTTTACGAAAAGCAGAAAAACAGCTTTTTGTTTTTGAATAGGAGTCTGCGTGCACATTTCGGAGTTGCAGTATTTTCGACTGGGAAAGTTCCGTCTTGTGTAAAAAAAAGAGCAAGAGGGGATTCTTATATATAAAGCTGAATGCCTGTTTGTATGTCTGTATGTCTGTCTGTAAGTATGTACGTATGTTCCGAATAGAAAATTCCATTTTCGAACCGATCGGGACCAAACTTTGCTCACATACACTTTGGACCCCGGCGGGTGTCATAGGCTACTTTTCGTCATCGATCGATATCGATTTTATCGATTTTTTGGAAAATTGGAGCTACAGGGCTGGGAGTTGGCACAGGGGGTAATCGAGCATGCTGATCACCCCCGTGGGGGTGATCAGCATGCTCGATTACACCCCTCTGCCAAATTCCAGCCCCCTAGCTCAAATTTTGCAAAAAACCGATAAAATCGACATCGATCGATAACGAAAAGTGGACCGTGACACCCGCCGGGGCCCGAAGTGTATGTGTGCCAAGTTTGGTCCGGATCGGTCAAGAAATGGAATTTTCTATTCGGAACATACGGCGGAGCCGGGTAAGCCAGCTAGTACTATAATATTATTATGGGCAGTAGTGAATGCAGCGAAAAAGGCTTAGATCTGAAAGACCACTCAAAACGATCTGGTTTTAAAAAAAGCAAGATTATTTGCCACAAGCATTGTTGGAATTTGTCGCAAAGAAAAATTTGAGGCTTTGTTGAATAGTTCTTTTACGCTGAAGCACCTGCATGGGAACAGGGTTTTCCATGCTTCCGCTTCAGGACAACGAATTTTCATCTCATTGCTGTGGCTGGGATCAGACCAGTGTTTCAGTCAGTGAGTAAAGTCTGAATTAGTGGGAGAAATGCTACCCAAGATTTCTTTTGGTCTATTAGCTGTGAATTTTCGCAAGTTTTGTTGTGCCCTGAACATGCTCTTTTCTTTTGTTTTCTAGGAAACAATATTTTCCCCCTAAACTTCCCACTGTGCTTGATGGTAACAAGTGCTGTTTAGCATTTTTCGAAAAAGTGTGAAGTGAATGGCCAAACTTCTTGCTTTTGATAAGTCATTTTTGAACAGCTTTACGCTTTGGTTATGCCAATCAAGCAAGCGTACTAGTTCTTGCTCTCTACAGAAAGAGTTCAGCGGATGAACGAGTAAACTGATCAGCGCTCTTTCGGATCCTTCCTTTTTCATACCATTGCCACTTTGACTGAAACTAATTTTTTTCAAAATACCTTGCATTTTTTCCGTTTGGATAGTTGCCGAATTACCTTTTTTCCTTTACATCAGGCGGACGATGATCGCTTGTCACATAGCGGAACTGAGAGCAGAAATCAGGAAAACTACAAAATAGAATGCAAGCTTACTCTATCTTTCATATGCCAACGTGTTGACCAGCTTACGCAAACAGTAAATTTTCTTAAGCAGTATTGAATCAAAAAATTTGTAACTCGTCAATTTGTCTAGCACTTTCCAGATGTCTTCAAGCGCAG